GCTATACGATCACATAATGCAAGAGGAGCCTTCTCAGACTGTTGTTTTGCACCTGGAAGAGTTTGCACATACTTCTGAGAACGACAGTTTTTCTGATGTTCGCTATCTTCTGCATGCTTTAATAAAGCTTTTTTACCATTGTTAGCATAATTTAATTTTTTTCCACAGAGAAAGCAAAAACAATGACCCACTTCTTTTAATTTTCTACACCACTCCACATGTAGAATACCACCTGAATTTTTTTCTTGAAGCCACTCCCATCGCCATTTATTTTTAATTCCAACATCATACGTTGGTTTATTGGAGTTGACATATTCCATTGTAAAAATAATCAACTTTAACACATTGTAATCAAACGCAGTAAAAAGTTTACCATCCGACGATCGATGCCAGATTCAATTTCCCGCTAAGTTAAGTCTGTGAAGAAAGAATTTTTCTCCTGCTTCCCAGTAGCGAAGGCCAATCCACTAGCGCTTTAGTTTCCATTCGCAATCTATGACGTCACCTTACTCCGTGAGTTAGTGCGTTATCGCATTTTTTGCGCTTATGTGAATAATTTGACTTTACTTCTAAATTTTAGGAAGAAATAAACCGGGAAAAGATATTTTCCTGAAATAATTATCGAAAAAAAAAACATTTTTAGTAATGTATACATATATTTTATTTTTAAAATGTTTTTTTTTTTTCAAATTTAAAATTGAATTTCTGAATTTGATATTTTTTAATAGGACGGAATTCCGTCCCCAAGACGGAAGAGTGGCACCCCTGATATACCTTCATTTTCTCTAAGGGTCGTCAATATTCGATTTTTATATTAAAGAATATCTTTAGAGTAAATGAGCAATCTTACTTGGAAACAGTGATCATTAAAAAATTTTATTAGCGAAGAATCGGTGCCATATAGAGATCAATAAAGATATTTAAAGTTTTCTTTTCTGTCAAGTTTAGTTATAAATATTTCACAACAAATTAACTACGACAAGCATACCAGTATATCGAAACCATAATACCAGCCAGCAGGACAATCAAAATCGCATGGCTTTTTGTAGATATTGATAGCTATGATATTTTAAACCACTAGGTCCACTCCCCAACATCCACCTCGGGGTAAATCCAACAATATCATTAAAAATTTGAGATGAAGTAAAACTGCTGTGTTCATTGAAATTGACGAAATTGACTGTTTTTCGTCAATAACGTTAGAATATTATGTGCATAAATTCAAAGATAAGGGTCACCCTAATATATATATATATATATATATTAGGGTGACCCTTATCCTTGAGTTTTCAAATCTTTAAGTGTCCGATCCCTTATTTGGTTCTATTTACTTCAAAACATCACCATGTAAATTTTGGGATAACATGTTTTAATCCATGCCAACTTCAAAAAGAAGTATGTAAAACAGGAACAATTTTCAGACCTCTTATTTTGGCAGAGGCGCCTTTCTGTCCATTGGTTCCAGATTATTTTTTACTTGTCTACAGTTTTTGCTTTTTGATACCATGACAATTACAGTAATTTACGTTTAATGCTGAGTCATTCCGTTAAATACACATATAGCAAGCTGTCTGTCCTTGATGGTTTCGTTAAAGTTGATCTTTATGTTTCAAAAATTATGTAGCGAAATAGTGTTTATTTTCGCAAGCAGATGTCGGTTATAAAACAACTGAAAAAATTCCCATCTTAAGAATAGTACGTATTTTTTTTTAAATTTCAATTCTTAAGGGGAGTAAAATATTAGTTACTTAAAACAGAACGAATGTTCATTATATTTCAGGAGGAGACCAAAATTCCACCAAAACTTATTCAATGTTGCTTAAAAAACTGCTTCAGTTGTATTTTTTCAGGAGAAATCTCTAAAAAAGCTCATAAAATATAATATATTTAAACTTTGGACACAGACGCAAAGATTTTAAGTAACACAACTTCTTCAAATACTGTCTGCTCAAATAATGCATAAATCCTATTAAAACAAAAACTAAATAGAGCTATATAATTTTATCTATGTCATCATCACACAACTACTGCCAGTTGTGCCGAATTGCCACATTTCTCCTCGAAAATGAACTCAATGTGCATTATAATACTTTATTTAGTAAATATGGAATTATTATGAAAATTTTATAATGTTATAATTATATATTTAAACTGAGATGGGCACAGTAGGCCTTGGCCCTCTATGGGCTGCCGCGCCGCTGAGTTTAGTTTAGTCGAGTTTTTAATTATATATTTCGTTCTTGTTTCTAAAAATGTTTCTTTGTTTGTAAAATGAAATTTGTATCGTTAATCTTATTTAGAGAAATACTTCAAAGAATTACATTAAGTTTTTTTAGCTGTTTTAAATTTATTATTTTTTGAAAGTAACCACGCGTGTTAAAAAGAGTTATTGTTAAAAATGCTACAATTGATCACTGATCAGAGGAAAGATTTCCTGTTTCTGCCCTGTAATTTTCAATTCACTTCAACGTCAGATCACTCTTCAAGACGCGTTGCCATTTCAATGATATTAATGCATCTTCGAACTGGCATTAGTTATCCACATGCCAGATAACTAGAGCCCGTTGTCTCTCTTTTGAGGAAATTTATTCCATTTACAATAATTATTTTTTCAACACCCCATAGCTTGAAAGCCTTTATTTTTGTCCATCTTTGTATTTAATCTGCTTAAACACAAATAGAAAACATTAGCATACATGAAATTAAATAAGAAATGAAAAAATAAAGAAATTTTCTCTTAGTATTTTGTAACAAATATTTAGCAAATAGTAGGAAACAGGCACTTTTCTGAAATAATTATAAAATAACAGTTACTTAAAAATTTATCGATGATTTAACTTTAAACTGTCAAATTACTCTTTTGGTAAGTACCATGCATAAAAAATTCTATACTATGAGAATATGGTAAAACTTACCGTATTTCTGGCTTTATGGGAACACCAAAGAGCTCGGTAATTCTTTAAGAAGAGCTTTGGTAATGATTTTGATAAAATTAACAATAAATTATGGTTTTATAACATGTGATAAAATTCTGTATATGCCGTAAAATTTGATAATTTTATCATACCCATGGCCCTGACATAAGAACCATTTACTCAATTAAACTGATTTTACACTTTTGTATTTTTCACTAAATATGTGGTAATTAGTTATATTGTGGTTTGATTAGATATTTAATTTTAAAAACCAGAACCTTCGGTAAACCATTACATTATCAACGTAAAAACTACCAAATGAGTGGTTTAAATATCGTATATTCTGGTTTTTTAAAACCAGAATTATGGTTTTTCTTACCAGAAATGTCATTACCATACAGGATGGAAACTTTACCAGAATGTTTCCCCGCGTTATGTTACTTATGTTTTGGCTATTTGTATAGCTAATTCAATTAACTTTAGTAGCTAATCAAAAAATTTTATTTGTAAGGGAAAATTTATTAACAAATGAAGAAGAAATGTCAAGCTTCCGGCATGCTATCTAATGTATTTCATTTTGTTGGTTATTTTCATCTTTATATGAATAATTTTTTAAATCAAAAAACTATTATTAACTATGTTTTCGGAATAATACATTTATTTTTCTTTAGTTACACGCCAGTAAAAATTGCTTACAAAGAGTTTGAGCCTTCAGGAGGAAGCAATGACAAGTTAGCACCAATCATTTTTCTGCATGGTATCACTTCTTCAAAAGAATCATGGAACATTATACCACAGATCATAGCTGACAAAACTAAAAGGAAAGTAAGTTTTACGCAATGACCTTGACAGTTTCTACAAAAGAAAACATGGCGTCTCAAGGGATAGAGCGCTTGTTTCAGAATGAGGTTACCTAGGTTAAATACAATGGCTGTTCGATTTGCATCTTGATTGGATGTCGACTCTCGATTGAATCTTGCTTCCGATTGGAACTAATCTCAATGTCGACGGATCATGGATTGCGATTCCTTTGACATCGGGTTTATCATGGGGGATTTCGTGGTTTTCCCCTTCATCTAAAGCCAATGCGTGTTAGTTCCTTCAAAAAAGTTTTTGCTTGTCCCAATGCTTGATATAGGAGTTCTCTTGTTTCCAGGTCTTGTTAAAATTATAAGGCTACGGGGTTGAACATAGAGAGTCATCGGAGTTGAACTTCAGAGTTGAACATGGAAATCAAAAATGAGCTGTCTGTTCAACACTAGTTATAAAATTAAAATTAAATTTCCAAAAAAAATTCAACAAGTATTATTTTGAATACCAGAAATTCTGTATAACTGGAACCATAACGAAATGCAAAATTATCAAATAAGTTATTCTAATAACATAAATTTGGTTGTTTGCAACAAAAATTCTCGTTTTTTTTACCTTTTCCTTTTCCCATATTTTTTTATATTCATAAATTTCTTTATCGTATTTGTTAAGTTTTGTTTCGTAATAATTTTTTTTCCTTCTAATTTTCATCTGTTTCGTTAAATTCTATCTTCCTTTTTTTTTTTTTTTTTTACTAACATGAAAATTGGGGCTTAAATATTGAGGAACGAATCCCTGCTCACGTTCTATTAATTTGCTCCTGTTGTTTCTAATGACACTTGCCATTCCAGCAAGCCTGCTTAGTCAAACTAACCTTATTTAAGGCAGAGGGCACGTTTCTAGTTTATCAGTGGTGCCATCTATCGACTTTAGCAATACACTCGCGTCACAAACCGTTTATAGGGTGGACCCATTTATTTATCCAATCTTTCATCCCGAGATCGTAATTTTGACCTGAACCAGAAATCGATTAATCTGCAATTCAGTACTCCTAGACATGTTATATTATGATTCAATTATGTATAAGGGTTAAGTGCATTCTTACGTTTATATATTTTAATACCTTTTACATTTTATTATTTCTACATTAGGATTTTGTTACTTATTCTCATTATTAATTATTTTTTTTCATTTCTATTTACATTTCTTATTATTTTCACATTTACATTAAAATTTGTTGGTTAGTAACATGCTTAATTGGCGAGATTTGAATGTCAACAATATATTCAAACTGTATTTGGAGCTATCTTTGAAATTCGTGGAAAATTTTTTTCTTCAAGTTTCAAATGACATTCTAGAACTCAATATTAATGGCATTAGAGAGTGACCTCAAATATGCCAATTAATAAGTGCAGACGATATTTTAAATTAGGAAATGAAAAACGCACTTTCTCTGAATTAACATAACTTTTTTTGGACGGATCCAGATTCTTGACCCCCAAAATATATGAGGAAACCGTAATCTGGGAAATATGGCTCCGCAAGTATGGTCAGAAAGGAGGTTCAAAATTTGAAACCCGTAATGTTAATTTTACTTTTTGCCCATTTCACCATATCTTGAAAGCTTTTGAAGAGAATTAAAAAATATTTTGCACACAATTATAAATTTTGTTTTTCTAAAGAAAATTCCAAGCAAAAATATAGCTTTCAGAATATATTTGTTATTTTCATTATTTTATTTAATAATGTTCGAATACTTTCAAATTGGGTATGCAAAATTTGAGCAAATTTGATCGAAAAGTTCCTGAGAATTAATATTTTGAAAATTCGCATTTCGCAATATTTTGATCTTATTTGTGCATAACTTTTATAAAAATTTGTATACTTACTAATTTTCAAAAAGAAGCTTTTGGATTTTTAGTTTAGTAATTTTTGATATCACTCAAATATTTGGATTCGATTCTTTTTTATGTTTCAGACTTACGCCTGTGATGCAAGAAACCATGGAGAAAGTGAATATACTGAACATTTCAATTACGACTTAAACGTTGATGATCTATTTCAATTTATGAATACATTGAACATTGAAAGAGCCGTTTTAGTTGGTCACAGTATGGGAAGTTTCACCTCCACAAATGCTGCGCTTAGAAAGGTTTGTGTGCTTGTGGTACTTATAATAAGGAAAATACTAATAAATTGAAAAAAAATTATGCAAGTTTAAAATTTAAAGATGTCATTTCTTATCCCCGATCCCCCATCATAAAAACTGAAAGTGTAGTTATATTCATCTAACTCAATAAACCATGGTTAAACCATAGTCAATATATCTTCTTAAATTGTATCGCAACTTGATTTCGATTTTAATTTAATTTATTTAATAATTATTTCAATTTAATGATTAATTTGATTACAAGATTAAAAACTTCATTCGTTTCAAAGATATACTTAAGAATTGAAAAAAGAAACAGTCGGCATGCTTCATGCACTCCATAAATAAACGCCCTGAAGGAGTAATAATGATATTCTCGGAAGACCTGTACGTAAAGAAACTTCCTTAAGAAGTAGCAGATATTGTTTTAAGCTACATATCGAATTTATTTGATGTTGTAAAAAATGTTCCAAAAGATTTAAGTAAAAACGGAGCTCTTACTAAAGCAGAGGAAGCTTTTTGGAAGAATAGTAAAGAATGTGCATATCTTTTTAATAATTTTCCTTTAAATTCAAGTTAAAAGCCAAAACATTGCTGTTTTGAAAAATATAAACTATATTATGCAGTAGTAGCAATAGAAAAATCTAACTCTTTAACATAGTAATGTATTAATAAATAATCTCAAGAAACTAAATGGGTGAGATATTACTTGATTCAAAACTTCATTTAATCAAGAAATATACAAGTTGGTATGAATGATGGTATGAATATGTTGGTATGAATATGTTGAACGACGCGTTTCAACATATCAAAAATAAGGCCCTATTTTCAGGACTTGCTAGGCGTGAATGAGAAGAAGTAAAAGTGATTTGAAATATTAAACGTAAAGTTGTCAACGGAAAAGGAGAAAAACGAAATTAGAAAAACCGCAAAGGCCGAGTAGGGAAAAAAAAGATGAAAACAAAAGAAAAATCTCAGTGGAAGACAGGAGCGAATCAGGGTGAAATGCATTTCCAAGCGCTATGGAGAATTGGGGAGAAACTAATATCGTTTACAAGGGAATCACCATTCACATAAATAAAACAAGATTATAGGGCATCAAAATGAACTGATATGATTGGGGTGAAAATAATTTTGGCATTGACATAAATTGAAGCAATAAGATTAAATGAATTTCTGGTCCTGATAGTTTTTGCGGAACACCTCATTGATTAATCCAAGAAAAGGATTTATTGATCCCATTAATATTTCTGTCCGTTTTACTGCCTATGAAAGCAGTATTCATCTCTGCAATCAGTGCTGGATTCTATTTGTAGGTGTAATGGAAAAATGAGAACTTTTGGCTAAAAATTTGGACATGCATTTAGTGACTATATGACTACCTTTCGTCAAATGCCTTTCAATCGAAGTAATATACCGTATTCCGCAATCGCCGCTCTTAAAATGTATTTGAAGAACATTATTTCCATGATAGTAAACATGTCAAGAATCGCAGATTAAAATTAAAGCAAGGTAAGAAATAAAGCGTTTTTAAACTCAACTCAATGAAAACGTTAAAAGACAGTTTGATAACCACATGATTGTTTAAGGGTTTCCAATATTCAATTGTCGGCCAATCAGTCTTCTGTCAACCAATAATCAGTCTTCTGTCAACCAAACAATGTTTGATTTCTTTAATTCCACCATCTTCATTAATGAATTGTCTTTAATAATATTTTTTTCATCTTTATTTGCTTGGAACTTAACTGAAAAACCCAATGTGCATTAATTTTTACAACCATTCTTTAAACGGTATCTACAAATGTGCAATGGGGGTGCTGATGTCGTTTTATAAATTATGAAAAAACATTTTTGAATAACAATGCAAAATATATATTTATAACCCGTAATAGTATAAATATGACATTTTGGGACATATACGTAAAGAAACTTTATAACGAAGTAGTAGATAGTGTTGTACGCTACATATAGGTTATATATCGGCTACGTCATTTATTTTTACAACCATTCTTTAAGTGGTACGTAATGGAGGCGTTGATATTGAACGACTTTTACAAATAGTGACAAACATTTTTGAGTAATAATACGAAATATTTATTTATAGCCTGAAAGAGTAGAAATGATACTTCTGGAGGTGATATACGTAAAGTAACTTTCTAAAGAATTAGTCGACAAAGTTTTATGCTGCATCTACACTCTATAACAAAAAAATCGACGCACCAAGAAGGAGTTGTCCGATTGAAACGAAAATTGGTGGATAGGAAGACAATGTACAGAATAGTAAATGATTAAAATTTCAGAACAATTAAATAATTTATTGCAGAGTTACAGTAACAAGTTCAATAAGGTGTTGACCCACCTCTAGTCTGGATGCAAGTTGCCACACGGCGTGGCATAGACCGATAAAGCTCCCGGATGGTCTCTTGTGGTATTTCCTGCCAAATTCGATCCAATTGTCGAACGAGGTTATCCACATTCCGTGCCAGATGCAATCGCCTTCCCATCATATCCCAGACATGCTCGATGGGAGAGAGATCTGGTGATCTGGCAGGCCATGGAAGAGTTTGACAAGCTTGCAGACAGTTCATAGAAACACGTGCCGTATGTGGTCTGGTATTGCCTGCTGAAAAGCCAACCCAGGGCGCTGCAAAAGGAACGGTAGCAAAACAGGTCTTAGGATGTCGTCGGCTGTGCGGTAAGTGTACCTCTAATGACGACCAAAGGGGTCCGGCTGTCAAAGGAGATGGTCCCCCAGACTATAATGCCTTGTTGAGGGCCGGTGTGGCGTGCAATAGTGAATGCAGGATCCCCCCTCCGCTTGTGTGTCTCCAAACACGTCTTCGATGATCGTCAGGACACAGTTGGAACCGAGATTTGTCGCTGAAGACTGTACGTCCCCAGTCGGCATCATTCCAGCCATATCTGTTCAATACATTCATGCATATGAAATTTCAAAGCAATCGGATGATTGCTTCTCGGTGCGTCGATTTTTTGTTATAAAGTGTAGGTTATGTGTGCTTCGTCTACTACATTTAGTTTTACCGCCCTTTATTAAATGGTATGCAATGGGGGCATTGATATTGAAACACTTTTTGCTATTTGTAAAAAACATTTTTGAATTATAATGAAAAATATTTATTTATAGCCTGAAAGAGTAGAAATGATATTTTCGGAGGACACGTACTTAAAGAAACCTCCAAAAGAAACAAGAGATTTTGTTATACGCTTCACATCAGATTTTAGTGATGCTGTAAAAAGTGTTCCAAAAGATTTAAGTGAAAAAGAAGCTGTTGCAAAAGCTGTGGAAACTTTAAACAAGATTAATAAAGAAATTGTAAGTCTTTTTTAATTTTTTTTCTTATAAATTCATGCTAAAAGCCAAAACATTGCTGTTGTTTTGATTAAAATATAATATATTGTGCAGTTATGATAATCAGAAGATAACAATCTCTTTAATAGCTTAACGTATTAAATAAATAATCTCAAGCAATTAAAGTGTTAAAATATTATTTGATTAAAAACTTCATTCGCTTCAGAAATATACAAATTGGAAATAAATGGCGATGTGTTTTAAGCGCTCAAAAATAGGCCCCTATTTTCAAGACTTGCAAGTCATGAATGAAAAGAAGCCAAAATGAGATAAAATATGAAACGTAAAGTTTCCAACTTAGAAAAGGTGAAAATAAAGAGGAATTACAAAATGTTGAAAATCACAGTTACCGAAAGAGAAAAGAAATGAAAAAACCAATCATGGAAGAAAATTTAAAAAAAAAAAAAAACAGAGGCCGAATGGTAAAATCAAGGTGAAATTTGTTTCTACGCGCTACACTGCTGAACTTTTTGAGCCAAGTAGCACCAAAAATTGATATTCATTTGCTATCTACTTAAAATGGAGCTCAATTTTACCATATTTTGCTATTTTCACTTGCTCCAAATAACAGTTGAAAGTTGCACCAAAAGTAGGTATTTTAAAGAAACAAAACTACTATTTTCAGTTTTTTTTATATATAAAGCAGAGGAAGGTTACACCATTATTAGGCATTTTTAAAGAGCTCAAATGCAGGCCAAGGTAGTTATTTACCGTAACGAAACCATTAAACGAAAGTAGATACCGCCAACCATATTTAAAAAAGGCAGCATCAATTTGATGATACTTGAATTTTGTTATTAAAAAAGAAGTTTTGAGTGTTAACAACAGTTAATTACAGAAAGCAGCATCTTGAACTTAATTCCAACTTCCAACTAACTTGAAGGTTTTCTTTTTCGAGGAGGGGGGATATATTTTTCACAGTGCTCGCAGCGCCATCTGCTGACAGTTTTCATAACGAGTGCTAGGAACAGGAGTTTGGAGCTTGGAACAAAACAGAAAAAGCCAGTGTCCAAAAATTAAAATTTGTATCAAATGTTACAGATCTTATTTGGTTACCAAAATCAATATTTTCAATAGATTGAGAAGTAATTTCAGTGAATTTCGGTAGAAATTAAAAACAGAAATTTTCTACACATAAAATTATAAAAATTTATTTTTAAACAGATTATTTTCATAGTAACTTTTTACTGAACGTTTCATTCAGAAACGATTCAACTGAATAAGAGTTATTAATTTTTCATGCAATTTCTTATTGTTCAAAATAATTAATTTTCAGAGGACATATGTGCCAGAAGAATCTTTAAAGACATCGAATTATGTCTTGAAGAGAAGATCAGGTGGAGGATATGACGTAACTTTCAATAAAGATTCAATAATTAGAGCATTTGAAGATCCAGATACATTCATGACCAGTCCTAGTGGGCAATTTAATGGCCATGCTTATTTCATATATGGGAGAGACTCGCCCATTCGTGTGTAAGCAATATGAGTTTTTTATATGTCTGATTTGAATTTCTTAATTGATTCTAAATTTTTCTTTTCTAAGAAATAATTATAACTAGCTGAATATTTGTTTTTGTACGGTGTAATTGAAATGTAATTGACCAATATATCACGATTAATCAACACTACAAAATCATTCACGAAATTGAAAGACATGCACAGATATACTTAATTAAACTGAAACAGTTCCGATTTTTAATTATTATTATTTGCTGCCTTTCCCGGTGGCTTTATGTCTTCAGTTGAAAATCATGTTTTTAGAATTTCATCCCATCAAGCAATAATAAAAAATAATATATTCTGTAATAAAGAATAAAATATTCTGCAATAAAGAATAATATATTCTGTAATAAAGAATAGTTTATTATGTAATTAATCAAAAATAATTATATTCTGTATCATTTTGAATTACGCTGTTGCTTAAGGTCAACTAATTATTGTCAAAAGTTACCATTATCACTAATTTTCTCAGGTACCTAAGATTTGCTTATTTCCGGTACATTCATGTTATCAAAAAGCAAATCACGTTTTTAGAAGTTCATTCCTTCAAACAGTAATAAAGAATCAGATATTCTGTAATGAAGAACAAAAAATTATGTAAAAAAGAATAAATATTCTGTAATAAAGAATTATATATTCTGTAATAATGAATAATATATTCTGTAATAAAGAATAATATATTCGGTAATAAAGAATAATATATTCAGCAATTAATGGAAAATAATAATACTCCGTATCATTTTTCATAACGCTGTTGCTTGAGGTCTACTCTCGATAGTCAAAAATTACGTCATTGACATTATGGCAATTTTTTACAGTTTATATTTACGCGCAAGTTCTTTTTCTTCATTATTTAAACTTGTCAATGCATGTACTTATTGCAAAATGTACTTATTGCAAATATTAGTTCATTGAAGTTCTCGAAAATAATTAGTAATAGTGACACTGGTATTTTTATATTCATTTTTTGCGAGCGAGCAAATGTCGGAACTTATTTAGAAGGCCTGAAAAAAATTGCAAAACTATTATTGATGTCTGTTATGCTTAATTAAGTGCATCTGGAATTTCAGTTATAAGTACTATGGCAACCTATTATATCACTCGCTCCATTTGTTTTGACTTCTGTTTTTCCTTTACTACTCGAGAAAGGCTTGTTTCGCGCTGGAATCCTGATCTTATTTCTTTGGTTAATTTGATAAGCTCTCTGATGACTTACATTTTATGTTTTTCTTTTAAAACGTTCAATCTATTTCCTTCCCATTCTATTTTTTCTCTTGCCGAAAGAGCTTTTTTGGTTTCTTTTCTTATTTTGTTGCAGAATTATACATTAGGTTTAGTTTTCATCTGAAGTAATAATTCTGAAGTAATATTTATGTTATGAATTTTATGAATGTATTTTATATTGTATTTTATGTTTATTTTATGTATTTCATACAAAAAGATTTAAACGAAAGCGATGCTCTTGAAGGAGCTGTAGAATTTCTTTTGAAAAATAATAAAGGGAAAGTAAGTCCTTAATATTTAGGTTTGCTTTAAAAAATATGTTTGTATAATGAATAATAAGAAGCAAAAACTTTTTTTTAAAAAAATGAGTATATATTGAGCTGTAAGAAAATATTGTATCATCTAATCTAAAAATCTTAAATTTCTCATATCCAGTTCTACTTTTATTTATTTTAAGAAAAATTTATTTAAAATTCTCTTTTTTTTGGAGAATTCATAGATTATAAAAATCATTTTGATGCTAAAACTTTGGGAATTTGTATTAAAGATGCAAAATAAAGAACATATGAACACAAAACAAGTTTGGTCATAGAAAAATAGCTTGTTGCAGATGCCGATTTATTGAAAGTTATCAGTTTTTCTTTTTGAAGTGAGAGGTGATAGTTCTCATTTTAAAAAGTCAAAAATACTCTTACTCGTTAAATGTTATGAATATATGGTAAAGATCTTTTGATTTGTAATAATTTCCGAACCAGGCATCTAAAGCTTGTGTTCGTACACAAAACATATATATTTCGATCCTAAATTTTGATAAATAATATAAACATCAAATTTCTGATCCCGGTTACTTTTTTTTTGCTGTAAAAGAGATTTGAATTTATGTTTTGAACAATTAGATTTGTATAAGAGCCAATAAAATCCTATTTACTATGCTGTCATACTGTAGATTTTATTTAGGCATTCACGCAAAACTTATTGTCCTAAACATAGACAGTGTTTTCTCATGATTTTGAGCAAGCTGACAAATTTCTGAGGAAGGTGAACCAGAATTTTACTCATTTTTATTTTTTTTAAAAATGAGTTAAAGAAAAAAAGCTGCATTTCCCTGTATGTTTTTGAGTCTTTAAGATATTTAAATTTAATTTTACTTATTTCTGTAGAGTTTAAGAAAAGACACGCATGTGGTTTTCTCTAAAGAGCCTTTAATTAAGTTACTTCAATGCTGTTTTATTTATTTCATAAGTTTATGAAGAGAAAAAAACATAGGTGAGCTTCTCTAAAGAGTCTTTCGTTTAGATATTTTAATGCGGATTTATTTATTTCGATAGAGTTAAGGAAAGGTATGTGGGTTATTTGAGATCACCCTTAGAAAAATTAAGATTGAGTCCTAGATCATGTGGATCCTATCACATTAGATCAAAAGTTTTTCAGGACGATCTGCTTATTTATTTTTTATTATTTTTTGTTAGTACTGTAATACTAAAACTAGTAATTTGAAAGCATGGAATAATTTAGAAAATATTAATAAAATATAAAAAATAGCACAACACTTATTAATGACTAGTCCTAGTATACAATTTAGTGGTCATGCAAATTTCATATACGGAGGAGCCTCCCCTCTTACAGTTTAAGCAACTTGAGAATTTTGTCTGTCTGTCTTAAATTACTAAAAAAATAAGTAATCTGATTTGTCTTAGAAGAACCTGAAATTTTACTAGTCATCTCAAATCTTACGAATTAAAATAATTATTTGCCTTTCGTTTAAAAATTCTTTTGAATATCCATGCAGTATGCAATGTCTTGGTTGTATTTATTTTATTAATGAAGAGAACACAACCCTTCATGCAATTTCTTATTGTTCAAAATAATTAATTTTCAGAGGACATATGTGCCAGAAGAATCTTTAAAGTCATCGAATTATGTCTTGAAGAGAAGATCAGGTGGAGGATATGACGTAACTTTCAATAAAGATTCAATAATTAGAGCATTTGAAGATCCAGATACATTCATGACCAGTCCTAGTGGGCAATTTAATGGCCATGCTTATTTCATATATGGGAGAGACTCGCCCATTCGTGTGTAAGCAATATGAGTTTTTTATATGTCTGATTTGAATTTCTTAATTGATTCTAAATTTTTCTTTTCTAAGAAATAATTATAACTAGCTGAATATTTGTTTTTGTACGGTGTAATTGAAATGTAATTGACCAATATATCACGATTAATCAACACTACAAAATCATTCACGAAATTGAAAGACATGCACAGATATACTTAATTAAACTGAAACAGTTCCGATTTTTAATTATTATTATTTGCTGCCTTTCCCGGTGGCTTTATGTCTTCAGTTGAAAATCATGTTTTTAGAATTTCATCCCATCAAGCAATAATAAAAAATAATATATTCTGTAATAAAGAATAAAATATTCTGCAATAAAGAATAATATATTCTGTAATAAAGAATAGTTTATTATGTAATTAATCAAAAATAATTATATTCTGTATCATTTTGAATTACGCTGTTGCTTAAGGTCAACTAATTATTGTCAAAAGTTACCATTATCACTAATTTTCTCAGGTACCTAAGATTTGCTTATTTCCGGTACATTCATGTTATCAAAAAGCAAATCACGTTTTTAGAAGTTCATTCCTTCAAACAGTAATAAAGAATCAGATATTCTGTAATGAAGAACAAAGTATTATGTAATAAAGAATAAATATTCTGTAATAAAGAATTATATATTCTGTAATAATGAATAATATATTCTGTAATAAAGAATAATATATTCGGTAATAAAGAATAATATATTCAGCAATTAATGGAAAATAATAATACTCCGTATCATTTTTCATAACGCTGTTGCTTGAGGTCTACTCTCGATAGTCAAAAATTACGTCATTGACATTATGGCAATTTTTTACAGTTTATATTTACGCGCAAGTTCTTTTTCTTCATTATTTAAACTTGTCAATGCATGTACTTATTGCAAAATGTACTTATTGCAAATATTAGTTCATTGAAGTTCTCGAAAATAATTAGTAATAGTGACACTGGTATTTTTATATTCATTTTTTGCGAGCGAGCAAATGTCGGAACTTATTTAGAAGGCCTGAAAAAAATTGCAAAACTATTATTGATGTCTGTTATGCTTAATTAAGTGCATCTGGAATTTCAGTTATAAGTACTATGGCAACCTATTATATCACTCGCTCCATTTGTTTTGACTTCTGTTTTTCCTTTACTACTCGAGAAAGGCTTGTTTCGCGCTGGAATCCTGATCTTATTTCTTTGGTTAATTTGATAAGCTCTCTGATGACTTACATTTTATGTTTTTCTTTTAAAACGTTCAATCTATTTCCTTCCCATTCTATTTTTTCTCTTGCCGAAAGAGCTTTTTTGGTTTCTTTTCTTATTTTGTTGCAGAATTATACATTAGGTTTAGTTTTCATCTGAAGTAATAATTCTGAAGTAATATTTATGTTATGAATTTTATGAATGTATTTTATATTGTATTTTATGTTTATTTTATGTATTTCATACAAAAAGATTTAAACGAAAGCGATGCTCTTACAGGAGCTGTAGAATTTCTTTTAAAAAATAATAAAGGGAAAGTAAGTCCTTAATATTTAGGTTTGCTTTAAAAAATATGTTTGTATAATGAATAATAAGAAGCAAAAACTTTTTTTTAAAAAAATGAGTATATATTGAGCTGTAAGAAAATATTGTATCATCTAATCTAAAAATCTTAAATTTCTCATATCCAGTTCTACTTTTATTTATTTTAAGAAAAATTTATTTAAAATTCTCTTTTTTTTGGAGAATTCATAGATTATAAAAATCATTTTGATGCTAAAACTTTGGGAATTTGTATTAAAGATGCAAAATAAAGAACATATGAACACAAAACAAGTTTGGTCATAGAAAAATAGCTTGTTGCAGATGCCGATTTATTGAAAGTTATCAGTTTTTCTTTTTGAAGTGAGAGGTGATAGTTCTCATTTTAAAAAGTCAAAAATACTCTTACTCGTTAAATGTTATGAATATATGGTAAAGATCTTTTGATTTGTAATAATTTCCGAACCAGGCATCTAAAGCTTGTGTTCGTACACAAAACATATATATTTCGATCCTAAATTTTGATAAATAATATAAACATCAAATTTCTGATCCCGGTTACTTTTTTTTTGCTGTAAAAGAGATTTGAATTTATGTTTTGAACAATTAGATTTGTATAAGAGCCAATAAAATCCTATTTACTATGCTGTCATACTGTAGATTTTATTTAGGCATTCACGCAAAACTTATTGTCCTAAACATAGACAGTGTTTTCTCATGATTTTGAGCAAGCTGACAAATTTCTGAGGAAGGTGAACCAGAATTTTACTCATTTTTATTTTTTTTAAAAATGAGTTAAAGAAAAAAAGCTGCATTTCCCTGTATGTTTTTGAGTCTTTAAGATATTTAAATTTAATTTTACTTATTTCTGTAGAGTTTAAGAAAAGACACGCATGTGGTTTTCTCTAAAGAGCCTTTAATTAAGTTACTTCAATGCTGTTTTATTTATTTCATAAGTTTATGAAGAGAAAAAAACATAGGTGAGCTTCTCTAAAGAGTCTTTCGTTTAGATATTTTAATGCGGATTTATTTATTTCGATAGAGTTAAGGAAAGGTATGTGGGTTATTTGAGATCACCCTTAGAAAAATTAAGATTGAGTCCTAGATCATGTGGATCCTATCACATTAGATCAAAAGTTTTTCAGGACGATCTGCTTATTTATTTTTTATTATTTTTTGTTAGTACTGTAATACTAAAACTAGTAATTTGAAAGCATGGAATAATTTAGAAAATATTAATAAAATATAAGAAATAGTACAACACTCATTAGTCCTAGTATACAATTTAATGATCATGCAAATTTCATATACGGAGGAGCCTCCCCTCTTACAATTTAAGCAACGTGGGAATTTTGTATGTCTGCCTTAAATTACTAAAAAAATAAGTAATCTAATTTTTCTTGGAAGAACCTGAAATTTTACTAGTCATCTCAAATCTTACGAATTAAAATAATTATTTGCCTTTCGTTTAAAAATTCTTTTGAATATCCATGCAGTATGCAATGTCTTGGTTGTATTTATTTTATTAATGAAGAGAACACAACCCTTTTCGTTGAAAGCAATTTATTGCAATATGTAAGTTTCAAATTACTTTGAAAACCTAAAATTTTTTCTTAGAAGTATTTTATTTTAACACAGTCACTTCAATTTAAATTGAAATAATAATTATAATTTCAAATTTAAGATCACGTTAAATAACATAAAATTTTGTAATTGTAGTCCTTAGTTCATTGAGTTTAATTTCGTCTCCCAGTTCATAATCTCTAAGTTTTAATATGTTTAAATGCAATATATTTATTGATCCTTATAAAATTAATAAAAACTATCTGTTACGTTTAAAATAGTTATCTTTTAATAAATTTATGAAAAGTCATGTACTCAATTTTGAAAAATAATAATTCGCATGCATTTTTTTAAAAAAAATTTCATTCCAGGGTCTGAATGACTTAATTATTTTTTGTAGCATTAGTTTGTTTCAAAATTTTATTTCTAACTATTCATTTATTTATTTATTGTCTTTTAACCTAGGAGATCTGAAGAAGAGCACATTAAGAATCATTTCCCGAAAGCTGAATTTATTGAATTTGAAGGAGGCTCTCACAATCTTCACCTGGAATATCTGGATAAGTTTGTTAAAACAATTTTAGACCACTTATAGCAAAAATAAGAATGTCAGATCTTGATATGAACTAAAAATTCATTGTTACAATAAACGATTATTCATGTCTTAAGTTGTATGAGATTTTAATATGCTATCAAAGTCTATAACTGGTTGGGCTTCTGAAAATCTAAATTTAGGCTCCTCTGTTGGTTTTAATATCACAAGCTCTTTGTACAAATACGTACTTAAACCAAGCTTTAAATACTGTTTCATGAATTAATTTTTCTTTCAGCATGATTGAACAACTACAATTGATTAGTGTATGCAGAAATGGGAAAAATCTGTGGTAGGAAAAGTCTCTTAGAATTGAGAAGGATTTACAACTAGAATATTCAGATTTGCAAAGATTAGTGTGACAAAAAAATAAATAAATAAATAAACGGATCATCCTGAACAACGTTTGATCTAATGATCGGATTTTCATGTCCCGCGATTCATTCTTATTGTAGTAGGGGGTGACATCTAATGCTAATTAATAAGGGCAGATGATAGGTTAAGTCATGATATCAGACACAAAAACATACTTATTTGGATTTCTGACCTCCAAAATGCACGGGGTAGCCGAATATATAATTCTAAGCCGTAATATAATTCTACATTTTAAAAAACGAAATTTGAGCAAAATTGGTCGAATATTTCCGGAGAATTTTAAAAAAACGAATCCTAAAATTCTATTTTTCGGGAAATATTTAAGATCTTATACAAGACCTTNTGAGGAATTTTTCTTCAAATGTTTGGCGTGTTCTGTTCCTGAAAGATTTACTAATATTCTGGAGATTTTTTTCAAGTTCTTCGGCCTTTTCCTTAGGGAAATTTTGTTTCTTATTTGCTGCTAAAAAATGGCGTCTGATTCTGTCAATGACTTTGATGGAACTAAATGAAAACGTGATAAATTAATGTCTGATATTTACAGGCTCCCGCTAGATGGCGTACTCGAGCGTTGCGATCGCGAATTGAGGAAATTTATTCCTTTTACAATAATTTTTTTTAACACCCCATAGCTTGAAATACTTTATTTTTATCTATCTTTATATTTTAATCTACTTAAACACAAATAGAAAACATTAGCATACATGAAATTGAATAAGAAATGAAAAAATTAAGAAATAAATAAAATAAATAACACGCTTTTGATTATACATTTTATTGCTCATCCTCGTAGTATTTGTAACAGACATTTAACAAATAGCAGGAAACAGGCGCTTTCTAAAATAATTATAAAATAACAGTTGCTTAAAAACTTCATAGATATTTTACCTTTAAACTGTCAAATTACCTTTTTGATCAGTACCATGAGTTAAAAGTTTAATACTATGAGAATATGGTAAAACTTACCGTTATTCTGGCTCTATGGGAACGCCAAAGAGCTCGGAAATTCTTAAAGAAACGCTTTGGTAATGATTTTGATAAAATGAACAATAAATTATGGTTTTATAATGTGTGATAATATTTGGTACATGCCGTAAAATTTGATAATTTTATCATACCCATGGCCATGACATAAGAACCATTTATTCGATTGAATTGATTTTACAGTTTTTTATTTTTCACGAAATACGTGATTTGATATTTAATTTTAAAAACCAGAACTTTCAGTAAGCAATTACATTATCAACCTAAAAATTACCAAATGAGTGGTTTAAATACCGTATACTCTGGTTTTAAATACCAGATTTATGGTTTTTCTTACCACAAATGTCATTATCGTACAGGATGGTAACTTTACCAAAATGTTTCCCTGCGTTACGTTACTTACGCTTTGGCTATTTGTGTAGCTAATTCAATTAACTTTAGTAGCTAATCAAAAAATTTTTTTTGTAAGAGATAATACGAAAATTTATTAACAAATGATGAAAAAAATTTCAAGCTTCAGCATGATATCTAAATTATTTCATTTTGTTTGTCATTTTCATATGTATAGGAATAATTTTTTAAATCAAATAACAGCTATTAACTATATATTCGGCATAATATATTTATTTTTCCTTAGTTACACACCAGTAAAAATTGCTTACAAGGAGTTTGAGCCTTCAGGAGGAAGTAATGACAAGTTAGCACCAGTAATTTTTTTGCATGGCGTCACTTCTTCAAAAGAATCGTGGAACGTTATACCACAGATCATAGCTGACAAAACTAAAAGGAAAGTAGGTTTTATGCAATCACAATTTCTGGAAGGGAAACCATGGCGTCTCAAGGGACACAGCTCTTGCCTCCCATTGAGATTACTTAGGTTCAATACGATAACGGTTCGATTTGAATCTTGCTTCCGATTGGAACCAATCTTAATGTCGACTGATCATGGATTACAATCCCTTTGTAATCGGGTTAACTATGGGGATTTCGTGGTTTTCCCCTCCGTCTAATCACCTGTTAGTTTCTTCAAAAAATTTTCAGTTTGTCTCAACGCTTGATTTAAGAGTTCTCTTGTCTCCTGGTCTTGTTAAAATTATAAGACTACGGAGTTGAACATGTAGAGTTATCGGAGCTGAATATTAAAATTGAACATTCAACTCACAAATGAGCTGTCTGTTCAACGCTAGTTACAAAATAAAAGCAGAATTTCAACATGAAAAGAAATCAACAATCATTATTTTGAATACCAGAAATTCTGTTTAACAGCATTTTGTCAACGTGTTTTGTTTTGCAGTAATCTTTTTTCTCGAATTTTTCTCCGTTTCGTTAAATTCTTTTCTTTTTTATTTTATTCAGATTAACAAAAAAAAACGGGGTTTAAACATGGAGGAATAATTTTTAACAAATTCCTTCTCATGTTCTATTAAGTTGCTGTTGTTGTTTCTAATGGAACTTGCTAGTCCAGCAACCCTGCTTAGTCAAACCAACCATATTTAAAGTAGAGGGTGCATTTCTTGTTTTTCAGTGGCGCCATCTATAGCCAAGTATACGACTTTAGCAACACTCGCGTTACAAACTGTTTATAAGGGGGACCCATTTATTTATCGAATCATTCATCATTGGATCGTAATTTTGACTTGAACCAGAGATCCAATTGACCTGATCAATCTCGAATTCAGTGCCCCCAAAGATGCTATATTATGATTTAATTATCAAGCATGCAGTTTTATGATTATATATTTTAATACCTTTTACATTTTAATATTTATTATTTCTATATGAAGATTTTGTTACTTATTCTTATCATATTTTTTTATTCATTTTTATTTGCATTTCTTATTGTTTTCACATTTATATTTAAATTTTTTGGCTAGTGACATGCTTAATTGGAGAGATTTGAATGTCAATGATATATTTAAAATGTATTTGGAGTTATTTTTGAAAATCTGGGGAAATTTTTTTCTCCAACTTTCAAATGACATTCTAGAACTCAACCTTAATGGCATTAGAGAGTTACCTCAAATATGTCAATTAATAAGTGCAGACGATATTTTAAATTAGGAAACGAAAAACGCACTTTCTCTGAATTAACATAACTTCTTTGGATGGATCCAGATTTTTGACCCCCAAAATATGTGAGGAAACCGCAATCTGGGAAATATGGCTCCGCTAGTATGGTCAGGAAAGTGGTCCAAAATTTGTAACCCTTAATGTTAATTTTACTTTTTGCGTATTTCACCAGATCTTGAAAACTTTTTCAGAGAATTGAAAAATATTTTGCACTCAATTATAAATTTCGTTTATCTGAAGAAAATTCCAAGCAAAATTTTAATTTTCAGTAAATATTTAATATTTTTTATAATTTTATTGAATGACATTTGAAAAATTTTAAATTGGGTATACAAAATTTGAGCAAAATCGATCGAATAGTTCCTGAGAATTCAAATTTCTAGAAAGCGCATTTCAGACACTGTACGCGAAAAGGCTTACAGCATGTGAGCTTTTTTGATCTGATTTGTGTGTAACTTTCACAAAAATTTAAATATACTTATTAATTTTTAAAAGGAAGCTTTTATATTTTTTGTTTAGTATTTGTTATATATCACTCGAATAGTTGAAATTCGATTCTTTTTATGTTACTATTTCAGACTTACGCCTGTGATGCAAGAAACCATGGAGAAAGTGAATATTCTGAACATTTCAATTTAGATGTAAACGTTGATGATCTATTTCAATTTATGAATGACTTGAACATTGAAAGAGCCGTTTTAGTTGGTCACAGTATGGGAAGTTTCACCTCCACAAAAGCTGCGCTTAGAAAGGTTTGTGTGTAGGTTTATTTATAATAAAGAAAGTACTAATAAATTGAAAAAAAAGTTGTGCAATTTTAAAATTTGAAGATGTTATTCCCCATTAACGTCACATCATAAAAACTGAAAGTATAGTTATTTTCATCTAACTCAATAAACCATTGTCAATATATGTTCTTAAATTGTATCGTAACTTGATTTCGATTTTAATTTAATTTATTTAATAATTATTTCAATTTAATAATTAATTTGATAACCTGATTGAACACTTCATTCGCTTCAAAAATATACTTATGAATCGGAAAAAAACAGTCGGTATGTTTCAAGCACTCCATAAATATGCACTCCATAAATATGCACTCCCTGAAAGAGTAGTAATGATTTTCTAATCGTAATAACGTAAAGAAACTTCCTTAAGAACTAGCAGCTATTATTTTACGCTGTACATAGGATTTATTTGATTCTGTAAAAAGTGTTTTAAAAGATTTAAGTGAAAGCGGGGCTCTTACTAAAGCTGAGAAAACTTTTAACAGAAAGAAAGTGCAAATCCTTTTAATAACTTTCTTTTAAACTCAAAAGCCAAAGCATTGTTTTACACTACATATAGGTTATGTATCGCCTACTACATTTATTTTTGCAACCAATTTGTAAATGGTACGAAATGGGGGAATTGACATTGTAAGACCTTTAACAAGCTGTGAAAAACATTTTTTAATAACTATACGAAATAGTTATTTATAACCAGTAAGATTAGAAATTATATTTTAGGAAATATACGCCAAGAAACTTTATAAAGAAGTAGTAGATAGTGTTGTACGCTACATAAAGTTTATGTATAGGCTACTACATTAATTTTTACAACCATTTTTTAAATGGTATGTAAAGGGGGAATGGTAGGACTTTTTGCCACTAGTGACAAACATTTTTGAGTAATAATACGAAATATTTACTTATAGCCCGAAAAATTAGCAATGATAATTTTGGAAGTCATATACTCAATGAAACCTTCTAAAGAAGTAGTAGATATTAAAAAACTTTTTATAAATTATGAAAAATATTTTCGAATAGCAACACAAAATATTTATTTACAGCCCGAAAGAATAGAAACTATATATTAGGACATATACGTAAAGAAAATTTCTGAAGAAGTAGTAGATAGAGTTTTACGCTATGTATCGGTTATCCATCGGCTACTACGTTTATTTTTACAGCCATTTATTTAATGGTATGTAATGGGGGCATTGATATTGAAAGACTGTTTTCAACTTGTGAAAAACATTTTTGAATCATAATACAAAATATTTTTTTTTAGCCTGAAAGAGTAGAAATGATATTTTCGGAGGACATGTACGTAAAGAAACTTCCAAAAGAAATAACAGATTCTGTTATACGCTACGCATCTGATTTTTATGATGCTGTAAAAAGTGTTCCAAAAGATTTAAGTGAAAATGAAGCTCTTATAAAAGCTGTGAAAACTTTTTGCAAGAATAATAAAGTAAGTCTTTTTATATTTTTTTCTTTTAAATTCATGTTAAAACCCTAAACATTGCTGTTGCTGTGATTAAAATGGAATATATTATGTAATGTATTATGTAGTAACCGAAAGATACTAACTCTTTAATAGCTTATCGTACTAAATAAATATCTTATACAATATTAAGTATAGTATATCTAAGTATATATATCTAAGTCAGTCTTTCTCAAAGTGGGCGATAACGCCCCCTTGGAGGCTCTTGAAACCTAGAGGGGGCGTTAAGGGGCCCAGAAAAAATGGGGGGCGTTGATGTGGGTTAGGGGGCGATGTATAATTTGTAATTTCATTTACTTTATATAGTATTTCAAATTTCACTAAAATTGAAACCCACCTACTACACAATAACGAATAATTAGTATATATTTCTACCCTATATGATGTTATAAAAACTTAAAATACTTAACATAGATTTCATAGGATAGCCCGCACACCGTACGCAATCAAGTTGTAACGAGTTTCTGCGGATAGATAAAGGAACATGATCGATGATAGTTAAAAAATTAGAGCAATTTTACCTTAATTACATTGCACCAGAACGAAGCGATGAAGCCTTCAAGACTTCAAGATCATTTGAATAAAATGCATCCGGATAAGAAGGACAAAAATGTAGCCTATCTTCAAGATCTGGAAAAGAAGCATAATGCTCAGCCAAGTGTATCAAAACTTTTTTCGATGGCTGCTAAGCAAGACGATGACGGAATTCGAGCTTCATACAATATCTCTCTGTTAATTGCTCAAACAGTTAAACCACACACCATCGGAGAAACGTTAATTTTGCCGGCGATAAAAGAAGTTATATCTACTGTGCTCCATAAGCCGGCGGCAGATATAATTCGAAAAATTCCTTTGAGCAATAGTTCTGTCCAAAGACGAATTGATGAAATGGCTGAAAACATTGAAAAGTCATTGTGCAATCATCTGAAGACTAGTAAATTTTCAATTCAGTTGGATGAGTCCACTTTACCAACTAATGAAGCAATGTTGTTGTCTTACGTGAGATTTATTAAAGATGAAAAAATATGTCAAGAAATTTTATTTGCTAGAAATTTAGAGACAGACACGAAAAGAGAAACCGTATTTAAAACACTGAAAAAGTTTTGCGGTGAAAAAGGAATTCCGTTGAAGAATATTATATCAGCTGCTACAGATGGTGCTCCAGCTATGACGGGTTGTCAAAAAGGCTTCATATCGTACTTAAAAAAAATTCCTGATGTACTTACTGTACATTGCGTTATACATCGACAGCATTTAGTTGCTAGAAATTTAAGTGAACTACTATTTCAATCATTGCAACATGTCATCAGAACAGTCAATAAAATCCGAAACAACTCCTTAAATGACAAATAATTTAATCAGCTTTGTGTTGATAATGATGAAGATTTCAACAGATTGATCTTTCACACAGAAGTGAGTTGGTTATCAAAAGGAAATTGTCTGACTCGTTTTTACAATCTGTGTGACTCTGTCAAAGAGTTCTTGGAAAACGAAGACACAGAATTGCGCGAAAACCTCATCACATCAAAGAATGATATCGCATACCTAACAGACCTTTATACATTGCTTAATGATATGAATCTCCAACTTCAAGGCGATGAATTGAACTTTATAAAAACAAAAAATGTCGTCGCTGCTTTCGTAGCCAAGCTGCTCTTACACAAAAAGAATATCGGCAGACGTAAGTTCCATAATTTTCCCAATTTATCAGTATCCTGCAACAACGGCGACTTGCTCGTCTACTGCCAACATTTGGAAAATCTTCACAGTGATTTCATTGAAAGATTCCAGGAAATTTTGAAATTGGAAATACCAGACTGGATGTTAGATCCTTTTTCAAATGTCAACATAGCAATATCACCCCAGTTGGAAGAAGAACTTATAGAACTGACAACGAACGAGGAAATAAAAATCAAATACAAAAATGGCTACCAACAATTTTGCTACAAAAGTCAATTCCGCAGTTGTACCCTGGATTGTGGTCTATCGTTGAACGATTTTTGATAGCATTCCCATCGTATTGAACGTGGATTTAGGGCTGTGACAACGCTGCTTACTCAAAAAAGAAATAATTTGCAAGTTACCAAACGCGACTTACGACTGTTTTTGAGTAAAATCGAACCTGATATCAACAAACTTATTAAATATCATCAAATTCATCCATCTCATTAGATTAGTATAAAAACAAAAACTGATTACATATTTGTATTGTTTCTTTTATTTCAATTAAAATATATTATTAATATTATAAAATTGGGTTTTATTTGCTCTCACTGGTAAAAATTTCTAGTTTAGAATGTAAGTTTAAACATCAGAGGCGACTAATAAACTAAATTAATTAAAGTTATGAAATTGGGGTTTTTAAGTTTTAGGGGTGCATAAAAAATGGGGGGCGTTGAAAAATAATTGATTTTCAAAGGGGGCAGTGAAAGAAATAAGTTTGATAATCACTGATCTAATATCTCCAATAATATCTCCAATAATAAATTCTCAAATCCAATAATATATCCAATAATATATCTCCAATAATAAATTCTCAAGCAACTAAAGTGGTAAAATATTATTTGATTAAAAACTTCATTCGCTTTAGAAAAATACTGATTGAAAAGAAATATCGATGCGTTTTAAGCGCTCAAAAATAGGCCACTATTTTCAAGACTTGCCAGACATACATGAGAAGAGGCCAAAGTGAGTTGAAATATAAAACCTAAAGTTTTTAACGTAAAAAGAAAAAATAAAGATGAATAACAAAATTTAAGAAAAAAAGCACAGTTGCCGAAAGAGAAAAAAATTGAAAAACAGATCAAGAAAAAAATAGAGGCCGAGTGGTAAAATCAAGGTTAAATTTGTTTCGACCCTTTACACTGCTAAAACTTTCGAGCCATGTAACACCAAAAATTGATATTCATTTGCCGGCAACTTAAAATGGAGCTCAATTTTACCATATTTTGCTATTTTCACTTGCTCCAAATAACAGTTAAAAATACACTGAAAGTAGGTATTTTAAAGAAACAAAACTACTATTTTCATTCTTTTTTCTTCTTTTTTTTATATAAAGGCAGAAGAAAGTTACACCTTTATTAGGTATTTCTAAAGAGCTCGAATGCAGGACAAGATTGTTATTTACCGTAACAAAACTATTAACCGTAAGTAGATTATTTTTCGACTTACCTCTAATTATTTTATACCACCAACCATATCCAACTTCCAACTAACTTGATGGGGGGTTCTTTTAGAGGGGGGGGGGTTATTTTGGAAGAACATCTGCTAACAGTTTTTATTATGAGGGCTTGGGACAGGAGTTTTGGCAGGAGATGACAACAACAGAATGCACTATTTGTTGTTTTGGTATGAAACTTTCTCGATACGAAACAGAAAAAGCCAGTGTCAAAAAAATTTACCTTGTATCAAATGTTACAGATTTTATTTGTTGATTAAATGATCATATTTTATTAATTAATATTTTCAATATATTGAGATGCAATTTCAGTGAATTTCGGTAGAGTTTAAGAGCGTAAATTTTCTACAAGTAAAATTATAAAAATTTATTTTTAAACAAATTTTTTCAACAGTAACTTTTCACTTAACGCTTCATTCAGAAACGTTTAAACTGAATAAGAGTTATTAATTTTTCATGTTATTTCTTACTGTAAGAAATAAATTATTTTCAGGGGGTATATAGCTCAGAAGAATCTTTAAGGGGATCGAATTATGTCGTGAAGAGAAGATCAGATGGAGGATATGACGTAGCTTTCAATAAAGATCCAATAATTAGAGCATTTGAAGATCCAGAAACATTAATGACCAGTCCTAGTGGTCAATTTAATGGCCATGTTTATTTCATATATGGGAGAGACTCGCCCCTTCGTGTGTAAGCAATATGACTTTTTTATATGTCTGTTTTAAATTTCATAATTGTTTCCAAATTTTATTTTCTGAGAAATATTTATAACTAGCTGAATATCCGTTTTTGTACGGTGTAAGAGAAATGTTATTAACCAATAAATCGTGATTAATCAACACTACGTAATCATGCATGAAATTGAAAGACATGTACAGATATACTTAATTAAGCTGAAACAGGTCCGATTTTTAATTATTATTATTTGCTGCGTTTCCTGGTGTCTTTATGTCATCAGTAAAAAAATCTTGCTTTTTGAAGTTCATTACTTCAAACAATATTAAAGAATAATATATTCTGTAATAAAGAATAAAGTATTCTGTTATAAAGAATAATATATTCTGTAATAAAGAATAGTTTATTATGTAATTAATCAAAAATAATTATATTCTGTATCATTTTGAATTACGCTGTTGCTTAAGGTCAACTAATTATTGTCAAAAGTTACCATTTTTAATAATTTTCTCAGATGCTTTACTAAATTCTAATGCTTTACTAAATTCCGGTAGATTAATGTAATCAAAAAGCAAATCATGTTTTTAGAAGTTTATCCCTTCAAACAATAATAAAGAATCAGATATTCTGTAATGAGGAATAAAGTATTCTGTAATAAAGAATAACATATTCTGTAATTAATAAAAAATAATAATATTCCGCATCATTTTTCATAACGCTGTTGCTTGAGGTCAACTCCCGATAGCCAAAAATTACGTCTTTGACATTAATAACAATATGGCAATTTTTTACAGTTTATATACACGAGCTAGTTTTTTTTTCACCTTTAATTTAACATGTCAATGCTTTTTATTAAATGTACTTATTGCAAAAATTAGTTAATTGCAGCTCTCGAAAATAATTAGTAATAGCGTCACTGATATTTTAATATTCATTTTTGGCGAACGAGCTAATGTCGGTACCTATTTAGAAGACCTGAAAAAAAATCGCAAAACTATTATTGATGTCTGGTATACTTAATTAAGTGCATCTGGAATTTCAGTTATAAGTACTATGGCAACCTATTATATCATTCGCTCCATTTGTTTTGACTTCCGTTTTTCCTTTACTACTCGAGAAAGGCTTGTTTCGCGCTGGAACCATGATTTTATTTCTTTGGTTAATTTGATAAACTCTCTGATGACTTGCAATTTCTGTTTTTCTTTTAAAACGTTCAATCTATTTCCTTCCCATTCTATTTTTTCTCCTGCCGAAAGAGCTTTTTAGTTTCATTTCGTTTCTTTTTCTGTTGCATATACATTAGGTTCAGTTTTCCTCTGAAGAAATAATTCGGTCCTTAATAACATTTTTCATTTTGGCTTTATTATTATTTTTTATATTATTGTTTTTATTCCAAGGATTTCTTTTCTACATTTCCAATTCATTTTTGCAATTTTCTCCATCATTCCTCTACAATTCCGATTCTTAACTTGCCGTTATCCAATCCTACAGTATTTTAATATTTTGCACTTTTAGCACTCCTGCCTGATTTAAACTCAACACATTCTTACTTGCAATCCAAGAGTCATGCTTCATTCTACTAACATTCTAAGGTCGTTTTCAAAGATCACTCCGGTCAATTTCTTTTAAATGTTTTGGAACAAGAATGCTTTCAGTTTGTGGCTGTTAGCCAGGGCCCCAACTTGGAGGACCAGAGTGCTGCTCTTTTGTCTGATGTCTTGCCTCTGACTTATCGTGGTTGGCTAACGCTGACATCAGTCAAGCACTTGCCGGAATAGTTCTAGGAATCAAAATCACATGAAAACAACTGAACCGTGATAAAGTGAATACAAGGCAAAAACAACGTGAATAAAGGACAGATAGAGGTACCAGACAGATAGAGGACATGCTATCATTTTGGTTCTATAGCATGAACCACCCCCAGAACACCAAATAACAATGAAAAAGTAACAAGACAAAAGCAAGACAAGACGTTCATAGTGGTTCTGCAAGTAGAGAATGAGAGAGAAACAAGATAGTAGAAGAGGGGACATAAAAAAAACAAGTGGTGTGAAGGTGTTTCTCTGAGGGGCAAGATGTAGCATTAAGTTCAAATAGATTTTCATACATTGGCAGAGGATGAGATACTAAAAAAATCATTAACTAAATTATTAGAATTTTTAAAATATGGAATGACTCCAAGAAATCAAGGTCAGCATAGGAAGATTAGTGTTGAATGTTTCAGGCAGAGTAATAACCAGACAATATGTCCTTAATATTTCTTGTAACTATAATTTATTTTACTTTTTTTACTATATTCATGTATGTATATTGGTTATATTTTCTTTTTTGCTAATTTTTGTATATTTTATCTGTATTACTTTAATGACTATTATTTGTGCATAGATATTAACTCTACTGTATTACTATGTATGTTTTTGTCTGTGTGATTATTATTTTATTTATGTCATGAATTTTATGTATCTATTTTATGTTGTATTTTATGTTTATTTTAAGTATTTCATACAAAAAGATTTAAACGAAAGCGATGCTCTTGCAGGGGCTGTAGAATTTCTTTTAAAAAATAATAAAGGGAAAGTAAGTCTTCAATATTTAGGTTTGCTTTTAAAAAATATGTTTGTATAATGAAAAATAATAAGAAAAGAAAACTCTTTCTTAAAAAAATGAGTATGTATTGAGCGGTAAGAAAATATTGTATCATCTAATCTAAAAATCTTAAATTTCTCATATCCAGTTCTACTTCTTTTTATTTTCTAAATAATTTACTTAAAATTCGTTTTTTTTTTTGGAGAATTTGTATATTATAAGAATTATTTTAATGGTAAAACTTTGCGAATTTGTATTAAAGATGCAAAATAAGGAATATATGAACACAGAACAAGTTTGGTCATAGAAAAATAGCTTGTTATAAATGCCGATTTATTGAAAGTTATCAGTTATCCCTCTTGAAGTGAGGTGATAGTTCTCATTTTAAAAAGTTAAAAATGACAAGCAATACTCTTACTCATTAAACGTTATGAATATATAATTAAGATTTTTTGATTTGTGGTAATTTCCGAACCAGGCATCTAAAGCTTGTATTCGTACATAAAGCATATATATTTCAATCTGAAATTTTGATAAATATAATAAAGATCAAATTTCTAATCCCGGTTACTTTTTTTTGCTGTAAAAGTGATTTGAATTTATGTTTTGAACAATTAGATTTGTATAAGAGCCAATGAAATCCTATTTACATTGCTGTCTCACTTTAAATTTTATTTAGGCATTCAAAAAAAAATTATTGTCCTAAAGTATAGATATTGTTTTCTCATGATTTTGAGCACGTTGGCAAATTTGTGAGAAAGGTGAATCAGAATTTTACATAGTTCTCCTTTTTATTTTTTTAAATAGGAGTAAAGGAAAAGAGCTGCATTTTCCTGTCGGTTTTTGAGTGTTTAAGATATTTCAATTAAATTTTACTTATTTCAGTACAGTTTAAGAAAAGACACGGATGTGGTTTTTTCTAAAGAGCCTTTAATTAAGTTATTTCAATGCTGTTTTATTTATTTCATGAGTTTATGCAAAAAACTGTAGGTGAGTTTCTCTAAAGAGTCTTTCGTTTAGATATTTCAATGCTGATTTATTTATTTCGATAGAGTTAAGGAAAGGTACGTGGGTTTTTTAAGATCATCCTTAGAAATATTAAGATTGAGTCCTAGATCATGAAGATCTTATCACATTAGATCCAAAGTTTTTCAGGATGGTCTGTTTATTTATTATTTATTATTTTTTGTTAGTACTGTAATACCAAAGCTAGTAATTTGAAAGCATGGAATAGTTTAGATAATATTATAAAAATATAATTAATAGTACAACACTCATTAGTCCTAGTATACAATTTAATGGTCATGCAAATTTCATATACGGAGGAGCCTTCCCTCTTACAGTTTAAGCAACGTGAAAATTTTGTCTTAATTTTGTCTAATGTCTGTCTTAAATTACTAAAAAAATAAGTAATCTAATTTGTCTTAGAAGAACCTGAAATTTTACTAGTCATCTCAAATATTACGAATTAAAATAATTATTTGCCTTTCGTTTAAAAATTCTTTTGAACATCCATGCAGTATGCAATGTCTTGGTTGTATTTATTTTATTAATGAAGAGAACACAACCCTTTTCGTTGAAAGCAATTTAATGCAATATGTAAGTTTCAAATTACTTTGAAAACATAAAATTTTTTCTTAGAAGTATTTTATTTTAACACAGTCACTTCAATTTAAATTGAAATAATAATTATAATTTCAAATTTAAGATCACGTTAAATAACATAAAATTTTGTAATTGTAGTCCTTAGTTCATTGAGTTTAATTTCGTCTCCCAGTTCATAATCTCTAAGTTTTAATATGTTTAAATGCAATATATTTATTGATCCTTATAAAATTAATAAAAACTATCTGTTACGTTTAAAATAGTTATCTTTTAATAAATTTATGAAAAGTCATGTACTCAATTTTGAAAAATAATAATTCGCATGCATTTTTTTAAAAAAAATTTCATTCCAGGGTCTGAATGACTTAATTATTTTTTGTAGCATTAGTTTGTTTCAAAATTTTATTTCTAACTATTCATTTATTTATTTATTGTCTTTTAACCTAGGAGATCTGAAGAAGAGCACATTAAGAATCATTTCCCGAAAGCTGAATTTATTGAATTTGAAGGAGGCTCTCACAATCTTCACCTGGAATATCTGGATAAGTTTGTTAAAACAATTTTAGACCACTTATAGCAAAAATAAGAATGTCAGATCTTGATATGAACTAAAAATTCATTGTTACAATAAACGATTATTCATGTCTTAAGTTGTATGAGATTTTAATATGCTATCAAAGTCTATAACTGGTTGGGCTTCTGAAAATCTAAATTTAGGCTCCTCTGTTGGTTTTAATATCACAAGCTCTTTGTACAAATACGTACTTAAACCAAGCTTTAAATACTGTTTCATGAATTAATTTTTCTTTCAGCATGATTGAACAACTACAATTGATTAGTGTATGCAGAAATGGGAAAAATCTGTGGTAGGAAAAGTCTCTTAGAATTGAGAAGGATTTACAACTAGAATATTCAGATTTGCAAAGATTAGTGTGACAAAAAAATAAATAAATAAATAAACGGATCATCCTGAACAACGTTTGATCTAATGATCGGATTTTCATGTCCCGCGATTCATTCTTATTGTAGTAGGGGGTGACATCTAATGCTAATTAATAAGGGCAGATGATAGGTTAAGTCATGATATCAGACACAAAAACATACTTATTTGGATTTCTGACCTCCAAAATGCACGGGGTAGCCGAATATATAATTCTAAGCCGTAATATAATTCTACATTTTAAAAAACGAAATTTGAGCAAAATTGGTCGAATATTTCCGGAGAATTTTAAAAAAACGAATCCTAAAATTCTATTTTTCGGGAAATATTTAAGATCTTATACAAGACCTTCGAAACATAAATCAATATTCTAATAATATGCTAATTTTAAAGAAAGAAGCTAATGTATCATGAAGGGGGAAGATTTTGAACCTAAATTGGTTGCATGTAAATGTTTATATTGCATATCGAAAAAGAAATTATGTGGCAGAAAAAATCTCTTAGCATAGGGAAAGATTTGAAAATTGGAATATTCACATTTGTGCGCTTATCTCAAATACTGACATACAAGACTTTTAAAACTTTTTTCTTTACTTTTAAAACATTGACGAGAATTTTTTACTGGTTTTGATACTCTAAAAATAATATTTTGAGGAGCGTATCAAAAAATAAAACGAAACTAGACTTTCTACACAATTTAGATTTAGATATCGTTCGTAAGTAAGATTTAGCTCATGAAATTTATCTTGATTGGTATTCTATCAAAATGATTAAAGTTTCGAGTAATTTAATTTTAAAGAAATAGCTGGATGAACATATTTTCTTAAATTTTTTTTCCTTAGCTTTCGCATTGTTATTTTAAATTTTCGATTATAGTCGAGTGGAAAAATTATAGCAGCATAAGATACAACGCCGCTCGAATTATCTCGAGTGTGCGCAGCTTAGTCTGTTTAGCGCGCTCGAATTAACTCGAGCGCACCAGTTACGGAGTTAAACACACCTGCTGCACCTGTAATGAAAATCAATGAATCTCTTAGATTAAGTGCAAATTCAGTAAGACTTAATGCAAATAATTTTTAATACAATATCCATTGCTGAAACTTAAGGAAATATTTTCACGCTAAAATGGAGGTAAACAAATATCAGTCTTGCATGCCTTCAAATGAAAGTTCATCAAACAATGTACAGACATCCAAAAATTGTTAACACATTGAATGCCCCGGGGGTCATAGGTGACCAGCACTGAGTTTGTTCTTAGAGCTGAGGGGCCATCGGTGACCGGCGAAGCCAAGATTATTAGAAACACATAATTCGAATAAATTTTTAATACCTTTAATTTTTTTAAATATTATTATCGCTACTAAAATGGTTTGAAGAAATTAATGCAATACATATTGCGAAAATCATTTTGGTAGACGGGCAAGCCATGTAAAATTAGCGAGGCATACAATGTGTCATCAATAAATACCCACAAAGACTTGTAAGTCTGTAAAGGACATATCCTGGATTTAAATGCAGCTCCCGCTTTTTAGCAACGTTAAGTAGAATAGTTATTTTAAGGTATTTAAGTAGGTGAAATTTTTATGGATAGTGCTGGAATAACTGGAATTGATCATGAATCTCATTTTAAGTCATTAGAAAAAAAATTCAAATCATTTTACGAGCAGTGAACATAATTAAATTTTTCTAAAAGTAATTTTTTATATAGAAAATTTCCACAATCAGGAATTTTTTTCTGGTAATTATCCTTTACTGTTCATGATAAAAAATCTACTGCACTGTAAAACAATTTTGCTGCAGAGTTTGCCGCGACTTTTAGATGTGTTGTACACTAAAATTTCTTAACGTAAGTGTGGTCACAGTTTTTGCTTGCTTTTGCGCTAAAAAACAAGCACATTTATAGTGAATTATTTTTTAGAAAATTTTTATTTTTTCCATTTCATATAAGTTTGAGCATGATAACTACAGTTTTGGATTCAAAAATATATTTAGTTTAACTTTACACCAAAAAATGGTGACAATTATGCACCAAAATTGTTTGCACCAAAATTGTCTGTAGTAGTACTTGTGATAATTGGTACAAATTGAAAACAATACGAATTTCCACATGTATAGAATTTCAAATTACAGAAATTAATTAAGAATGGTTGGCGTCAGTATAAGTGAGGCGATTTTTTGCGATTTCCAACGAATCAGTATCTTTTCACCGTTAAGTTTGAATTTGCTTCTTGGCACACAACTTTTTTTTTATTTCAATTACTGTTGATTTTAAACAATTTAATTTTTATAAAAGTTTTTAAAAGCTAACTATAAATAAAATAAACACATGGTTTCAAGCAGCATTAAAATTACCAACTCGATTACGTAACCACGCTAAACAGGTTTATCGCTGAGCTTATAGGAAAAACTGAAAGGTTAAAAAACGTGCAATAAAATCATAACAGAATCGTCCATAGTTTAGTCTATGACAATGGATGTTGCTATACTAATAGGAAAAATACGTTTTTCAAATATCTATCCTGAAGGAACTAATTAAATTTTTTATTTATTTTTACTATGGAGGACTGAAACTGCTCCTTGTTGTCCATACCCAAATTTCAGAAGTTTAGTTCAAATAGTTCTGGAATTAAAAAGAGTTTAAGAGAGTCCAACACAGAAACAGACAAAAATGCTAAGAAAAACAAAAGAAACGTTGAAAAATAATGTAAGAAAATATTCCATAATGTTTCATTCATTAGATTTTGCATTAAGACAGTGTGAGTTGCCTGCGGAAAAAACTTTTTGAAACAGCAGCGATGAAGAAAGAAACGTTTATTTATTTATTTATTCCTTATGAAAGGGAGAAATAAACGTGATTCCGTCTGAAATAAGAATCAAAATATAGTCTCACAATATCATACGTGGTATATATTTGATAAAAATAACAGAAATCGTGTAAATGTATAAAAAATTTCAAAGAATCGGTCAATAAAAAAATACCCATTTTGCACTAGTTATTGCTCGCCAAATTTATTAAGCTGCTATTGATTATTTACCAAGACATAAAAATTAATAAAAAGTAATTTCTTTTAGAGTATTAGAAAGATTCGCTAGTATTTTTTTTTTGTAGTGATACTTTTCTTTATTAAGTGATAGTCTCTGGTGGGAGCTGAATGGATAGCAAAGTGACTAAGTAAGATTCAATATTATTAATAATTATAGTGTTAAAAATCTATGCAATAAGTTATTTTTATACTTATAACTAATTTTTAATTATATTAAAAATTATTTGAAGACTTACTAAAAGTGATTTATTTAATAGTGTCATTATTAGAGACAATTTTTTTCATGAATAATCAGTAAATTAGAAGGGAAAATATTAAAAGGATATCTTTTTAAGTCTTATTATCTGAAAAAAATAATCAAAATAGTCATCATATTTTTTTATTTATATTTTGAGCATTTATGAAACAAAATAATTACAATAATGATATAAAAAGGCGATTTACTTAAAAAAGTATTATAATAGCAGCTAATGATAGAAATTAGTTATCGATCTTAGCTAAAAAATATTCTATATGGAATTTTTTATCTTTTTTTAAAACAAAGAAACTTATGTATAGATATGTATATACAGAGGTTGGACAAAATTTTGAAAACGCTTCAATAATAACGTTTTTCAAGCAATATTTCTTTCAGCAGCAAATGTTTTCGAAAATTGTTTATAACTAAACTGTCGGCACAATTTGAAAGATCAAGCTTGAAGTTTTTAGGAATGGAGTCATTTTTACGCATGCAAAATTCGAATGGACAAAACTGTGTAGAGGAAATTAATATTTTTCCTCCAGTTTTAATACCAGCAATTTTGAAGTCATTCGAAAGAAAGCATTTTTGAAATCATTCTTCTCATTTTCACTAAGGGTCAAAAGGGGGTATTTTAATGACTATTATTGGAGAAAATGAGCAATCACAACAGTACTTTATTTAGCAAATATGTAATTATTATGAGAATATTTTATGATCTTATAATTAATGTTGATACAATATTTTATAATATTATAATTAATATTATTACAATATTTAATAATAGTATAACAAAACATATTGCTCTTGTTTCTCAAAATGTTTCTTCTTTTTTTTAATGAATCTTGTATCGTTAATCATATTTTGAGAAATACTTCAAAGGCTTATAATATTAATGCTTGTTTTTTTTTAAGTGTTTTAAAATTATAATTTTTTGAAAGTAACAACGTGTGTAAAAAAGTGTTATTGTTAAAAATGCTACAACTGATCTCTGATCAGAGGAAAAAATTCCTGTTTCTGCCCTGCAGTATTCTATTCACTTCAACGTCAGATCACTCTTCTAGACGCGTTGCCATTTTAATGATATTCATACATCTTCGAACTGGCATTAGTTATACACAAGCCATACAACTAGAGCCCGTTGTTTCTCTATTCCCGATCGCAACGAACTATAGGGGGCGANTGAAAGGTTAAAAAACGTGCAATAAAATCATAACAGAATCGTCCATAGTTTAGTCTATGACAATGGATGTTGCTATACTAATAGGAAAAATACGTTTTTCAAATATCTATCCTGAAGGAACTAATTAAATTTTTTATTTATTTTTACTATGGAGGACTGAAACTGCTCCTTGTTGTCCATACCCAAATTTCAGAAGTTTAGTTCAAATAGTTCTGGAATTAAAAAGAATTTAAGAGAGTCCAACACAGAAACAGACAAAAATGCTAAGAAAAACAAAAGAAACGTTGAAAAATAATGTAAGAAAATATTCCATAATGTTTCATTCATTAGATTTTGCATTAAGACAGTGTGAGTTGCCTGCGGAAAAAACTTTTTGAAACAGCAGCGATGAAGAAAGAAACGTTTATTTATTTATTTATTCCTTATGAAAGGGAGAAATAAACGTGATTCCGTCTGAAATAAGAATCAAAATATAGTCTCACAATATCATACGTGGTATATATTTGATAAAAATAACAGAAATCGTGTAAATGTATAAAAAATTTCAAAGAATCGGTCAATAAAAAAATACCCATTTTGCACTAGTTATTGCTCGCCAAATTTATTAAGCTGCTATTGATTATTTACCAAGACATAAAAATTAATAAAAAGTATTTTCTTTTAGAGTCTTAGAAAGATTCGCTAATATTTTTTCTTGTAGTGATACTTTTCTTTATTAAATGATAGTCTCTGGTGGGAGCTGAATGGATATCAAAATGACTAAGTAAGATTCATTATTATTAATAATTACTGTATTAAAAATATATGCACAATGTTATCTATGCACTACTTATAACTATTTTTTAATTATATTAAAAATTATTTGAAGACTTATAAAAAGTGATTTATTTAATAGTGTCATTATTTGAGACAATTTTTATTTCTGCATAATCAGTGAATTAGAAGGAAAAATATTAAAAGGATCTCTTTTTAAGTCTTATTATCTGAAAAAAAGAATCAGAATGGTCATAATATATATTTTTTATTTATATTTTGAGCATGTGTGAAGCAAAATAATTATATTAATGATATAAAATGGCGATTGATTTAAAAAAGTATTATAATAGCAGCAAATGATTGAAATTAGTTATCGATCTTAGATAAAAAAATTCTATGTGGATTTTTTTTTAAAGAGAGAAATTTATGTATAGATATAATATACAGAGGTTGGACAAAATTTTGAAAACGCGTCAATAATAACGTTTTAAAAGCAATATTTTTTTCAGCAGCAAATGTTTTCGAAAATTGTTAATAACTAAATAGTTGGCACAATTTGAAAGATCAAGCGCGAAGTTTTTAGGAATGGTGTCATTTTTACGCATACAAAATTCGAATGGAGAAAGCTGTGGAGAGGAAATTAATATTTTTCTTCCAGTTTTAATACCAGGAATTTTGAAGTCATTCTAAAGGAAGCATTCTCGAAGTCATTCGTCCCATTTTCACTAAGGGTCACCAGTATTCGATTTTTATTTTAAAGACTATTTTATTAGAAAATGAGCAATCACAACAGTGATCATTAAAAAACAGTGATCATTTAAAAAAATTACTCCTGAAGATATGGTGCCATATAGAGACCAATAAAGATATTAAAATTTTTATTTTTGGTCACGTTATGTTATAAATATTTCACAACAAATTAACTTCCAAAACCATACCAGTATATCGAAACCTTACTACCAGCCAGCAGGACTATCAAAATTGCATGGCTTTTTCCAGATATTAATAGCTAAGATATTTTAAACCACTAGATCCACTGCCTAACATCCACCTCGGAGTAAATCTAAGAATATTATAAAAGATTTGAGATGAAGTAAAAGTGTTGCGTCCATCTTTGAAGTTGACTGTTTTTCATCAATAAAATCAGAATATTATGTGTATACGGGTGATTCTTTACAAACATGACGATTCGGACCAAAAAAGTTCTTCAAATTTAAAGTCTTCAAAATAATCCAAATTTTTTTTTGTATGCTTCCTTGGTTATATTTATTAATATCTTACAGACAGCAGTGTAGTTTATTGACATTTGCTCGAGAAAAAAAATAAAATAGAAATTCACTAAATCTTGAATGCCTGGAAAATGGCATATTATCCCAGAAGTTTTAAAAACAGTCATTTTAAGTTAATAGTAAGTAACTCAACTTAAGCCTTTATGTTAGATGGATCATAAATTGCTTAAATTAATTCTTTTTATCCACTGTAGAAAGAAAAAAAAATCAAATTTGTTTGTTGCTGATACGTACAGAATAAAATTGTGTATAATAATCAATTATTAAATAAATAAATAACTTTGATTACATCCAACCATATTACAATCATACAAACTTGGTATTAGGTTAATATTTTCTTTTCCTCCTTACAGTATTAGCAGTTAAAAAAATTTTTGGTAACACTTCAATGTCCTGGAATTCATAAGCCAGGAAAATGGCAGCCAGGATAATGACAAATTCGCCATTTTATAGCATATAACTTTACTTTAATGTAATATTTTGGTCTTAGACGTTTACATTCTGCAGAAAACAGCAGGATTTCTTAAAATAACTCAGATAAATCTATGTAGATTATGTTATTAATGATTTCAAGAAATCAGGAAAATGACAACACAAAAACCTACTGATCTTGAAAAAATTTTTGAAATAGATTTTGAACCAGAAAGTTGGTTATTTATTCATGCAACAAGACATGTTCATATAGGAGGGTATCTAATCAATCTATTAACCTAAGGCATTGATTGCTGGCTCTATCTATTCTGGTTATAAACTACTAAATAAAAGTAGCCAGGAAAATGACAGATTTTCTTAGGACAAACAAATTATTGACTGAAAAAATTATTTTAAACGAAGTTTTTGTAAATAATGCAATCTGCGTATATTATAGAAATGCTTACACCGGTTGACTGAAAAAAAATTAGATATTGAAAAATTTATGGGAAATTTTGAAGCTAGTTATTATTGGAAACATTGTTTGGGACAAGCCAGGAAAATGACATTTTGAAGTTCATTTTTTAACTATACAAAACAGTCAATGCTAGTGCAAAGTCTTTTTAAAATGTTAACAACAATGCAATTTATTATTTTTTTTAAAAAAAGTTCTTTTAGTATTACAGTATTAGATCTCGGAGCAAGGGACAGTGAATTGTCATATTTCGTGAGAATCACCCATATNTGTTTGGGACATGCCAGGAAAATGACATTTTGAAGTTCAATTAAATTTTTTAACTATAAAAAACAGTCAATGCTAGTGCAAAGTCTTTTTAAAATGTTAACAACAATTCAATTTATTATTTTTTTTAAAAAAAAGTTCTTTTAGTATTATAGTATTAGATCTCGGAGCAAGGGACAGTGAATTGTCATATTTCGTGAGAATCACCCATATATATATTGGGGTGACCCTTATCTTTGAACTTTTAATTTTTCAAGAGCCCACTCCCTTGTTTGGTTCCATTTAGTTCAAAACATAACCATGTAAATTTTCGGATAACATGTTTTAATCCGTGCCAACTTCAAAAAAAAGTATGCAAAACAGGGACAATTTTCGGACTTTTTGTTTTGGCAGAGGTGCTTTTCTGTCCTGTCATTGATTTAAAACTTGGTGAAAGTCATTACTTTTTGCTAGCTATGACAATTACTGTAATTTCCGTTTAATACACGTGGCATATTGCAGAGTCATTCCATTAAATGCACATACAACAAGTTCTCTGTCCTTGATGGTTTCGTTATAGTTGATCTTTATGTTTCGAGAATTACGTAGCGAAATAGTGTTTATTTTTGAAAGGAGATATCGATCATGAAATAACTGAAAAAATTCCCATCCCTAGATTAGTACGTATTATTTTTTTTCTTTGAATTTCAATACTTAAGGGGAGTAAAATATCAGTAACTTAAAGCAGTACGAAAGCTCATTATATTTTAGGAGGAAGTCAAAATTCTCTCAAAACTTATGCAATGTTGCATAAAAAACTGATTTAGTTGTAATTTTTCTTAGTGAATCTCAATAAATGTTCGGAAGATTTAATATATTTAGAGTTTGAACAATGACGCGAAGATTTTAAGCAACACAATTTCTTCAAATACTTACTGCCCAAATAATGCATAAATGCTTTTAGAACAAAAACTAAATAAAGCTATATAATTTTATCTATGCCATCATCACACAACTACTGCCAGTTGCACCCCATTTTAATCATTTTAATGATATTAACCCATCTTCGAATTGGCATTAGTTATCCACATGCCAGTCAACTAGAGCCCGTTGTTTCTCTATTGTGGAAATTTATTCCATTTGAAATAATTATTTTTTTTAACACCACATAGCTTGAAAGGCTTTATTTTTATCTATCGTTGTATTTTAATCTGCATAAACACAAATAGAAAACATTAGCATACGTAAAATTAAATAAGAAATGAAGAAATAAATAAATAATTAAAATAAATAGCGCGCTTTCTTTTGATTATACATTTTACTGCTCATCCTTGTAGTATTTGTAACAGACATTTAACAAATAGCAGGAAACAGGCACTTTTCTAAAATAATTTTAAAATAACAGTTGCTTAAAAACTTCATAGATGTATTACCTTTAAACTGTCAAATTACCTTTTTGGTCAGTACCATGAGTAAAAAATTTAATACTACGAGAATATGGTAAAATTTACCGTTATACTGGCTCTAAGGGAACACCAATTAGCTCGGAAATTCTTAAAGAAGCGCTTTGGTAATGATTTTGATAAAATGAAAAATAAATTATGGTTTTGTAATGTGTGATAAAATTTGGTATATGCCGTAAAATTTGATAACTTTATCATATCCATGGCCATGACATAAGAACCATTTATTCGATTAAATTGATTTTACAGTTTTGTATTTTTCACTAAATATGTGGTGATTAGATATTTAATTTTAAAAACCAGAACTTTCGGTAAGAAATCACATTATCAACCTAAAAATTACCTCAAATGAGTGGTTTAAATACCGTATATTCTGGTTTTAAGTACCAGATTTTTGGTTTTTCTTACCACAAATGTCATTACCGTACAGGATGGTAACTTTATCAGAATGTTTCCCTGTGTTACGTTACTTATGTTTTGACTATTTATGTAGCTAATTCAATTAACTTTAGCAGCTAATCAGAAAAATTTATTTGTAAGAGATAAAAAGAAAATTTATTAACAAAGGAGGAACAAAATTTAAACTTCAGGCATGCTATCAATATTATTTCATTCTGTTTGTCATTTTCATCTGTATAGGAATAATATTTTAAATCAAATAACAACTTTTAACTATGTATTCGGCCTAATATATTTATTTTTCCTTAGTTACACACCAGTAAAAATTGCTTACAAGAAGTTTGAGCCTTCAGGAGGAAGCAATGACAAGTTAGCACCAGTAATTTTTTTGCATGGCCTCACTTCTTCAAAAGAATCGTGGAACGTTATAGCACAGATCATAGCTGACAAAACTAAAAGGAAAGTAAGTTTCTTGCAATGACAATTTCTACAAAAGAAAACATGGCGCCTCAAGGGACAGAGGTTACTTAGGTTCAATGCGATAGCTGTTTGATTTGAATCTTGCTTCTGATTGGAACCAATCTAAATGCCCACAGATCATGGATTACATTTCCTTTGTCATCGGGTTAACTAGGGGGATTTCGTGGTTTTCCCCTCCATCTAATCACCTGTTAGTTTCTTCAAAAAATTTTTAGTTTGTCTCAACGCTTCATTTAAGAGTTCTCTTGTCTCCTGGTCTTGTTAAAATTATAAGGCTACGGAGTTGAACATAGAGAGTTATCGGAGCTAAACATCAAAACTGAACATTGAACTCAAAAATGAGCCGTCTGTTCAACACTAGTTGTAAAATTAAAATTAAATTTCAAAAGAAAAAAATGCAACAATTACTATTTTGAATACCAGAAATTCTGCATATCTGGTACCATAAAGAAATAAAAAATTGTCTAATAAAAGATTCTAATAACATAAATTTGGTTCTTTGTTGCAAAAATTCTCCTTTTTTTCTTTTTTCTTTATAAATTTCTTTATGTTCTCAACGAGTTTTGTTTTGCAGTAACCTTTTTTCTCGAATTTTTCTCTGTTTCGTTAAAATCTTTTCTTTTTCTTTTTTTTTCTGATTAGCACAAAAAATGGGATTTAAACATGGAGGAACAATTTTCCACAAATTCCTTGTCATGTTCTATTAAGTTTCTGTTGTTGTTTCTAATGGCACTTGTCATTCCAGCAAGCCTGCTTAGTCAAACCAACCATATTTAAGGCAGAGGGTGCGTTTCTTGTTTTTCAGTGGATCTATGTGGATTCATAGATATCTATGGCCAAGTATACGACTTAAGCAACACACACGCGACACAAACTGTTTATAGGGGGGACCCATTTATTTATCAAATCATTCATCATTAGATCGTAATCTTGACCTGAACCCGAGAACGATCAATCTTCAATTCAGTACCCCTAGAGATGCTATATTATGATTTAATTAAGAATTAGGGTCGAGCGTGCAATTTTATGCTTATATATTTTAATGCCTTTTACATTTTATTATTTATTCTTTCTATATTAAGATTTCGTTACTTATTCTTATCATATTTTTTTTATTCACTTCTATTAGCATTTCTTATTATTTTCATATTTATATTAAATTGGCTAGTAACATGCCTATTTGGCGAGATTTGAATGTCAATAATATATTCAAAATGTATTTGGAGTTATCTTTGAAATTCGTGGAATTTTTTTTTTCCAAGTTTCAAATGACATTCTAGAACTCAATTTTGCTGGCATTAGAGAGTGACCTCAAATATGTCAATTAATAAGCTCGGACTATATTTTAAATTACGAAATAAAAAACGCACTTTCTCTGAACTAACATAAATTTTTTTCGACTGATCCAGATTTCTGACCCCCAGAATATATGAGGGTCATCATGATATCAGAAAACGGTCCAAAATTTGAGACCCGTAATGTTAATTTTACTTTTTGAGTATTTCACCATATCTTGAAAACTTTTTAAGAGGACTGAAAAATATTTTGCACTCAATTATAAATTTCATTTATCTAAAGAAAATTCCAAGCAAAAATGTGATTTTCAGTAAAAGTTTAATATTTTTTATTATTTTATTTAATAATATTTGAAAAATTTTAAATTGGGTGTACAAAATTTGAGCAAAATCGATCGAATAGTTCCTGAGAATTCAAACTTTGAAAAAGTCGCATTTCAAACACTGTACACGAAAAGGCGTACAGCATGTGAACTTTTTTGATCTTATTTGTGTGTAACTTTCATAAAAATTTAAATATACTTATTAATTTTTAATAAGAAGCTTTTATATTTTTTGTTTAGTATTTGTTATATATCACTCAAATATTTGAATTCGATTCTTTTTTATGTTAATATTTCAGACTTACGCCTGTGATGCAAGAAACCATGGAGAAAGTGAATATTCTGAACATTTCAATTTCGACCTAAACGTTGATGATCTATTTCAATTTATGAATGACTTGAACATCGAAAGAGCCGTTTTAGTTGGTCACAGTATGGGAAGTTTCACCTCCACAAATGCTGCGCTTAGAAAGGTTTGTGTATAAGTTTATTTATAATAAAGAAAATACTAATAAATTTGAAAAAAAATATGCAAGTGTAAAATTTAAAGATGTTTATTTTGTATCGCCGAGGAAAGTCACATCATAAAATGCATGTCAATGAAGATCTCAAAGTTTCGATATTTTCATCTAACTCAATAAACCATTGTTAAACCGTTATATCATTTTCAATATTACTAAATTGTATCGTAACTTGGTTTCGAATTTAATTTAATTTATTTAATAATATTTTTAATTTAATAATTAATTTGATTACCTGATTGAGCACTTCATTCGAATTGAAACACTTTTTTCAAGTTGTGTAAAACATCTTTGAATCATAATACAAAATATTTTTTATAGCCTGAAAGAGTAGAAATGGTATTTTCGGAGGACATGTACGTAAAGAAACTTCCAAAAGAAGTAACAGATTCTGTTATACGCTACGCATCAGATTTTTGTGAAGCTGTAAAAAGTGTTCCAAAAGATTTAAGTGAAAATGAAGCTCTTATAAAAGCTGTGAAAACTTTAAGCAAGAATAATAAAGAAGTTGTAAGTCTTTTTAATTTTTTTCTTTTAAATTCATGTTAAAACCCGAAACATTGCTGTTGTTGTGATTAAAATTTTAATCACATCATTAATCACATTAATGGATTTACGTAATGTATTATGTAGTAATCAAAAGATACTAACTCTTTAATAGCTTATCGTACTAAATAAATATCTCATACAATATTAAATAAATATCTAAGTAGATATCTAAAAAATAGCTTAACATATTAAAAAAATATTTATATCTCCAATAATAAATTCTCAAGCAACTAAAGTGGTAAAATATTATTTGATTAAAAACTTTATTCGCTTCAGAAAAATACTGATTTGAAGAAAAAATATCGATGCGTTTTAAGGGCTCAAAAGTCGGCCCCTACTTTCAAGACTTGCCAGACGTGCATGAGAAGAAGCCAAAGTGAGTTGAAATATAAAACCTAAAGTTTTCAACATAAAAAGTAAAAATCAAAATTTAAAAAAAAAACTCAGTTACCGAAAGAGAAAAAAATTGAAAAGCAGATCCAGAAAAAAAAAACATAGAGGCCGAGTTGTAAAATCAAGGTTAAATTTGTTTCGACCCTTTACACTGCTAAAACTTTCGAGCCATGTAACACCAAAAATTGATATTCATTTGCCGGCAACTCAAAATGGAGCGCAATTTCACCATATTTTGCTATTTTCACTTACTCCAAATAACAGTTGAAAATTGCACTGAAAATAGGTATTTTAAAGAAACAAAACTACTATTTTCATCCTTTTTTCTTTTCTTTTTTTATATAAAAGCAGAAGAAGGTTACACCCTTATTAGGCATTTTTAAAGACCTCAAATGCAGGCCAAGGTTGCCTATTTACCGTAACAAATATATTAACCGTAAGTTGATTATTTTATGACATACCTCTAACCATTTTATACCGGCAACCATATTTAAAAAGGCAACATCAATTTGATGATACATGAAGTTCGTTATCAAAAAAAAGTTTTCAGTGTCAAATGTTAACAACAGTTTGAGTGTTTGAGTTAATTTTGAGTGTTAACTTTGAGTGTTAATTTTTATTGTAATTTTGAGTGTTTGAGTAATTTTTGAATGTTTGAGTTAACAACAGTTAATTACGGTAAACAGCATCTTAATTCCAACTTCCAAGTAACTTGAAGGTTTTCTTTTTGAGAGGGGTGAGGGAATTATTTTTCCACTGTGTTCGTAGCACCATCTGCTGACAGTTTTTATTATGAGGACTTGGGGCAGGCGTTTTGGCAGGAGATGACAACAACAGAATGTATTATATGTTTCTTTGATATGAAACTTTTTTGATTCAAAACAGAAAAGGCCAGAGCTGAAAAATAAAACTTGTATGAAATGTTACAGATTTTGTTTGATTAAAAAAATAAATATTTTCAATACATTGAAAAGTAATTTCAGTGAATTTCGGTAGAAATTAAGAACGGAAATTTTCTACAAATAAAATAATAAATATTTATTTTTAAGCAGATTTTTTTAATAGTAACTTTCTACTGAACGTTTCATTCAGAACCGTTTTAACTGAATAAGAGTTATTAATTTTTCATGTTATTTCTTACTGTAAGAAATAAATTATTTTCAGGGGGTATATAGCTCAGAAGAATCTTTAAAGTCATCGAATTTTGTCTTGAAGAGAAGATCAGATGGAGGATATGACGTAGCTTTCAATAGGGATCCAATAATTAGAGCATTTCAAGATCCAGAAACATTAATGACTAGTCCTAGTGGTCAATTTAATGGCCATGCTTATTTCATATATGGGAAAGACTCGCCCATTCGCGTGTAAGCAACATGACATATTTATATGCCTGTTTCAAATTTCTTAATTGTTTCCAAATTTTATTTTCTAAGAAATATTTATAACTAGCTGAATATCCGTTTTTGTACGGTGTAAGAGAAATGTAATTAACCAATAAATCGCGATTAATCAACACTACGAAATCATTCACGAAATTGAAAGACATGTACAGATATACTTAATTAAGGTTTAACAGTTCCGATTTTTCATTATTATTATTTGCAGCCTTTCCTGGTGTCTTTATGTCATCAGTAGCAAATCATGTTTTGAAAAGTTCATCCCTTCAAACAATAAAAAAGAATAATATATTCTGTTATAAAGAATAAAGCATTCTGTGATAAAGAATAATATATTCTGTAATTTAATAAAAAATAATTATATCTTGTATCATTTGGCATGACGCTGTTGCTCAAGGTCAACTAATGAGTGTCAAAAGTTAGGATAATCAATAATTTTCTCAGGTACCTATGCTTTACTTATTTTCGGTAGATTTATGTTATCAGAAAGCAAATCATGTTTTTAAAAGTTTATCCCTTCAAACTAAAGAATAATAATATTCCGTATCATTTTTCATAACGCTGTTGCTTGGGGTCAACACTCGATAGTCAAAAATTGCATCATTGACATTAATAACAACATGGCAATTTTTTATGGTTTACATAAACGGGCAAGTACTTTTTCTCCATTAATTTAACATGTCAATGCATTTCTTCAAATGTACTTACTGCAAAAATTAGTTAATTGTAGTTCTCGAAAATAATTAGTAGCAACACTGATATTTTTACAATCATTTTTGGCGAATGAACTAATATCAGTACTTATTTCGAAGGCCTGAAAAAATAACAAAACTATTATGCTTAATTAACTGCATCTGGCAACCTATTATATCATTCGCTCCATTTATTTTGAAATCTGTTTTTCCTTTACTGCTCAAGAAATGCTTGTTTCGGGCTGGAATCTCCATAAATACATAATGGATTATGTTTTTCTTTTAAAACATTCAATCTATTTCCTTCCCATTCTATTTTTTCTTTCGCCGAAGGGGCTTTTTAGCTTCTTTACTTTTCTTTTTTTGTTGCAGAAGTATACATTAGGTTTAGTTTTCTTCTGAAGAAATAATTCTGTCTTTTAACATTTTTTTTTATTTTGTCTTTATTATTATTTTTTATTTTATTGTTTTTCTTCCAAGGACTTCTTTTCTACATTTCCAGTTGCTTTCTGTAATTCTCTTCATCGTTCCTCAACAATTCCGATTCTTAATTTGCCGTTACGTAAGTCTACAGTATTTTTAAATTTGTCCTTTTAGATGTCCTGCGTGATTTAAACTCATCACATTCTTACTGGCAATCTAAGAGTCATGCTTCATTCTACCATTCTTAGGTCATTTTCAGAGATCAGTCCGGTCAATTTCTTTTGAAGGTTTTGAAACAAGAATGTTTTCAGTTTGTGGTTCTTAGCCTTTGCCCAACCTGGAGGATCAGAGTGTTCCTCTTTTGCTTCATGTCTTGCCTCTGACCTATCGTGGTTGGGTAGCCCTGACAGCAGCCAACCACTTGCCAAAACAGTTCTAGGAATCAAAAATACATGTAAACAACAGAACCGTGATAAAGTGAATATAAGGCAAAAACAACTTGAATAAAGGCCAGATAGAGGCACAGAAATGGACATGCTATCATTTCGGTTCTATAGACAAGAACTTCCCTCAGAACACCAAATAACTGTGGAAAAGTAACAAGACAAAAACAAGAAAAGACGTCCAAAGTATTTCAGCAAATAGAGAAAGAGAAAAAAGATTGAAGAATATAATAATAGAAGGGAGATGAAAAACAGGCGTGAGGGTGTTTCTCCGAGTTGCAAGATGTAGAAATTAAATTCGAATAGATTTCCATACATTGGCAGATGCTGAGATACTAAAAATATCAGTAACTAAATTATTACAATTTTTAAAATATGGAATGATTCCTAGAAATCAAGGTCAGCAGAGAAAGAGTAGAGAGGATAGTTTCAAGCCGAAGAAAACTCGAACCTATGTTTGGAATTCCAACTTTCTAGGGAAGGGAAAAATTGTTTAATATTCTGTTTCTGGATAAATCTTACACGTTTGTTTCATGTTCTCAGGGGCGTTTAGTTTGTCTAATGTAAGCAAAATCAATGACAAGAAATTTGTTAAAAACTCATCTATTGATACTAGCAATAGGGTCCTTAAAGCTAGGGAAATTTAGTTTGTTTAGAGGGGAGAAAATAACTTTAACTCAAATTAATTTAAAATCCTAAAATTTGGGGACTAATTTTCGGAAAATGGTAAAACAATTTAATTGATAAAATGCAACGGATGAGTTTTTTGAATTGTCTGAGAAGTTCTGGCACTTTCTGAGGCTAATGGACAATAGTTCCAAGTGCCCGCCATTAAAAAAAAAAGGTTTGTTGAACTGCGTGATTAATTTTCTGTAGATGATATCATCATAAGGAAATCCACCGTCAAAATTAATGGCTTTAATGTAGAGGATTTCTTCATTGAGAAGATTACATACAAATCTTAGAAGCACGATAAATAGCCGTGCATAAGGCAGCTCTTTTGAGCTAAAGAAAAGGGACGAAAGGTTATGAGAGTTGAATATGTTTAACATGCAAATTTAATTTAATTCCATAGTTACTGTGACTTGTCGTTGTTATAGTCTTGTCCGAGTGGAGCAATGGAATCAAATAACACCGAAGACGTCCAAAATAGTCCTGGCAATGTCGAAGACCTTTGGTGATTAGAGCAGTTAATAGTCTGTGGGGTTTAGGTTACACTTTCCATGGAAATGAGATTCACCAGAGACATAAAGGTTTGAACTTCTGCAAGTTGGTCCTCGAAAGGTATTCCATTTCTCTTCTACCACCCAAAGGAAGATGCAATTTAGGAATCCCCCTCTCCTCGAGCTCCCTAGAGGTTGCAGGTTTCCCTGCCACTTACAATTGGTATATTTTATTGAAATATTAGTTATGATTTTATTTTGTTGTTTTTGTTTTATTTAGGATATCTGAAGAAACACACATCAAGAAACATTTCCCGAAAGCTGAATTTATTGAATTGAAATGTGCATCACACAGTGTTCACTTGGAATTAACAGATCAATTTCTTGAAACAGTTTTGAGCCGATTACAATGATAACAATAATGTTAATATTCTGTGTATATTAAAAATGCATTGTTACAATCAACAATGGTTATGTTTTATGTTGTATTGAAGTTGTGTTTCTTAGAAAGAGCAGCGGAACCTCTTATGATTTGTTAATTTTTGAAAGAACTTTAACCGGATTTTCTAGGAATTGTGTTTATTGTTCTAACGAGTAAGAAACGCTCATTTTCAAGTAAAAATTCAGTTTTAAGTCACAAATGGCCATTTTTATTATAACATGCTCTTTTTCTATATAAGCGTAAATCAAGTTATGCTGAAAATGCAGTAAAATAATTCCAAATGAATTTTTCTTTGTCAAACTATTTAAAAATTATTTTTCTTTTGTTTTTAAAATAATAACTACCTATAAACAATTCATTAAAATGATTGGCTCAGTTTCTATATGGGATAATATTTACTAAGCAAATAATGTTAAGTAATGCTGAAATTATAAGCTGCGGTTGTAGTTCATGATTTTGCAATATACAACGCATAATACAATTGTTGTCAATTATCTCTGTATATCAAAAAATCGTAAGGGACGCCGCCTCTGCTTTGTGTGTTCAACTTATTTTGGTTTGTTGAGCAAAATTTCTAAGTTTTAGAAACTCGAAACTACAAAGTTGGCAAAAAAAATGCACGGGGATGCATACAAAAATGCATACAATGGAATAAAAAAATTAACATTCGATAGTTAGTTCGAAAATGATTACCTGTTAAACTTGTTGGAAAAAATGCCATACGGACCGCTCTACAGGCCGTAGGAAAGCAACTTCACAGTTAAATTTCGGTATGCTAAAAGGGCTATATATATTCAAGAACTCAGTTTAAATTTTTTTTCGTAATTTCAATTTGTTCGAAAGTTTTTGAAATTTTAAATAATGTTTTGTGAATTTTTAATCCCTTTTTCTTGCTTGACGTTGCCATTTGCTTTGCTGTACAAAATCTATAAGGCATAAGAACTTAAAAATACGATGGCTTGTAGAAAAAAGATCAAAAAGTAAGACGGGGTAAATAAATTTAAGAGACGACAAGTTGTTCGAAATTAATTAAAGTGATTCGAACAAATAATACTTTAAGTTACAAAATAAGACTCAAAAACGTACTCAAACTCTGAATCAGCAGTTAAAAAAATAATTATAAAAATTTATAATAATACAGACGATTTAGGATTTAAGGTAAATATTCAAAATAACAAACAGGCACCAAATGGAATCTATTTATGGAAGTCATGGGTGGCCGCACATGAAAATCCCAGGAAATCCTGTGACGGAATTTAGCAGGATGTGGGCAAAAAGGGGATGAGAAACTTAAATACTGATAGTTCTTCAAATGAGGTCTTGTTTTTGATGTATTTTTTACGCTGAATCGAATGAAGCCAAATTCGAAATGATAGGATGAAAAGTTCAGAAAATATAAGATTTTTATTCACAAAATGTACTTGTACAGTCCACAAAAAATAGATATCACCCTGAATAACTTTCGTTCTAATGATCGGACTTTCACGAACTAAATGTCAATCTTAATGGTTCCTGAGGGTGACCTCAAATATGTTAATTAATTAGTGCTAACTATTAATTAAGTTAAGAAATCAGACCCAATTGCGTGATTTCTCTGAATAAACATTTTTTTTTTTCATATTTGAAATCCTGACCCTTGAAATAAGAGGGGTGGACAGAATTTTGAAAAAATTGGGTCGTAAATTGGGTCGCAAAAAAGATTTATATATTTGGCGATAGTCCAGAAAACAGCCAAGAAAAGTAGCCTCCGCAAATGAATATTTTAAGATAACCCACAGACTAATTCAAAAGAGGAATACTTAATTTTACTAGGTTGCTAAGCAACCAAGCTCTGAGTGAGAAAAATTTTAATAATGTTCTGTGATTGCTCGGAGAGGTTTAATTAATAGCTAATGGAAAATATCTCGAAGCAACAGACTAATTGTCTAAGCAATAGACAATTTTTAACAATATTCTGTCCAAAAAGCACATTTTTTTTTATTTGAATCTCTTTTAAAACGAAAATTTGAATCGCTTTATAAATTATTTATGATTTTCTATCCTTTTCGAATTTAAATACATGAACTTTTAATCTGACATTATTTAGATTATGCTGCTTTTGCTATATTTATTCGAGGATTTCATACTAAAATCAAATTAACGTAACATAGCTATATACAAAATTTTAGGGATAATCATTTTTATAGCTTTAATAGAGTCTTCTAGGCAAGAAAGTTTGAAAGGAAAAAAAGTGCTTAAAAATAAAATGTAGATTGTATAGCAATTCTAATGCACATTCACAAGGTTTTCTATAATTTACGATATTTCTTTTTTCTATAAGTCAAGGAATTGCTGAATGCTTAGTAGCATTCCAAAAACATTGGAATATGTTATGTTTAAGAAAAAGATATTGAAATAATATGTTACATATTGTATGATTCATTGTTTAAAAAATCGCTTTTCATTCTGTTAGATATTTAAGTTACATGGTTTTCTTTGGATAAAGATGATTTGCAAATAGAATCCTCATGTTTCGATACATTCTCAAACTTACGTTCGCAAATTCACCATAATATGTCGCACAGCATGTTCTTCAATTACGATAAGCTACATCTAATACCAAATACTGCTACTATGATTATTTTTGTTTTCTAATATATATCTGATACTCTCTTTTTAAATAGAGCTCGTAAGATCCTTAAGATACTGAAATGGGGGCACAAAAATTTAAAAGATAAAATATTTAATTTCATTAACTCAAAATATCTGGTCTCAAAATTTTAATTTTAAAGTTAAAATAGCTTTTACAATATTGATGCTCTTACGTTTTTAAACACCACATGAATCTTGTTAATATATTAAAATGCATATGTTTACTTTAACAAGTGTAATATCCTTATCAAAATAATGATCGAGACCCAAATGTAAAGCAGTATAATTGATGATAAAAACTCAACTGGTTTCAAAAAAAAGGAGAAGAGGGAAGTAAAAGTCGACATGTTTCGAGAGTTCAAATATAAGCGCCCAGACTTGTGAGGCTTGAATAACTTGTGACTTTAATTATTGGACGCTCAAAACATGTCTATTTTTATTATCATCTATTATTCTTTAAATCAATGAAGCTTTTATACTTTCGATTCAGTTTCTTGGGATTATCCATTACATAACACAACATATTAAGTTATTTCACTCGATATTAAAATAAGTTTTACATAAATTATAGGCACACGATCTTAGATTGAAAAATGTAATACCTCACTACTTTGCAAAAAATCAATGAAGCATTTTTTTTTTTTTTGCTGCAAGCCTTAACATTTTTAAGGACATGAAAAAATTCCGTCTACAATTGAAATTTCAAATGTCGAATGTGAAAATGGAATGTCCCCTAGCACCAGGAATTGAAATGAAATAGTTACAAAGACAGCTATTTCAAACAAGTTAACGTTTCCGGTCTACTCGAAGTTGTTTGAGTAGGTATTTTTCATATATCGATTCCAAAGAGTTTATTCTACATATATTTTAGGGTATAATTTCGGAGTATTTCGATCGAGTTTATTTTTACACCCTAATTTACTTACAATTATTAAATAATTTGATTAAAATAAATTATTCAAGCTATATGATTTAGTGCATTTATAGTATAATAGTAAACGGGCTTCCATCGCTTATCCTTAACCTTGATACCTCTATCATTAAATAAATGGAATAAGCTTAGATAAATAATAAAAGTTAATTTTTTTTCTAGTTTTAATTTTCAAGGAATAATATATTTAAATCAAACAGATTTCATTCTTTAAATAACGAAATTATTGAGTAGGTTCCCTGGAGCAATATCATTCTTATCCTCTTTTGACGAAATATAGGAAAAATTTGTTTTTACAGTTTCTGTAAAAAGTATGTCAGCCTTATTGCCGTGTTTTTTTTATTTATCAACATAAGTTCGGAAATTGCATATTTTTAATTGCATTTTTTTTTAAATCAGATGATTCTAAAATTGACATGGCTTCGGAATTTTCTTAAAAACTGCTTAACAAAAGAAGGCATTTTCCTGAAAACAAATTATGCTACAATAATATCTTGGGAATCATGCGAAAGTTAAAAATTAAATAAAATAGTTTAGTATATTATACGGAAAAAAATCTACATGGTATCATAAAGAAAGAGTAAGCGATATAATGAAATAATTAGTTGGATAGTTCTGTGAATCACACGTGGTCAGATAATTAAAAATTTAATTTCACAACTAAGATTTTAGGAAGTCGTTTAAGATACCTAGATATTTTAAGACGCTTAAAAATTTTGGCTACTTATTGGACTGGATTATTCTTATACTCTTTGTAGTGACTTATAAAACATCAAAACTATTTTAGATAATCTATATTGAAGTCAAAAGAAGCAAAAAAAAAACAAAAAAGGAAGACAATCAATAATTTATATTCTTTTTTCGAAGAAAAACAGTATGCTTAGTAAATAATCACATGTTTTGCATCAAATAGTTCTAAACAGCGGAATGTTTTTAATTTCTTAACAAGGTTTTATTCTTAGCTAGCAGACAATAATTCTTTCATAAAAGAACTTGAGAATAATTTAAAAAGGAACTTTACTTTAAAGAAAACCTAAATTAAAGTACTAAAAAAATTGATTAGTATATTAATGAAAAAATAATATACGTAGAAGAGTAAAGAATAAGATTTTCAAAAATGTTAAAATTTAATTAAATCATGGTAAAATAGCTCTGCGAAACACTCCTGGACAGGTAATTAAAAAATTTCTTTTAAGATTAAGACGATATATAAGATGTTGAGAAATTTGCAATGATGTGAAAGATGCTTAAAAATGTTGACTACGTATTTTATTAATATTTATAAAATATATATTCAAGAAATTGATAAATATATTATTCCAATTCTATGCATACGTATGTAACAGATTATTGAAATTGTATCAATTATTGAGAAAAAAAACTGAAAAAATAAAAAATAATCACATTAAATAATCACATTCTGGTGTATAATCATATTCTATCAGAAACATGCTTTTATAGAACTCGAAATTCGTTAAATAAAATGTTTTTTATTCAAAATGTTTTATTCAAATATCTTTACTAAATTGCAAATTAATTATTAAACGACTGAAAAAGAAACATCGTACTTTATAGTTTAAAAGAAATAAAATTAAAAAGATTAGCAATCGATTATTAGCGAAAAATATATGAATGAAATTTTACGCTACGCGCGCGAAGTCAAGTTCCTCGTAAGTTTATCGCATTTTAATATTAATCGCCCCATTTAATTATTTCTTCACTGTCACAAAACTATTTTTTTAGAAATAATTAATTTAAATTTTTTTCAGCTTCTAAAAAATAAAAACAGTTGAAACTTTTGATTCTTCAATTAAAAAATATGTAGATTAATATGGTATTAATAAATCCATGCCTTATAATTCAACATATTTTCATCTTCAATTTAATTAAATAATAAAAAGTGATAAATAATTTTTAAAAACTATTTTTTTCATGAAATTATCTTTGGGTATATGAATTTTATGAATGGGTGCAATATTTTTTTGAATTGCTTAATTAGTATTTAAAATATGACTAAAAACGCAAAAAGTAAAATTAACATTAAGGGATCCAAACTTTGAAGCGCTCTCCTGAGACCTGACTATGGAGTCCACATTTCCCAGATTGCGGCTTCCCCCTATATTTTGAAGATTAAGAACTCAAATATGTAAAAAAAAAACTATGTTTATTCAGAGAAAGTACGTTTTCGTGTCTGATTTCGTAACTTAACTAATAGTTAGTGCTAATTAATTAGCATATTTGAAGTCACCCCCAGAAACCATTAGGATTGGCACTTAGTGCGTGAAAATCCGATCATTAGAACGAAAGATATTCAGGGTGATATCTTTTTTTTCCTTTTATTTTTAAGGACTATACATACTAACGCGTTTTACATTCTAGACAATTATTGTAAGTTTTTTGTTGTATTTTTCACGTTGAGTTGAATACATACCTGCCAACTTTTACGCATTTGGCGTAAAATTTTACTTTCATATTTAAAGTGGTAGTAAATATATACTATTTTTTCATTTATAAACTTAATTTTTAAATGATTTTGATTACCACTATTCTTAAAGAAATTAAGCATATATATAAATATGTGTTGCTATCATGGTTGGAAGCTTAAGCTTTTTCAAATACGACATATTGTTTTGCTTAAAATTGAAATTTTAATTCCATATTAATACCACTGGGAAAAATCATAATGGAAGGGATTAAAAGTTGGCAGGTATGTGAATGAGATTATGCACAAGTCAGCAGAACAAATAATTCAAATGTTAAAAGCGTTTTTATCTCTGAAAAGTACTTCACTTGCCACATACTTATGTTACATATTTACCCAAGAGTTATCTGAACATAAAGGAAGATTTTGTGTATAACATTTCCTGCTGAATTGAATGCCATCAAATTTAAGACAATCGGACTAATTGTTTAGAAGTTATAAAGTATTACGTATAAAAGTACAAATTTGTGCTTGCACTGCTTAATCACGCATCTCACGTTGCTATACAGACAGCCTATTGATTTGGGTTTGGTTTCAAAACATTTGGTTCTCGAACTAATTGTAGAATGTGACCTTTTTTTTTAATTCCAACGTACAGTCTTCTACACATTTTCTAAATTTATGCTTCTGCGTCTAATTTTTAATTAATTAATTTTATTGCGCAACAAAACGAAATATAACATAAAGCGAAAAAAGTATGAAAAAATCCGTCAAAAAAGCACCTACAATTAAAATAACTTTCTAACAAATCGGAATTTCGAGAAAAGCTCATAATCATAAATGAAAATGGCCCTTTCAACACGTCAAATTTCCATTAGGAAATGATAATTTATTTTATTCCCTCCCACTCCTTGTAAGCACGTCTTCTACAAAACTATAATTTCAAGTTTCTAAGTCTTGTAATTTTTGTGCTACAAAGCAAAATGTATTATAATGTTGAACAAGCAGAACAGAAGCGATGTTTTAGGGTTTTTAATAAAAAGAAAAAACAATAAAACAATCAAAGAGTAATAAGATAAGATTTTATATTACTTCCAAATTGAACTGTTGTATGATGTAATGTTAACGTTATTTATTGTTATTAAGTAAACTTTTTCCCCTTTTATTACTACGCATTGTGTTGCCGGTTCTGCATTTTTAAAGTACATTTGATTATTTTTCAAATACAGGTGACCGTTAATTTCCTTGTGATTAACGTATTAATTTATATCGGTATGAAATAGAAATAGTTATATATTTTCTAAGCAAAAACCACTAAAACTTGCAATAACTATCCAAAAAAAAAAACAAGCGTTAATTTTATCAGTGAAGATTGCTCTTTCAGCATATCAAGTTTCAACTCTTTAATTGCGTTTGTGTGGACTGCAGAATGATTGAGTATTAGTATATAGTTTACTTTATAATGTTCTAATTGATTGAGTAATTGAATGATTGAGTATATAGTTTACTTTATAATGTTCTAATTAATTATCAAATGTTAAATTTTATTTCATCGTACTCCCTGTATATTTTTCTATACCTGTACTTAATTTTAAGTTTCCAAGTGATGTACGTTTTTGGCAGTGAAACCATGTATTATAAAGTTGAACATTTAAAACAAAAGGCGTGGTTTAAGATTTTTTTTTTAATGTAGAAAGAAAAAAAATAATAAAGGAATTAAATAGAAATAGATTAAATTTGAATCTAAGTCATTTCATAGGTCATAAAACGGATACATAAACATAAATATAAACTAAAAATTTTGTTTGGAAAAAAAAGTGTTTTTGGGACCCTCGGCTATCAGTTGAATTAGCTGATAAAACAATTGACTTATCTTATAATTGCTTATCCTGTAAATATTTGCTGGTCTTTTTACACTGCTGGTTGAAATGAAGGAACAATACGTTGCAACCATCGAGGATTACAACAATGAAGGCCGCAATTGAAGAAAAAACAGCTATGTCAAGGTTTTTGTTTTTTATATCAAGGTTCAAGGTTTGAGTTGCATGATATGAAGTTAGATGTTTATATGTTCGCATATTTCCTGTCAGATACTAAATGACATCGCAAACGAAGCGATAAAATTTTCTAACAGCGGCAGAATGGCAGAGTACGTATAATATTGTTCTTGTTTTCTTTATACAATTCTGTTTATTTGAAATTTACAAAAATTTCAATTCATTAGTTTCAGGTTTACATTGCAGTCATTGTTTTGATTATCACCTGATACTCTACGAAGTTTTTAACGAGTACCACACTGTAAAAAAATCCGGATCAAATTATCGTAATTTTTTATTGTAATATTAATTTAATTGGAGTGATTCAGATAATCTCCGGTAATTATTAATGTAAAAATTACGGTATATCTGATATTTTGCTCCGTAACTTCCGGTTAAAAAGGATTTTACGGTAAAAAGTACCGGCACTCTTAGTACCGGTTATTTTCACCGTAATTTGATCTGAAAGTTTTTGCAATGCACGAATTATTTAATTGTGTTCCACTTTCGAGAATGGTTGCAAGTAATTTTGGTAAATTCCTTTACGCATTCCGCATTTCATTTATTCCTAATTAATAAATTTTAGTATTTAAAGAAAAGGTCAAAATTTTCGATACACTATTTGGATTGAAATAAATTAAAAATATAGAAATATTAAATTAATTTAAAAAGAATGCAAAAATTAATATATTAATATATTTCTAGTTAGTATAGAATTTTTACGAATTTTTTAAAAAATATCAAATTTAGTATAAGTGAAATACTTCTGAAAGTATAACATCATTCGTTTATATTAGTAGAAAAAGTTTCTTAAACTTTTAAAGCCTAACAAATACACAGTTCATAACATTATAAATTTATTGTATCATAAATATTATGATTAAAAGTTTAATACAAATGTATATGATGTAACTTCTGCCTTAGTAACATGTTTAAAAAAAATCACGATTATTTCATTGTTGCGATGTAAATTAATTATTTTGCAAATTTTGCTATTAAAGTGGAAGTTTACTAGAAATGTTACATTACTCTTTTCATTAGTTCATTTGTCAGAATTGCCCGTTACCCCTTTTTTGCTAAAATGGCAACTAAAACGCCGTCTGTTTAGCAAAACAAGAATAAATCATTTATATAACTTCTCATTTTTCTATTTTGGGTGCAAATAGCAGGAGAGCCGCGATGGAAGGTCGCCGTGACCTCCTTAAGAATTTCACTATTCGACATATTTCGCCGGGCCTGCGTTGTTTTCGGCATTTTTAAGATATTTCAATTCCTTTCTCTCCTTTTTTTTAGAAAACAAAAATATAATTAGCCAATTTTACACCTTTATTTAACTTTTTTTAAATAGCAATGATAAAAATATGCAAAAATATCATTTCACGTATTTATTCCACAATTCTTATATTTTCTTCAATAAATCTAATTCCCTCCTTCGCCATTAGAAAGTTTGTTTCAATCACTTGTCATGGAGCTCCAATTTCTGAGTACAAACGAGCCAGTTTTATAAGTAATTTAGAGATAAAACATCAATTAGCTCATTATAAAAATCTCCCTTGTACATTTCCTTCATGAAAAAGTGCAGCAGTGAATAGGTAAATGCAGTTTGGTGAGTAATATCGGCGAATGTTGCACGAAATTGAAAAAAATTATGAATCGTAATTACATATTGCAGAAATCTTAATTTTTAAGAACTTAAAATTTCTACTAATAAAAAGCCGCGCAAGTAACACAAAGTTGAATGTTTAACTTGTGGAAGTATAATTTTATCTCTTTATATATATANAGTGAGGCTTATTTTTTGAGACAGGGTTCTAACAAAATATTTATGATTAAAATGATAAAAATTCAAGAAATTATTAATAAAGTTTTGTCTTCTTATATGTGAGAAACCACTAATTAAAAATTGAAGATATTATTATATTATTCATCATGGTCAGAACAAGAGTTTTAAAAAGCGAAGTTTTCTAAATAGACTGAATTTTATAGATAAAACTACGACCAAGATTTGATTAGTTTCGGTTTTAGGAAATAATTTTGAGAAGAGAATACAAAACTATATAAAAATAAATAAAATAATTCTATTTAGAATGTATTATAATATCAAAGTTTTTAAAACTTTTATAAACTTTTCGGTGATAATCTTTGACATGTGAAAAATGCAAGCAATTTTAAACAAAAATGCTTAACACCATTTAATAAGTATATATATAATTATGAGACAAAACCGAAATACCTATATATTATATTATATTTCATTATTTATTATATTATATTATATATAAATATTTTTGGTTCGTACTCTTATATCTTCAAATAAATTTGTCCCACTTTGTTTAAATTTCTAATTAGTTTTGAAGTAATTAAATAGTTTATACTGACGACTACCGGTTTTTTGAATTTTTGGAAAAACTTATTGTTGCATAAAAAGCAATTTTTTTATCGTTTTGCACTTTTGTGACTGAAGATAAAATGAAACCATCATTTCTTTTTTAAAATTTCGAAATAGTTTCGGAGTAATTAAATTATAGAAATTTTATACGGAGAAAAAAAATTACCATACTGTGTGGCAATGATATTTCAGTGGATAAAAAAGCATTATTGTTCTGGCAATGAAAACCAAAATATAACTGTATTTAAACCATTCATTTTGGTCTTTCTAAGGTGTCAACATAAAATTTCCAAATTTTAACAAGTTTACCAAATGTTATCACATATTATAAAACCATATTTAACTGTTAATTTTACAAAAATCATTACTAAAGAACTTCGGAGAAAATTACCGAACTTTTTTGTGCTCCAACAGAGCCAGAAACACGGTAAAATTTTCCATATTCTGGTAGTTTTGACCATTCTTTTTTTATCAGTCTGGTGTTTTTTAATCCAGAAAGGTTAAAAAAAAATTAGTATTTTTTAACATTGTTTGGACGTAGATGCCAAATATTCTTCTTTCATTAAAAAAATTTCGTGATTAATTTTATAAGGGGGTTCAACATCTGAAAAATTATATTTTTCACAATTCTGTATTTGACAATATTTGTCAATCACCACATTATTTGTTATTCGGTGTGTGGAATAGTAAAAAAATTACCTATATCCAATTTTATATGCAAATAAATGTATTTTAATTTTTATTTATAAATGGTTTATCCATAGTATTCACATGAATAATTAAGCATAAAATTATTATACCAGTAATATATAGGTGAAAAAATCAGCATAATGTGTAAATAGTAGCAGTAGAATAGTTTACTTTTTTTTACTGAAGTGAATGAACTACATCCTAATATATACTTTATTTTACAAAGATTACAGCTTTTTTTCCTTACTTTATCGAATTTAACATATTAAAGTGTTTTAAAAAATTTCACTGAATTTATATTCACTATTGGTAACGTTTGATGAATTGAATTTCTCATTCATTGTTCACTTTCCAAATAATAAATAAATGAAAGTGCTAAAACTCCGCTTATTTTTATGCATTAAAATGAATTCACTTTGGTTATACCAAAGCTATTTTCTTAGCAGTAAGTAAATTTGATTTAAAGATAATTTATATGCTTGTTTGCTAATACTATATTAGACAAATTATACTTATTTCTTGGTGTTAAAATTTGACTAACTTGATTTAGCCTCAAGCAACAGCTTCAAGTCAAATGATGTAGAACACAATTACTCATTATTTTGTGATGAGATGAACTGGTAAAAACGTGTTCTGCATAATCTAATAACATAAAGTGACAGGTAAGGACAAAATGCATTATGAACAAAATAAATAAAAAATGGAAATGAAATTATTTTAGTATTATTAACTGTATTAGTATATATCTTTTAGTTTTTTTGCTTGATTTCATAATGTTGTTTAGTACTGATGTATGGGTTATTTACTTTTTTACATCCTGTACGAAGAACTGGTATGTTGTAGTTTGTAATGCCACTTCCCAATCCAGCAAGCTTGCTTCGTCAAACCAAGCGTATTTAATACTAGATTGCCTAAGGAAGTCATTTCAATTAGAAAAACAATGATGTATACAATGACACAATTTCTTAGAATTTTGTGACTTTTTGAACGACTGATAATTTTTTTTTGTTAATATTTACTAATAACTTGTTACAGAACTGTAAATAATATAAAGAATTTTGAAAATTAATTTTAAACAAATTTATTGACGCATTCACAATCTAGTCATTTTGACTGCTTTTCGGCAATATAGGCATATACTAATTTTCCGTCTTTCTAGTGTTAAGGCAGAGGGTGCATTTCTTGTTTTTTAGTAGCGCCATCTATTGTTAAGATTACAACTCTAGCCACACACACGTCAGTACCCCACGAGGTATGATTCTTTTTGATTTTTTTACCGTCGTGGAGCAGCCGACACAATTTTGAGATTACGACTACTAATGAACGACACAATTTTGAACCCAATCAAGAAGACAAGGAAACTCCTGGATCACTACCCTCAGAGGTATGATTTGTAATGGGTACATGGAAGACTTTGTGACCCGACAGCTTTAACGTGCACCAGTCAGATTTAAAATGTAGTACACGGGGAGTCTTCGCCAGCAGGGACTGAATTCACGATCTCTTGGACATTGGCCTAACACCCTACCAACCAGGCTATCCCGACCTAGAACGGGTATTCAGCTAGTAAATTTGAAAAATTATAATCGTATATAACATTATATAATATATAAAAATTATTTATAAAAATTTTAAGAAATTAAATATGAAAATTATATAAAAATTACATATTATAAAAATTATTTAAAACTAAAAGTGTATAATATAAAATTCTAATAGTAAATTCTTGGATTTTACGAAAAGCAACCTTAATTAAAATCTTGAGATAACTCTCATTTATTCAATTTAAATTAATTTAATTTAGAAATAATTTAATAATCTTTTAGTTTAACAATTTAATTAATTTATTTAAATTAAAAATCTTTTATTTATAGGTCAAAAAACTTCAATATTTGTTATAATGTATTTGAATCGTCAGAAGGAAGCAATCCAGACTTGACACCGATCATTTTCTTGCATGGAATGTTGTGTTCTAAGGAAATGTGGGACAACATACCTCAGGCTATAGCTGATGAAACAAAGAGAAAAGTAAGATTTTAATTTACTGTTACATTATTCGCTTTTCTACTTCATATATTTTAAGCATAATTCATCATTCTAAATGAACACTTTAAAATTGCGCATTTAGAAAAAAAATTGGGGCTCTTCTCTAACCGTGGTAACATTATTGTCAACTACAACTAATTTTGGAATTTTACTGATAATGTTATATGAGCTAAATATTTCTTACATACGAAAATACATCTCGATTAAAAAGAAATAACTACGTCATAATAACTTATTTTGCATTGAGTTTCAGAACTCCAGATTATCTTAACCTTCTGAGGCTCAGGCTTCAAATTTTGGCACAAAATTCGATTTTTACCTAGAAGTATGAAACTTTAAAGAAATGAAACTCGTAAATATAATAATATATATGCTTTTGCAAAGGCAAAATTGATTCAGTTAAACTGATTGTTTTTTTGTTATTAAAAAAATTTAAAATTGATGGGGGATTATTCAAAAAACTAATAATATCATGTCAAAACAAATTATTTTAAGATTGGTTTATTTTTTATACTTGTATGAAATTTTTTCCCCAAGCGTTTCCATATACGCCAAAAAGATCATTCATTTACAATTTCCTAAAAAGAACAAAATTACCTAAAAGTCCCTCTGATGGACTTTCAGAACCTTCTACTCAAATTTACTTTGATAGTTTAAAATTCTTACTCCCATATTTCTGTAGTTAAAATATTTTTAAACTATATATATTTGAAAGTGTAAAATAATCCGATTAAGTATTTAACTTACCAATGTATATCATTTGAAGGTTTGTCCCAAAGTTTTCATGTCATTTTATTAGCCCAGAGAGTATTTTTCGATTATTTTAGAATCTTTATTCTTAAATAAATGATCCCAAGAAACTGAAGCAGTAAGATATTACTTGATTACCAACTTCATTTCCTTCAAAAGTACACATATTGGAAACATTGGACAAAATAAACGTGCTTTAAAACTTAGAATTAAGGAACACGTTTGTTATGTCCGCAATCAAGAATATGAGGAATGATCAATTGCTGCACATTGTTGGAATCTTGGGCATATATTTAATTGCAACAATATCAAAATATTTCGGTACTAGTCACATCAGCTTACCTTGATATGCCATTGAATTTTGTTTTGTACGTATGAAAGCTAATTCCCTTGTTGACAACGTTAGTTCCTCACCACCTCTCTATAGCCCATGGAAATTCGTTTTACCCTGGTTTGCCCCTTTCGGAGACTGTGGTTATTCTCATTTAGTTTTTCATAATTTTTTTTCATTCTGAACTGCTGTTGTTTTTCTAGTTTTGTTTCTCACCTTCATTTTTAAATCTTTCTCTGGCAACTTGGCGTTTTATATTTCATATCACTTTTATTTCATCTCATTTATGTCTGACAGTATTGAAAATGCGTGCATATTTTTGAGAGCTTGAAACATGTCGATCCATCATTCTATTAGATTAATTAAGGACTATAAAAATCTGATTTATCTGAAGTTCTTATATCTTTGAAGTTCTAAACAGAAGCTTGTAACAATCTCTGCTGTCATTAGCCAGTACAGCAGTTTTGTTTCACGTGAAAAAAATTTTTTAGAAAATAATTATTACTTTAAAGTATAATAGTGCGACGATTATGATAGAAGAACTTCATTAAACTTTAACCTGCTTATTGAACTTAGTAGCAGGCCTTATATATAAAACAATGTCACGCCCCTGGTATGCAAACGTGCCACTCTCCTGCCATTTTCTGAGTCATGTAATTAGCTTAACTGCCAGCATCGTTAAAGTAAGTTGTTCATAGTGAAGTGCAGTGTTGTTCATAGAGAAAAAAAACTACTGTGAAGGGTGGTTTTACGAAGAGTAAATCGCAAAAAATTTTAATAGTCGTTAATTTGCACTAGTTATTTAGTATTTTTTAAAGGCATGAGACCTGCATAAAAATGTTTCAATGTTTGTTTAACCACTTTAACCATCTTAAATAGATTTTGTGATAGTTATGTGTTTTATAAACATTTCAGATCTATGCCTGTGATGCTAGAAATCATGGAGAAAACGTTCATACAGATGTATTCAATTTCGATCTTACAGTCGAAGATTTACTCAATTTTATGGATCGGAAGGACATTCCGAAAGCAATTTTAGTGGGTCACAGTATGGGTGGAATGACATCTATTATTGCTTCTATTAAAAAGGTAAATGTAACAATTTATTAACATAAACGCTTGACCACGATGGCATCTTAATTATAGCAAATATGATAACGAATAAAATATATTAGAATGTGAATCCTATTAACAAGTTTTGGATGAAGTTTTAAAATTAATGTGCTAGTAAATTAAAATTAATACAATTTACTGAGCTTCATGCTTTATCTCGTCAAAAAGACACTGACATTATCCCTGAATCCTCATAGCATGGAGTGTTTTTCTTCCTTTGGCTTGGTAGGTAAGAATTTTATTAACGTCTCACTAGAGCTAAACAATGGGCTATTGTGGACCTTTTAGAAACATCCCTGAGGATGATCCAAAGACATGCCATCACAATTTTGATCCACTGCAGAGGGGAGAGCTCTTCAGCTCTGGTAGCCCAATGGCCTGAGCACGAAGTCGAGTACTTTATGGTAGAACAGTTGAACGAGGACCGATACCACGCACCCTCAGTCCCTAAGTAGGCTGATGAAAGTTGTCACCCACCCACTTACTGACCGCATTCAGTGATGTTTGATTTCGGTGTTCTATCCTTTAGCTTCTTTTCCTTAGTTCATGTTTTTGAAACCTAAACTATGAGATGCATGAGGGCAATCTGAACAATGGTGTTTTCCCAACTTTATGCTAATATGTCGGGAAAGGTTCATTTCTCTTCCATCAGAAGGACTCTCCCATTTACATATCGAAATCGATCATACATCAAAATAGGTGATCAAACACTGGACTGACCAACTAAGAGTCCCGATCTCAATCCGATAGACGAATTGAAACGCAAATTGCGTAGCCAGTGAAACTTATCATCCTCAGTGACATCATTCATTGCAGCTTTGATGGACGCCTAGAAGTCAATTCCTATGGCCACCTACCTAAAATTGGTGAAAAGTCTCCCCAGATTTGTGCAGGCTGTCACGAGGCAAAAATTGACCAACATCAGATTGATATTTGCCTCAGCACTCTCCTAGTTCGTAACAATGGGTGCCCCAATGCTTTTTGTCAGATAGTCAGTCTTTAAGATAGCCCATAGAGGTTTTTTCAAATCATACACCTTAAAATATTTTAAATAAAAAAAAATATATTTAATTTTTTTGCCGATAATATTGGCTTGATTAGGGAGGTCCCGTGATCCTAAAAATGTAAAAAGGGATAAAAACTTAATTCATTTATATTTATTTAATTATTCATTAGCAACAACTAACATGTATTACATTATTAATGATTTATAGTTAAAACGAAAATCTAGCCGGCATTTACTTTTAACAGTAGACTGAAAGAAGGGTATTAAGCAGCGTTGCTAATTTTTAGCACATGTGATAGAATTTTGCGTTTTGACCAATAACAAGCAAAGTTCTATTAATAATTGGTCAGCATTTTTCACAATATCTGAAGAACAGTAAACTAAATTAATACAATTTGTAAATATTGGTTTAGCATTTTTTATTGTGTTTTCAATTTAGATGTTATGCCTTGTTTCACAAACCAATAGCAGTTTACCATATTGTAAGTAGGGGAAAGGAAGGCTAGCTTGAACATGGGGCTTACGGAACTTTCTTATTTATTGGGCAAATTTCCTCTGTGAGACATCAACACTTATGTACAGTGAAGGAAAAAAATGGATCACTTTGAATAACTTTTGATGTAATGATCGGATTTTCGCCTTCTAGGACTCTAATCATAATGATACTTCAAGTTACGAAATCAGACTCAAAAATGTGCTTTCTCTAAATAAACATATCTTCTTTTGGAAGGCTTTGGATTTCTGAACCTCAAAATATAGGAAATAGCCATAATTTGGGAAAAATGGTGTTTGGTCAGGAGCGAGTTTCAAAGTTTGGTCCCCTTAATGTCAATTTTACTTTTCTCAAGATTTGTTATATCTCAAGAATTTTTTAAGCGAATTGAAAATTTTTTACACCCAATTATATCATTCGTTTATCCAAAGATAATTCCGTGCAAAAAGTAACTTTTAGTAAATACCTATTATTTTTTAAAAATTTTATTTAAAAATGATCTAGAAGTTTTGAATTGTAAATCATTTTAAAGATGTAATTTTATGTTGTAAAATCGGTTGAATAGTTCCTGAGAAATAATCAAATTTTGAGCATGCGACTTGTTTGAAGTTCAAATTTTGAGCATCTGGCTTGCTTAAAATTCAATTTCTCAGAAACTGTTCAACTGATTTTGCCCAAATTTGGTATTTTGTTGCTTAAAATTACATAAAAAGATAAAGACAATTGTTTTTTCTTGATCGGGAATTTGGATTGTTTGAATATTTTTCGAAAGAGGACGGCACTGGAACTTTTTAATTTCTCTTAGTTGTTTTGAGGATCTTGCAATTAATAATTTTTGCGAATTATTAATTTTTGTTAATTAATAATTAACTGTTTCTTTCTCTTTGTTGATTTTATATGCAGCCGTGTTAATCTCAGTGTACTTTTCACTTAAGTAATTTCCGTTTTAAATTGTGTTTCTCTGGTTATTAATTTTATTTTGAAGTATTGTATTACATTTTTATTTTGTTTCCCTTTATGAGGACTCGGGGCATATTCCAATTTTTGATTAATCACTGACTACAGAAAGGCTCCAGCATGCTAGCATGGCAATGTGTATCACTGATGAAGTACTGTTTGTGCTAACAAGCGTTTCTTTAACATTTGATTAATTTTTATTTAAATTCTCACATTTTTACTTAAAAAAGAATGTACTAGAAAAAATTATATAAAACTCTTGGGAACAATGTTGTTAAATGGAACAGTATCTGAGAAACATTGGTATCAACAGACAGAGAACAGTAACGTCGAATAGGTTAAGATAAAGGGAACTGACTGGGTTGGTAATCTGCTGCAGTGCTTGTTTCGGTTGGGAATCTGCTGCAGTGCTTGCTGACTAATGACTCTTGAACAAGCAAAGCTCGCCAGCCATTGGACTTGCGAATTAAGTCATGGATAAGAAACTTTAGTTTGTGAAAAAGAAGCATGTCAGTCTCTGAGCAAGTACCCATGGTATTGATCAGCGACCGACCACAGGATTTTCGAATCCACAGATTCTTACGAACATGCATATAGCAAGCACTCGGTTGATCTTAGCGGAGACGGGGCTCGAAACCAGGTTTCTCCTAACCAATGTCCGATTTTTAAGCAACTGGGCTACCACGGCTCTGCTGTTGTGCTTAAACTGTTGTAGAAGTTAAACTGTGGTGCTAGTAAAAACAGTAGAACACTGAACGATGATTTGTTGGCTTTTCGTAAAGTCACATTTTAAAATAACCACACTAATCTTAAGATTTACATTCCTATAATTATCAAATGAGACATATTTTTTATCTCCTATAAGTATATTTATGTAGTATAACACTCAATACAAATAAATATGGCACTTGAAGAGGGTTGTTTTACAGCTTTCATAATTTAGTTCTTTCTAGTATCCCCTCAACATTTTTGATATAAAAATAACCAAATCAAACTCGACAGCTAGATGGAAGAGCAAGGGGTTTCCTTGAGTAGCCCTCAGCAACTTTTACTATACATAGCTATATTTTTGTATTTTTTAATGGCTCGAAAGATGAAGAATGTAAGGCATTTTTGAGAATACAAAGAAAAGAGTACTCACTTATACTGCGTTTAAAATAAAAATTTAAAACATAATTCCATTATGTTTTGAATAATTATATTAATAATTGTAATTATATTAATAATTATGTAATTATATTAACTTAAAATTCTTACTTTGGAATATGCTGCTAACCAAGTCTTCAATGTTTTTTTAATGTAGCCAGAAAGAGTAGAGATGATATTTTCCGTTGATGTATTTATTAAGAAAATCCCGAAAGAGATGACAGAAAAACTCACTCAATTTACAACTTTGTTCGCCAACACTGTGCGAAATATTCCAAAAGAGACTCCAGAATCTGAAGTTGTCAAGACCGTTGTTACGCGATTGTATGAAAATTTCCCCGAAGACTCTGTAAGTATAATTACCTTCTGTGTGTTCATAAAGCTCTCATATTTTTCTAAAGTGGTACTAATGCGTACTTAAATATAAATAAAAACTTGTTTCATAGTTGAAAGGGAAGAGAGGTCGACATGCCTCGAGAGCTTAATCACGAAACTTATCTTCGTCAGTATAATGTAACACGTGAATGATGGAAACGTAAAACAAGTTAGAAACAAAAACAAAAGACACAGTTACCTGCAAAAAATAGAAGAAAAAAGTGATAAAAAAAGCGCGGTAGATGAGAAAATGGCGATGATATACGGTAGTAAATAAGGAGATGATATATTTCAACGAGCAATATAGAGTTCAGGCAGATCTAACATCATTTAATAGAGAATTGTCCTGACGAGAAGCGTTGAGTTTCGCCACCTGAACCATGTCGACTTTTTATTTGTTTCTACTATGAAAGAAAAATAATTTTTTTTAACTATTTCAGTATTTTTTTCATGGATTTTTCTTTCATTGGTTCTAAAGTGGCTTATAAACGCTCGTGGCCATAAAGTGAACCGAAAAATGACCTACTGAGCACATGTGAAATTTTTTCTTTTAATTTTGTAATTTAATTAAAAATGTACTGAAAGATTTATCGAAACTATAATATATATATATTTTTTATAAACTATGCATAAATCGAATTTACTACACCAAGAATCATACATTAAAAAACTGCCACTCCGAAAATATTTATCCACTGTCCGGAACAAGTATGCTTCTCTGACAATGGGCTGTAACAGAAGTTCTTCACAATTATTACTTAATTTTCCTACTGATAATTCTAATAATTTGCTTTAAAAATTTGTTTATTTCTTTTGCTGCAATTCTTCCTTTCATGTTTTATTTTCTTGTCTTTTTGCTCAGTGAACATAACAACATTGCAACATAATTGTAAAGGTGTTGCGGGTGAAGGATTTTGTGCACTGATCTCGTGATTACGTGCCATAAATGTTCGATGGGATTCATGTAAGGCTTTCTTGGTGGCCAAATCATTCACTGAAACTGTCCAGAATGTTCTTCAAACCATTCGCGAACAACTAAGGGCCAGTGACGAAGACACTGGACGTTAAGTCATGCAGTTAGTAAAGGCACTCAAATTCGTCTTCTGCTGCCATATCCCATTACAGTCAAATTTCGCCGTACTGTCCTAACGGACATGTTCATTTCACGTCCAGCATTGACGCTTACGGCTATTTGACACAATGTAACTTGCCTGCTGACTGACATTTCTGCGCACACGTCTGCAGTCGTGATCATTAAGTGCAGATGGTTGGCCACTACGTAGTCCATGGTGGGAAGTCACGACTGAAATTATGTATTCTCGGCACACTCAGGACACTGTAGATTTAGAAATGATGAATTCCCTCATTATTTCCGAAATAGAATGTGCCATGCTTCTAGTTTCAACTACCATTCCACGCTCAAAGTTTGTTAATTCTCGTGTTATATTTACATCAAAAACATTCTCTGGTGAATAACTTAAAAGACACATAAAAGACATGCCAATCCACTACCCATATATACATTTTGCACGCGATACCACTTCCATCTGTATATTTGCATATTACTATCACATGACTTTTGTCATCGTAGTGTAAATTTAAATAGTTACAACCAAAATAGTATCCTTTACGGATAGGAGTGATAAACCCACGTGTTCTCCGTGTTCAGAAAAAAAACGAATGTTGGGCAATCCTTCGTGCGCCTGATGAACGCCAACATCATCCACTTATGATCTTTTAAAAGATCACGCGTGATTGTTATGTGTCTTTTTTTCAATTAACTTTTACCATTTTGGCGTAAACAATGTATATAGCTATTATTATTAATCTAGATAAATTTAATCAATTTTAACTTAAGGGTGATAGATACAACTTTCCTATTTAAAAGCAATAAGTTTCATCGATTAAGTCAAGCAATATTTATCTTGCATAAAAATGATTGCATGAAATTTATATTTCGTAGGATTTTCAAAAGGAGAAAGAATCTATGATGAAATCAAAATATATTTTTAAAAGGAAACCTGATGGAGGGTATGATGTATCTTTTAACGAGGATGCAATTTTGAAATTTGCAAAAGATGCAGACCAGTATGAGTGTGTACCAGATGGTCAATTTAAGGGTCCTGCTTATTTCCTTTACGGCACTAAATCTGATGTTCAAGTGTAAGTTATTAAACAATTCTGTTTTATATCAAATTAGTTTTGAAAGCTACTTTACTTTTTAAACCTTACTTTTATGATTGATTATGAACAAAACTTTTTTTTTATCAATTCTTTTAAATAATCGGTGTTGTATGATTTATTTTTCTATCACATGAATAATTTCAAGCGTGTTGTTAAAGAATTGACAATTGCCTATGAGAATTCTTTTCTTCCTGCATTGGAGTAAATATTTCATAGATTTCAAACATATTGTTAATCAAAAAAAGTAATAAATAAATAAATATATAAAAAGAATATTCAAGTAAAAATAATTTTTGTCAACTTAATTTTGAAATAATAAGGACATTTAAGAAGAACGACGCAGTCAATTGTTGAGAACTTTTGATAAAAAAAAAAATTATTACGCATTTACGCTCTGAAACATGAGAATTTTTCTTAACATCTTAAAAATTACGTGAAATTGTCATTTTGCTAAACTTATAAGTTGTTTTATTATTTTATAAATTTCTTTCTTTTTCTTGAAATGCTTTTCTTCTTATTAAATTATTTTTCTTTTTATTAAATTATTTTTCTTCTTATTGAATTATTTTTCTTTTTATTAAATTATTTTTATTTTTTTATTAAATTATTTTTATTTTTTTATTAAATTATTTTTATTTTTATTAAATTATTTTTCTTTTAGAAAAACTTTTATCAAAATAATTAGTCATTTATTATTTGTAATCATAAAAATTAATAGTGTTTAAAATTAAGTGTCGAAATGATTTTGTGCAAATTAGAAGTTTTAATGCGCTCATAGTAAGTTGTGCATTCACATGCGTTTTCCAAATAAGCATGTTTCCTAACCTCATCCTGTCGATATATCAAAATTTATTAATCAGATTCCCATATTTTCATACGAGTAGTATTCTTTTAAATTGTATACAATGTAAGGTTAAGGCTCTTAATATCGTTTTCATTTTAAAAAAAATTTCTCAAAAATATTCAACAACATGTTTATAATGTTTAAAAATTTTTTATTTATCTGCTAAAATAATTTTTTTTTATTAATTATGCTATCATTATTTAAAAAATTATTTATAAGTTTTAATAAAATAAATTTATAATTTTTTGTTCTGTAATTATTAGTATTGTATTTATATCAGTTTGAAGATCATTAAATACCATTAAATTAGCTTTATAAACATAATTTATTAATTTTAATAAAATTAAAATTTTTATTATACAAAGAATGCGCAAGTCGCGATGTGTGAATGGAACAATTATCATTCTGGAATAGAAATAGGCTATATAATAAAATATTGTCAGACACTTGGATGCGCAGCATTGTCTAGAAAGTTCATATACATATAGTCTGTCCACGAAAAGAACTCCCCTAGCCTTTCGTCTGGAGCAGTGGCGGTTATTATGGTTACGAGGTTTAGCTATTTCATGTAAGTGTGTTGATTCAATATTTACAGCAGGGTTTAGCTCGAGTGGCTAGTAAAAGGGAATTTTGGAGGGAAGAAGCCTCTTTGAAATATTTTCTTTCTCAGCAATAGACGGCCTTCGACTTTATAGAAAGGGAAATTTTTTCTATTGACAAACTATACATCTCAGAGTTCACACTGTAAAAAATTTCGGATCAAATTACGGTATAAAGGACCGGCACTTTGGGTGCATCATCCGTAAAGTTTATTTTTACAACAATATTTATTTGATTAGAGTTATTTAGTGATTTTGCTGTAATAATTACTGTAAAAATGTTGGTAAATCATATTTTTGGTCCGCAACATGTTCCGAAAAATTTATTATACTGTAAAAAGTACAAGCATCCTCAGTGATGGTATGTTTTCCCGCAATTTGATCCGTATTTTTTAACAACGCCCTGGAATTAGGGATCCAGGCCAAACCGCATGTAACGCCATACACCATGATAAACCGCACCTGTTTAGGTGTGTGTTCGATTATATTTATCCAGATAGTTTATCGATTGAGAATTTTAAGATTTCGCACATCTTTTACTGATGATAGACATTGCCGAGCTACCTCTAAAAGTTTTAAGGTACTTTGATTTTTTGTGAGCCATTCTAATGATTTAAAACAAATATTTTTCATAAAAATATATATTTCTTTTATTTCTACTAAAACATTTATTTTGAAATAATGCATAGCAAACAGTGCATATATAATGACTATTTAAATATTACTTCTTTTTTAATTTAGATCTAAAGAAGAAACCAATATAAAGATGCACTTTCCTGTAGCAAAGTTAATAGCATTTGAAGGAGCTACACACAGTTTGCACATAGATTTTCCTGATAAATTTATCAAAACACTTTTAGATTATTTGTAATGAAGAGACCTGAAGTTTTGAACATTTATGTAACATAATCATTTCTACCAATCTCAAAGCCATGTCATGATTTGTCCTTTTTTATTTAATTAATATGTTAGCATTATTTTTAAATGCTACATGTGATTGTAAATTGCGTTAAAAACACTCACAGTAGTTTAAAGCATGCATTTCATAATTTTTTAATATTTGATTTTTATTTAGTTGAAATGGTGAAAATTATGTATATTTTTCCTTTCGCAAATATGAAAAAGTTTTTATTAAATTAGGGAAAATGGCTTAAATCTGTTTAAGTTAATTGCAATTTGCAACACGTGTATAATATTTTTTACTATTTCACATTTGTATAATCATTGTATTTTTTGATGATATATATATATAAATAAAACAAGATTTTTTTACATCTTAAATGGCCAATAGCAGGATAATTTTTGTAGTGAAACTCAGCCAAACAAGGCTAACACTTTCTAGTACTCTTATTACACCAGAAAATCATATGTTGTATGTCCAAGATAAACAAAGAAGATCTAACTATGTAAACTACTATTTGAAATCTGTTAAGGGAGCAATGGCTCTGAGCATACAGCCAAAGAGAGCATCTAATCATCGACTAAAAATACTAAAACTTTAAACCTATAAGGAATATTTTTATTATGAAAATAAATTGTTTTATAGGTATATATTTGTGACAAGCAAAGTATTTTATGAAGTATAAAATATGGCTGAAAAATTAATTTAAAGTAAAGTTTTAGATCATTAAAATTAAATATTATTCTTTACATTAAGCATAAATATAATATTATTTTATTAGAAATAATAATAAATTTTTTTTTAATCAAAGAATAATTTTTACTTACATGAGAACATCTAAACAATATTTATATTTTTTATAAAACTATTTATATTTCCATACATATTATATCCATATATCATAATAATGTACTCCTGCGAGTTCGAGGACTAAAAAAAAATGCGAAAATAAAATTTGAGTCAAATAAAACCGAACTACCGATTTAAATATACCCATAATAATGTATAATATCTCCATAATAATGCATATTACGCCCATAATGTATATTATATCCATATATATTATATCCATAATAATGAACACCTGCAAGTTTGAAGTTGGAAGACTGGAAAAAAAATGTGAAAATAAATTTGAATCAAATAAAACCGAACTACCGATTTAAATATACCCATAATAATGTATAATATCTCCAAAATAATGTATATTACATCCATAATGTATATTATATCCATAATAATGTACACCTGCAAGTTTAAAGTTGGAAGACTGGAAAAAAATATGAAAATAAAATTTGAATAAAATAAAACCGAACTACCAATAACTCAGTTGTTCACTATAAGCGTTTAAAATAACATTATCTAAATGCGAGGTCAGTAGAGACCATTAAAATATTTACTTACAATATAGTGATCACTATATCCAAGGTTCACTATAGCGTGGTTCGGTAGTATTTAGTTTTATAGAAAAGCTTTTGAAAGGCATAAATAAAATAAAATAGACTTGAGGTTTCAGGTAACTTTAGGAATACTAACTTATGGACGTAGTTTATGTGAGAATAAAAATAAAAATGAAATAAATATAAAAGAAATAAAAGTGAAAGAAATATTAAAGTGCGTGCATTAAACTCTTTTTTTATTAATAAGAACTATACGCTAGAAAGAATAACTGATATGATCTTTGAACCATTCAATGAAACATAGTGATATATAGTTTAATTTGAAACAAAAGTTATCTCTTAACCTATCAGAAATTTAACACTTTTTTAACGTCTTTCCCAAACGATCAAATCGCAATAATTGAAGCACTTTTAGCATCAAATGCATAAATTTCTCTTTTTACCACCTTTCAAATTTCACAACGCTTTATCTTACATTTCTGGAGTTATGAAACTGATTTACCGGCACACTTGTGTGAACGATTCTTTGAGTGTATACCAGGGCCGGATTTAAGTTTGGTGGGGCCCTAAGCTACTGAAAATGATGGGGGCCCTTATAAGTTCAATTCCATTTCTATACATCTAAAGTAAACTGTCACTATTTTTTATTGTTGAGTATTAACATTATATTATTAAAAAATTTAATAATATTACTTTATTTTTAAATATATTAATTGTGATGAGACTATTATGTAGAACCTTTCTTTTAGTGCACATATTTTTTGAACGAGGGGAAAAAGTTGCAAAAGAAACACATTTTAAGCACAGAGTAAAAATTTGGTTTGCTGGGACACTATATATTTAGTTTTATTATACATTAGTTTTTTTTTAGATTCATTTTGAATATTTGCAATTTTTAATGATTTTTTCGAGAATTTTTTTCTCAATTGTTTTTTCTTTACGTTACAAAATCTATAAGACTTAGAAACATGAAATTTTGAATGTGCGTAGAAAATATGCAAAGAGTTAGAAAGAAAGCAAGAAAATACAATTTGATTATTAGTTTTATTTTTTTTTATGACCGCCGTTGAACAACCGACTCAATTTTGAGTTTACGCCCTATCAGCCAGGCTATCCCGGCCAAATTTATTAGTGTATTTTATAACAGTCATTGCACAGCCGACCCAATTTCGAGTTTGCGACTACTGATATTCAACTCCGTGGCCATGTCATTTAGAACCCAATCCTGAAGACAAGGGAACTGTTAGATTAGTACCCAGAGGCATTTATTTGTTATGAGAACTTGGAGGACTTTGTGACCTCTACAGATTTCACATGCACCAGTCACCATTTTATGCATGGGTATTCTTCTGCCGACTGGATTCAAATTCCCAATCTCACGAACACGAGTCCAAGCAACAGTCCCGGGCATCCAGCCAAAACGAGCATTCAACATATCAATGGAACACACTAAAGCTTTATATCAATTAGCAATTAGTTTTAGATAATTACAATTGTAGAATAATTATCTTATTATAGAATGAAATGTTTTAAAAGACAAATATCTGTTAATGTTTAACATTTAATAAACGAAAAAACAGAACCAATATTGAAATCTAAAGAGTTTATTATTTTTAATTACTGATAAAGTTTGTGACAGAAAAAAATATTAAAGCCTGATAGATTTCAGAATTTTAGAAACACCTTCTAGTTATACTATTCAATCAAATAGGTTTCGATGTCTTTCATCCCGGTCTCATTAGTGATTCAGCATATTTCGATATCATTTTTGTTTTGTTCTTACTTAATATTAATTTGTTTGCGACAGTTAATTTGTATACCTCTTTTACTACATTTTCGAAGAGTTTAAAAATGCAATATTGAGGATTTTAACTGAAAGGAAATTTGCTTTTTTTGTATGCCTCTTTTATTACGTCATCATCACACCCACACCCAACTATCTACTCTAAATAATGCTATATAGAATGAGATAGCAAAACAAACGTGTGTAGTTATTTAAATTCTTATTCAAAAGTATTAGTTAATTTTTATTTTTCTTTTGAACTGTCAATTTCTGTCCTTTTTTTAGATATTTTAAAGTGCTATTTAAAACTGCTGCATTTTACTTGAAAGCATGAAATATATCATTTGTACAATTTTAAAGTAAAATAAAAGGGAATTCAGATCCTTAGAAACAGATATTAAATAGTCTGATGATCGAATGATGGGGCAAAAAAAAAAACTTTTTTACCTTTTAAACTAAAAATTTTCTTATTTATAAATAATTTATTAATACTCAAATTGCTTGCTGCTAATGACAACGAAGTTTTTTGTTTTTTTTCAGCCATTTATTTGTATTTATTATGTCCGACATTGTACAAAAGAAGAAAAAATGCATTTTGGGCTTCTGAGGTCCCCAGTGCCGCAAAAACTTTAAAAAAAGAGGGGGGAAAGTAGGATCTGGGGGCCCTTGTCATCTCGGGGCCCCAAGCTACAGCTTATTTAGCTTATACGTAAATCCGGCCTTGGTGTATACAAAGAAGAAGAAACAACAATTTATTGTACGCTAAAATTAAGGCTGTATTCGAAAGGCACCGTCTTCATTAGAAATGATGCTTCTTTCCGAATAATATGTTATTTTTATGACTGCTGTAAGTTTGTAAAAATTACTTATGACTGTCGGTGGGGTCAAGTTAAGTCTAACTAAAGCCAGCGAAGTCTATTCTTATTTTGAAAATGGCACATAAAATGGCGCATAAGGAGAAAAACCACAGCTTTGTGAAAATAAAAATCGTTTGTTTTCTATTTTTTTAATATTTAAGAACTTAATCCAATGCTGCATTATCTGAGCTCATAAAAGTTTCATTATAATTCATCATAACATTATCTGAGCACTTTTACGAAAAGTTCGTTGTTTTTTATAGAATTCGAAAGGAAACTTTAAATATTACTCTTCTGTGATATAATGAAAGTTTAAATGTACTGTTTAATAGTGAATTATGTTCTGCTAAAATTAATTTAAACTGAAATGCTCATTTATATTATCAAGTTATATGCATTTATTTATATTTAAGTTTATCTTATTTCTCTTAATGTTAAATTAAAGATAATCTAACCATTTCATTTTTCTCTACTTTACAACTGTTTAAAAATTTTTAAATAATATACAAATGTTCATTTTGTGTTTAGACTATAAATCAATATCTAAAAGCACCTTAAGATAGACAATTTTAATTGTCATATGTAAAATATCATTATGTAAATAAATTGAATTGGTTCAATATATTATAAAAGTTTGTTTTAAAATAAAATTTAAAAAAAAATTCTTATTCTAAAAATACATAGATTTCTAATAATATTTTTTGCTAAATATTTATAATGAATGAAACTATTTTTTTAGTATTTTATAAATTCATAATACAAAAGCCGTGTCCTTTCTTTTCTTGTCAATTGATATAGAATACTAGATAGATTATAAATTTTCTTGTAGAATTAATAAAGGGATTACTGCTGAAAAATTTCTTTTGAAACAAAAAGAACAAAAAGTCAAATGCATTTATCTGTATTTATGTTAATTTCATTTCTCTTGATATTAATTTAAAGATAATCTAATCATTTCATTTCCTCTCTTTTACAGCAATTTAAAAAATGTAAAACAATATATGAATAAATAATCGTGATTTTTATTTTGTGCTTAGATTATAAATCAATGTCTAAAAGCACCTTAAGATAGACAAATTTAAATATCGTAAGTATAATACTTTATGTAAATGAATTAGTTCAATTGGTTATTAAAGTTCTTTCTGAAAAAAATTTTTTTTTAGAAATTCTTATTCCAAAAATATATAAATTTCTAATAATATTTTTTACTAACTTTTTATATCGAAGGAAACTATTTCTTTTAAATAATTTCAAAAATTGATGAAACAAAATAATATCCTTTCTTTTCTTCTCGATTGATATAGAATGCTAGATAGATAAACAATTTCCTTGCATAATAAAAGAAGAATTTGTGCTGAAAAATTCCTTTTGAAACTAACAGGGCAAAAAAAAAAATATATATAGTTACATTTTTTGCACTTTTAAAGTCGGTATTTTTAGAGCAGTCAAACAATTTCCTATCAATCGGTATTATCGTTCGTTCAATGATATCCAACCTTCAAACATTCCGTTATCAAACAGTGTGATAAAAACATTTGTGATAAAGTGCAACGTTGGCGTGCTATGTTTCAAATATTTATTTTTATTTTCCACCTAAAAATCATGGATAGCAGGTAAGAATTAAGTTTGTTTTTATATTCAGTTATTAATTAATTACAATGATACTTGAAACAGTTCTTTCTTAAACCACAATTTTTTTAATTTTTTGGGAATAATTTGTTTTTAATGTTAAAATTATGAAGATTTACATATAACATATGGTACTATTAAAATTTTAAATCATTACTGTATTAAATATTTAAAAAGTCACTTAAAAATAACCTTTAAATTTGTTTAAAAACTAAAATAATTTTTTATAGTTAGTTGTTATTTTATGTCATTTCTTCGCCTCTTGTGCTAGTTTTGGTTTGGGTTTCAACGTGGTGAACATGAAGCGAATAACCAATAATTTTAATGAAGCATGAATAAAATTTTGAGAAATTTCGATACGGCAGTAGACTTAAGTTTTGAAATAATAATTTATCTAGTGAATAGGCACATTTGTTCAAAATAATGGACGGTATTGTCGTTGGTCAACACAAGAAAGAAGAAGAATAAAAGATATTCATGAAACGATTGACTTGTGTGCATTTCTGTAACCAGTTGTAATGAAACTTGGCCCATTACAAGAACGAGAACTATTTTATACTTTAAATCATTTTACTCAGAACCATTGAGAAGGTTGCGCGAGGAACTCATTTTACAAACTCATTCTAACAAATTAAATGTACATGTATTCATTTAACATCTAAAACGAAATTAAACAATGAAGTTTAAAAACGAATTCTTACCAAACAGGGTCAAGTATGCATGTTATATCTGGAATGAAGTATTAGATACAAAAGTAAAATGAGATGAAATACCTGATTTTTCCTTTTTCATTCATCCTTTTTTCGGTGAGCTATTGAGTGATAATGTCTGGATATGGTTTTATGCCAATTGTCAGCAGAAACTGCTCCTTCACTGACTGCGTGGTAACGTCCATCTGACAGAGCAGCTGTCCTGCATTTAAGTGAGCTCTCGTTTTCGTCAGGATACAATCCTCTGGAGAATATTTCGAACTAAAAAAATTATTCCGACATGAAAATTATTTTTAACAATGTATCTATGCCTTTAAAGAACATAGACATAATTGGAAATTAATTTTAAAAAATAAAGAAGAGAAGATGAAAAAAAACTTAGAAACACGTATGTAGCATACCGCCTAATTAAAATAAGTTGAATTTAGTTTAACTAGTCTAACAATCAATAATAAATTCAAAGATGGAGAAAACATTTTATTACTTTTATGGTATAAAATCGCAAAATTTTAAATGTAGTGATGCCATCTATGAAGAAAATTATTAATTTAAGACGATTTGGTTATACAATTAACCATAAACTAAAATAAAAGTTTAAAAGAATCGAAGATAGAAAGTTAATATAAAATTATAAAAGTGCATATTAATTAATTTAATTTGTTGCATGTTGCGATGATGCATGTTATATTTATGTTATGTTGTTAAATTACACGTGTAGATATATAAGTCTAATTATGCCTCTCTCTTGTGTAAGTGAATTCCAGACTTCTTAATAATACAGAGGAAAACTTATTATTAATTTTTATTGCAAAATATTAAGGAAAATTCATGGTAAAGTAAAACAAAGAAACATGTGCAGAAACGCATAGAGTAAATATTAATTTTAAGAAATTTATTGTTCTTAAAATAGTTTTCAGAAACAAAAAGACAGGTTTCACATTATTTAAGTTTTGTTCTGTTAAGACGGACTGAAACTTTAAGGGAATACATATGAGATTGTGAAGTATTTCGTCGGATAGTCATGATAGAGAAAACTTGGGGAGAAGGCTTGGTTTGTAACAGGCTTCATCGCAGTACCGGAAGAAAATGCTATTATATTATCAGCTTTTATGTATTAATTTTATAAGATTTATTTGGTCGATATTTTGTGGTTCAATGAATGGAAGAAATTAAAATTATTTGAGTCAATTATAATAAATCTCATTTAAGAACCAAAACATCGCTTTTGCGAAGCTAAATGTGAACCAGGAAAATACTTTTAAGGGGGAACTAAATTTCACACCTTTGATCAGTCATATTATAAATCCAGTCATTATCATTATTATTGCATTTCCACTATAATTTTGTTGAAATTATATATTATAAAAAACCTTCATTAAATATCCTAAATGAAATAGGGAAACAGATAATTGAAAGTTAAAGTTTGTATGTTCAAGCAGATTTAAGTTCAAAATTCGAATTTTAGATTTACGCCCAAAATTAAAGTCATTGCTCAATATTTGAGATTATAGATAAGCCCCATATCTATAAACTTAGGCGCAAGAATCATATAGAGGAACATATATCCAATTACTATTATAGACAGCAGAATTTGCATATCATTCATCGGAGAAAAACTCTACCACCAAAGAAATGTCGAACAAATTGATTTTTTTAACGTATTTCAATGTGAATGAACGGTTTTTAAGCGCCTCCATTCTTTTTTAATTCAAAACTTTTTAAGTTTATAATTATTATAAGTTTTGAGTACTATATTAAGTTTTGAATTATTTTATAATTCAAAACTTAACGTACAGATGAATTTGTTCATAACGTGAACATAACACACCACGTAATTAGTTTCTGGTGTTACACATAAATGGCTTGTACGTCACCACTGTTAACTATATGATTTCTGGGTAGTAGCAACTTTCAAACGATAATTGTTAAAATTTTATTTTATTCTGATTATTAGTTTAGAGGTTACAAGTTGTTTAAGTGACTCAGATTTTGTAATATTTAGAACACTGAATAAAAAGAATTTCGTGTTTTGATTAAGCATTGTTTTTTGAGGAGAAGATACTGTTGAAGCAAAACATTGGCTTGAAAAGCGTTATGGAGATTCAGCTCCTGGGAAATTAACGATCATAGAATGGAGCCTCCTGAATCCGTAAAGACACTAATGGTGCTAAATGCTCTGATTGTACAAAATCAGCAATTGTTCCAGAAAGCACCAAAAAGGTTTAGAAAATAGTTTCGGAAGACCGTTAAGTGAAATTTAGTGTGATAGTTGTCATCTTGAAGATATCAGAAGTTAGTGTGTTTACAATTTTATATTAAGCATGCACAAGTTGTTATTGAAATGGAAGCCGCGTTCTTCCACAACGGACCTAAAGAAGCGACGATTCAAAACACCATTTGGAACAGCTAAAGCAAGATAAAAATAATTTCCTTCGTCAGTATGTGACAATGGATAATACATACACTGGTGGACAGAATTAAGAGTTGAAAAGCATTTTCGCATATTTCTATGACGCTATTTCTGGACGGTTATTGATATGGAGGGAACCTGGAACCCGATACCATCCCAGCAACATTATCGTAAGGGACCATTATGCTGGTGGAGAACTTAATGGTTTGGGCGGGGATCATGCAAGATACCCCCACACCGCTCCATGTGTTTGACAATGGTTCCGTGAATGCCCAGAGGTACAGGCAGGAGGTCCAAGACCCCTATGTGCGTCTTTTCAGGGGCGCTGTTGGCCCTGAGTTCATTTTTATGGACGACAATGTGCGACCACATAGGGCTCTCATGGTTGAGGAGTATCTGGAAAGTGAGGATATTCAACGAATGGATTGGCCAGCCAAATCTCCTGACCTGAATCCTATTGAACATGCTTGGGATGCTCTTGGGAGAGCTATTGCGATGGACCAACCTCTCCCCAGAACCAGTCTGGACTTAAAAATTGCTCTGGTGGAAGAATGGGAGGGTCTTGCACAAGTCCTCCTTAACTCTCTTATTAACAGCATGCATACTCGTTGTGCATGCTGTCTGTCTGTCGAGGGTGACCATACACCATCCTAGAGACAACACACACTGTACAAGCCTCACTTTAATTGTCATCTTTTATCCTTAAGTTCAGACTACATTGGATTTATTGGCAATGGGTCTTGCCAGTGAATGGCACTTTCATTTTTGTTTTGCATACTTTATTATCATGGAATAAGCTATATCCATACCAAATTTCATTTATTTGTATTCTGTATTTTTTGAGATATTTGGGAAAATTCCTTCCATCTCTTAATTTCGTGTGGATTCATTACTACACTTGAATCACAAAAATCTTCAGCTGAGTGGACAGCAGCCGGTGAAAGTCATCCAAAGCCACCTAAAAGTCAGCTAACAAGGTTATGGCTTCAGTATTTTTGGACTCGCAAGGTATTTTTTTCTTTGACTATATATTGAACAGATATTTATGTGGAGTTTGCATTAAATGAATAGAACAAATATACTATTTAAGGCGTTTATTTTTTCGTGTTGTTTTTCCAATAGAGTTCAAGCATAGACGCAATGAAAGCGTTAAGGTTGCCGTGATTACAGTGTGCGCCAAGGAAGATGCTCCGTCGTCAAGAGCGTCATTTATAATTACAACATTATCAATAGCGAATATTAAAAGAAATTATTGGATCATCTGAATGAGGAAATCAAGAAAAAATACAGACTCTCATACGAATAAAATAAGTTTCGTATCGCCGAGACCACGGCGATAGAAAACTTATTAGCTGCCATTTTTACTGCCGATTTTTAAACTGCCATTTGTCATGGGTCAAAGAAAACGATGGCTAAATTGTATGGATTACGCTTTAAGTTACTTCACCCACCATACTCTCCAGATCTAGCCCTTAACGACTGCTGACTATTTGCAGATCTCAAAAAGATGCTAGGGAAAGGAAATTAGGCTCAAATGAAGAATTTATTTCTGAAACTGGGCCTATTTTGAGAGCAAAAGCATATCATTCTACAAAAAAGGCATCAAAGGGTAAGAGGAGCGTTGGAATAAATTTATCACATTTTAAGGGGGATATGTTGACGAATAAAGTAGAGTTTCGAAAAAAAATTTTTTTTTTCTTAGCTAGACTTATTGAAATTAAAGCAAAAATTGTCCGGCCGTTAAATCCGAGTCAGATAGAATTATTACAAAATAGAACTACTGTGTCCATAAAAGAACAAAAAAATCTATAAAAAATGACTTACTTTTCATAATTTTTTAAAACTAATTGAATTAAAGTTTGATTTTGTTATTATTTTTGTGAACTTCTACAATTGTTTGATTGATCGATGCATAATAGGCGTAGCTCAAAATATAATATCACTAAAACCTATTATTCACTGAAATGTAGTAAGGTTGGTGTAATTTAAAGCACTTGAATTATTTCATGATTTAACTCACTATTTAAATCAACTGATACTTTTTTAAAAACAATTATTCAAACAAACTATTTGTTATAAATTATTACTTTAAGTAAAAAATATTGTTTATACAAAATTCATAAATACATATTTTAGGATATGATCTTAAAAAAAATTGGCTTCCTTAGTAATGAAGACTTTTTTCATTGATAATGAAGGTTTCATACAAAAAAAATATGAAAGGGAAAATTATTATTATTTTTCAAAATTGACATAAAAAAGAGACTAATTTTTTTTTTAAGAGTTTCTCGAATTTTTTAATTGAAATTTTCCATTAGCTCTATGTAATATGACTTGATTGTTATTAACATAATTCAATCATACCCATTTAGTTTTATGTTTATTTATATTGCAGTGATTTAAATCCTAATATGGAGTAAGTTTATATCAATAATGAAGGAAGACTTGTTTTAGCTAGAGTAACAATTATTTTTTGGTAGTACTGATATCTGATCTAAACTAATTAATTCTTCATTGGATGAATAATGAATAAATTGCTCTCTGTCTTTAAAATTCATTAGAATGTTGAGTTTGGACAAAAATAAATATTATTTCATTTATTCAGTGTTTGTTTTGTAATAATTAAATAATAATTTAAGCCATTTTGGGAAGGAATATTAACTATTTTAGCTATATTATTTTTAGAAGTATTAATAACACATTTTATCAGAAACTTTGTCTAGCAAATCCAAAAAAAAAAAAAATCATGGTTTTTACTATGATACTGAAAAGAAAGTGATATCTCGGTAAACTTCATATCTTCGAATGAGTTGGTGCGATTAATAATTTCTTACCACCTGTCATATTTAGACTTTTACAAATCATGAATATACTCACACAGGGCCGGATTAACCTATAGGCACACTAGGCACGTGCCTAGGGCCTACGAAATTCAGGGGCCTACGAGAAACTTGGGAGAAAAAAAATTGTTGACAAAAATAATTTAGTTTTATAAACAACAAGTGTATTTTGCACAAAATTATGAAGATACAAATAAAAATATAATATTTATCGGTAATAAATTATTTTGCAGAATCTTATGATCCAATATATTACTTTTTTGGATTCAACGAAATCTGGAAATATGCTGTCGAATTCCAAACTACGCAAAATGTCGTATTCAATAGACATAAGTGCGAGCGATGACAAACGATCTTGATTCATTGTTGAACGCAAATAATTTTTTTTATCAATTTTAATCAGGAGAAAGATCTTTCTCCAACTGCATTTGATCCAAGAATCGACAGATATATTCTTAATGCAATGTGAACGTTAGGAAAAGTATTCACAAGTTAATCTTAAATTTGAGCCTTCAACATTTCTTGCGTAGATTTATGTTCATCCAAATTTGAAAATAGTAAAAATTCATCTACAAAGTTTTCCTCTATTGTCAATTGCCTCTTGGTCAATTGCTAAAATGACTCATTTGAAAAAACGTGACTAACATTTTATTAAAACAGTATTAAATCATTTTTTTCTATTAGTAAACATTTAACCTACCTTGCAAATTTNAAATCTCCTAATATGCTGTCGAATTCCAAACTACGCAAAATGTCGTATTCAATAGACATAACTGCGAGCGATGACAAACGATCTTGATTCATTGTTGAACGCAAATATTGTAAATTAAAAAATTTGTAATTAAAAAATTTGTAAATTAAAATCCATATTAATAAAAATGTAGAAAAAAATATGCAAGAAAATTTTAGCATATATTTTGAAAAGAGGGGAGGAGTGGGGTAAGGAGGAGAGGGCCCAAAAACGGCTATGTCTAGGGCCTACGAAAGGTATAATCCGGCTCTGTACTCACAGCTATATAAACAACAGAATGTATCGAATTTATTCAACGATTTATATAGCAACATCATCACTCAACTATTACAATAATGTTATTCACAACGAAACATATGAAGAACTGTATTCTTCAAAACATTGCATAAACGGTGCCTTTTCTCACGGGGACAAGGGAAATAAATTTTCCTTGAAAAGTCAAATTCATTGTTTTAACCTCTTCTTTCTCGCTCCCGTGAAAATGACGGGGTGAGGTTTCGCCCTCTATTTCTCGCTTCCGGTAAATTTCCGGGCTGTTCAGTAGTAACGCACCAATAGGAATAAAACTTATTCATTTCTTTCACCCGGAAAACATTTATTTCTCATTTTACACACCAGAGGGCAGTAAAAGGATATTTTAAAGGTAATTGTAGATAGTTTATTTTAAACTAGATTTCACCACTAATCAAATACGTGTATTTGGCAAAACAGGCACTTTTACGACCGTTTTCTTGAAAATTAACCAATCGTTAAGGGGTTAAGCAATTTCCATAAAATTATTTTCGGAAGTTTTTATTAAAGAAAAATCCCACTTTAAATCCAATCACTGCTTGCAATAACAGAGTTTTATGTAGACTTTTAAACTTTAGACAAACCATAAATTAAAAATTTCCTTATTGTACCTGGTTTGTAATGACCTATAGTTTTAGCAATTTAAAAACTTAATTTATAAAAAAAAATATAACGTTAAATGAATGGCGCTGATGATAATCATATAGTTTGTTAAAATTAGTAATTAAATATAATGTTAATTGACGTATAAATTCTCTATAAATAAAGAGCAATGATCTTTCCTTTTTCAGACAGCCTATTAATTTAGCATATAACTTATGTTAACTTTATCAAGGGCCAGAAGGAACTGTTCTAATAAATTTTAAGCATTAAATGACGGTTACTTCAATTAACTAATATGCAAAAATTAGTAATTAAATAAAATGTTAATTAACTCATAGATTCTTCATAAATATTGAGCACTGCTCTTTTCTTTTTCAGACAGCCTATTAATTTAGCATATATCTAATATGAACCTTTTCACGGGGCAGAAGAAACTGTTCTAATAAATTTTATGCATTCAATAACGTTTATATTAAGTAACTAACATGCACAAGTTAGTAATGAAATATAATAATTAACCAATAGATTCCTTATTAATTTTGAGCACTGCTATTTTCGTTTTCAGACAGCTCATTAATTTAGCATATATCTTATATGAGCCTTTTCACGGGGCAGAAGAAACTATTCTAATAAATTTTATGCATTCAATAGCGCTTATATTAATTAACTAATATGCAAAAGTTAGTAATGAAATATAATAATTAACCAATAGATTCCTTATTAATATTGAGCACTGCTATTTTCTTTTTCAGACAGCCCATTAATTTAGCATATATCTAATATGAACCTTTCTACGGGGCAGAAGAAACTGTTCTAATAAATTTTATGCATTCAATAACGTTTATATTAAGTAACTAACATGCACAAGTTAGTAATGAAATATAATAATTAACCAATAGATTCCTTATTAATTTTGAGCACTGCTATTTTCGTTTTCAGACAGCTCATTAATTTAGCATATATCTTATATGAGCCTTTTCACGGGGCAGAAGAAACTATTCTAATAAATTTTATGCATTCAATAGCGCTTATATTAATTAACTAATATGCAAAAGTTAGTAATGAAATATGATAATTAACCGATAGATTCCTTATTAATATTGAGCACTGCTATTTTCTTTTTCAGACAGCCCATTAATTTAGCATATATCTAATATGAACTTTTTCACGGGGCAGAAGAAACTGTACTAATAAATTTTATGCATTCAATGACGCTTATACTAATTAACTAATATGCAAAAGTTAGTAATGAAATATAATAATTAACCAATAGATTCCTTATTAATTTTGAGCACTGCTATTTTTTTGTTTTCAGACAGCCCGTTAATTTAGCATATATCTTGTACGAGCCTTTTCACGGGGCAGAAAAAACTGTTTTAATAAATTTTATGCATTCAATGACGCTTATATTAATTAACTAATATGCAAAAGTTAGTAATGAAATATGATAATTAACCGATAGATTCCTTATTAATATTGAGCACTGCTATTTTCTTTTTCAGACAGCCCATTAATGTAGCATATATCTAATATGAACCTTTTCACGGGGCTGAAGGAACTGTTTCAATAAATTTTATGCATTCAATGACGCTTATATTAAGTAACTAACATGCAAAAGTTAGTAATGAAATATAATAATTAACCAATAAATTTATTATTAATATTGAGCACTGCTATTTTCGTTTTCAGACAGTCCATTAATTTAGCATATATCTTATATGAGCCTTTTCACGGGGCAGAAGAAACTGTTCTAATAAATTTTATGCATTCAATAACGTTTATATTAAGTAACTAACATTCAAAAGTTAGTAATGAAATATAATAATTAACCTATAAATTCTTTATTAATATTGAGAACTGCTCTTTTCTTTTTCAGACAGCCCATTAACTTAGCATATAACTTATGTGAACCTTTTCAAGGACCAGAAGAAACTGTTCCAATAATTTTTATGCATGGAATGGCGCTCACTAAAGAGGATTGGGGCGATATACCTCAAATTACAGCTAATGCAACAGGTAGGATGGTAAGATTCCATGTTATATGCTCGTAATTTATGCACAATTTCTAACATGATTCTAACATAAGAAATGTCTCGAGGAAATATTTAAAAAAAAATTATATAATTTTTAATTCTTAAAGAAAATTATTCACGTATCGTATTTACAAGAAAACAAGTTAGTTTAATTTTGAAAAGAAAACATTTAAATTATTTTTATTATATCTGAAGATAGATATACTTACTCAATACCCTGTTCACAGACGTTCTCTCACTCTTGCATATTGTTATGCATTATTATATTGTTTGATTTGCAAATCATGCTCGCTACTAGGTTAAACTCATTTGAAATTTGTTCTAGTGTAAAATTTCAGGATTTAAATGAAAATAAAATAATTAAAATAATTCTTTAATTAAAATAATTCCCTAAAAATAATTCTTCTTTAAAAAATTAAAATGTTTAACAAAAAAGACGTTATTGAAATGAAAAAATAAAATTATATAAATTACATGCAATATAAAAAAAGAATAATTATGCTATTAAACAAACAATTGCCAATAAAGATTCCCAACAATGTTAAAAAAAGCAATTATAAATTTCGGAACTTTGAATAAAATTATTATTACTGAAACTGTATATTTAAGGTATAATTAAGACATAAAATAGGACGCTTTATTTATTGATATGAACCCTTCACTTTCATCCTTTCACTAATTCTTCCCAATTTATAACTCAGTTTGTTTCGTCATACACGTGATAAAAAATTTTCATTCAGAAATTTGTACATGTATGCTTACATTTTATGCTTATGAGAACTTACACACTTGATGTTTCAATTCTTGTTGCTTACTCGAAAAAGAAATGAGCAATTTATTTGCCGTCGTGACTTAAAAGAATTAGATAAGACTAGAAAGCATTTTGATTACGTTAGAAAAGTTTCCAAGATTATTACATGCTGGTTATTCTAAAATTTTAGTAAGATTTTTAAAAATTTTTAAAAAATTTCCTGTTTTTTTTTCCAGAAATATTTCTGGTCCAAATCAGGTTATTTACTGGCCCTTATTTTTCCCTACACATTTCAGAATTATCTTTTCATTGCTGTGTTTACCTTCCATTGTTAAGCTAGTTCTTCAATTGCAGTAGAAAATCGAATATATTAAAAAAATATGTATGTATTTTGTTTCAAGACATAAAACAGATTTAATATCTCTTGCGAAATTTAATTCAGAGATAGAATGTATACGATCAGAAACTGAATCAAATACAAATTTATTTTTAACTTAGATAAATTGCGTATTTGTTTCTGGTAAAAAGCTTAAAATTGTGTCTTGCAATAGGTATTTGCCATCGACGCTCGAAGCCATGGAGATAGTGATTGGGTGGATGTATTCGACTTTGAAATCAATGTAGATGATTTATTACTATTCATGGATAGAATGGATATTAAGAAAGCCATACTTGTTGGACACAATATGGGAGCATTGACAGCTATGAAGGCAGCCTTTAGAAATGTGAGTCATTTTATTATTTATCAAGACAAGTTTTTTAATTTCTAACAAAGTTTAGGCTTGGCAATTAACAAAGTTTAGGTTGTTTATCAATAAGCTTTTAGATTTAGATTGTTTATCAATAACCTTTTTATGTTAGTTTCCTCAATTCATTCGATTTTTTTGGGTACTACATTACGTTGAAATTGTTATTTAAACTGTGTTTCATTATATTTATCCATTATCTGCCATACAATTCAGCAAAAAAAATATTTTTTCAGTAAACAAAATTGATTCAAGGTATTATATTTTTGCCTTATGCCCCTATAGTTGTATTTTGGATCATAAGGTCTAAGGACTTATATTATACTAAATTTGAGTCATTGTCTTGTTGATTGAAGATGGGTTTTTTATTCATGCATCTTACACTTAATTTTGATAATGTTTTTAAGCTTAAATAACTCAAATAAATCATAAATATTATATCAAACAATGTTCTTAAAAATATTTTACAAAATTAACAATTTACTAGAGCATAAAAAGTTTTGCGTCCTGCATGTTTGAAAGTCAATAAGGATTCTGTGATAACTGGTATGAAGAAGCCTTCGCTTTAAAGCATGAAAAACACTCACGGACTATCTTTTCTACAAATAGGTCTGCTATTTATTGACTAAAATCTTTGTGTTATAATAAACAATAACATTTGAGGCTCAACACATAAATGCTTAATATGATTACTCGTAATGACCAATTGTGTTAATTTATGTTTTCCTGGTAATAATAATGGGAATTTTTTGTCAAAGCACACATTTCTATTGGGCGAACATCCACCTACTTCTAAAAGACTTTCTTTGTCAATGAAAGGACATAAAATTCTTACTATACTCTTCTTTGAAACTTCCCCTGCTTTCTGATCCCCTGCTGCCTGATATTAGAAACTTTCCAAATATCTAATATCTTTGCTGAACTTCCGCTTCTGCATTAAACTTACCATTTTCAATTCGGCTGGCTCTTTTGAGTTCATCTGGAGACAAAGACCCAGTAGATGTATCGTATGTGCTCTGACAATTATCGACGAACCTATATACAAAACTTAATATCCGAAGGAGTTCTTCATTTTCTTCTTTCCAAAGAATACTCTGCAACTTTTTTTGGCTATGGTGAATCAAGATCATCTGGTACATTTTCTTTTACATACATTTCCGCTGTGAAGGCATAGACATATTTACGGAACAGTGTCATGATCGAAAATAAATCACTTATATTATAACGAAAATAAACACAAGCAGAGGTAGGAAGTTGTTTTTAAAAAAATATAAAAGTTTTAAAAGTCATAAAAGTTGTTTTTAATGCGAGTTCATTACAAACAACTTTTATGACAGTTGATTGCCTATTAGGGGGTTAATTCCTAAATGGGGAATATAAAAGCGGCTTCTTCCTCATCATTATCCAAAAATTCTGACTATCTCATCTCTAAATATTCATGAAAGAAATCCTTATATAAATTTAAATAATTTGGATCCGTAATTAAATGTTTCCAACGCAAACTCTTTAGATTTTTCCAAATGCTTAAGATCCACTTTTAAGGGTATTTTTTACGCTGTATCGACCCACAGAATTTCTCGCCAAGTTATTTTTAAAATGTTCTTCAAATTATTTTATCTTTACTCTCAACTATTTCAGTTATGATATTTTCTATCTCTCAAAACCTTCTGTTTGTTCGAGATCAAGAGTTTCTTTAACTAAACTTCAAAGGGTTTTATTATCCTCCATATTTGATATGCTTCCATTAACTCAATAACCTAACGCAGAATTTTGTAAGGTATAAATTCGAATTAGGAGGGTGAATTTGCCCAGGTTTTATTACTTCAAAAAAAAAAAAAAAAAGATTTCGCGACGATCAATAAATAAACTTTTTGCGGAATGTGAAAATACTCATCAGCTAAATGTTTCCCGACCCTTCCTTACTCTTGTTTACTTTTTCTGAGGGTGTGAGATAAGTAATTTTTGGAACAACTAATGAATTTAAATCAGTGTTTTGTTCGGTCTTTATTTATTAAAGTAGTATATACTTGAGACCTAACAGAAATAGCTAAGTCATTCAACCCAGACACTACTATTTTATTCTTTCTCAATAGCAGTCTGTCTGCACATTCTTTACTTATGAAATTCAACATAAATCCCGAATTTAATCAAACACGAATTTCACTCTTCATTTTCCAAAGAATCGCATAAATAACAAATTGCTGTACTCAAAAGAGCTGTTTTGTTTTTATTTGAGACATAACTACTCGTGGCGGAAAAGAAATTGGCGTCTATGTTTGTTCTTTGCATACGGCAGGTGTAAATTCAGAAGCTAGAGGAGAGAGGGGGAGATTTCCTCTATCAATTTGTTTCTTATTCCATTTTGAATTCATAAAGTTCTCCTCTTTTATTTTTATGGAGCTGAATAATTATGTTCTCGATTAAAATGTAATGAAATATGATGCCTTTTACCACATTTTTGCACAGTATTTTGATTTGCATGACATCACTTTATGTTTACCAAAACAATTAAAACACAATTCATTATATTTGACAAACTGTATTTTCTCCATCACAGATAATTTCTTATAAATAGAACACATATAAAGGTGGTGTTTTTCACTACGTGGAATACTCTTCGAACTTTTAACATCAGACAAATTGGTTTTATATGTATTTCTTTCATTATGACTTTTATTATAAGAACCAGAACTCTTAGTTAATGATTTTTCACGAGGTGTCATAAATAAATCTATTTCCTTTCCTAATTTAATTGGAATAGTTTATCAGAAGTTATAAGCTGATTTAATGTTTTAAAATCTATCATGTTTCTTGATTTTAAGTAGTTCTCCCTACTAGCTGTGAAACGTGATGCGAACTGAACATACGTTCCATTTAACAGTCGTGTGGTTGTTCTGAAATTGTACAAGCAGGATTGAGCCGTTGGCTGAAATTCTTTTATCATTATTTCTTTCATTTATTCATTATTATTTAGATAATCATCACTTATATATATGATTATAATAGACTATTTTTCACTAAGCAGATTAAAAAAGAATCTCGGATTTATATTTATCTGTTACTCTTAACCATATATGGCAACGTTACTTTTAAAAAGTAACGAGTAAAAGTACAAGTATTTTTAAAAAAAGTAACGAGTAAAAAGTAAATATCTTGTATTTTAAAAAGTAACGAGTAAAAAGTACAAGTAAAAGTACAAGTACTAAACAAAAAAAGTAACGATTTAAAAGTACATTTCTAGGAAATCGAAAATTCAAAGTAACCTAAAATTTTATTGAATAATATTCTTATGTTCTTTAATGTTTTTGCAAAATTGTTGTTATTTATTTAATTATTTTTAATTTTGAAAGTTATGGACATTAATTTATTTTTAAATTCGGAAGAATATTATAATATAATTTTATAATATAATCGTATAATATAATTTTAAAATCAAATATAATTTTAATATCAAACTTTTTATGGATTTGCACGAAAAAGAAATTTTATCTATTGATTTTAATTTTTAGTTTATTATTTTTATTTATTTAAATTACCATTGATTTAAAATTGTTTTACTCTTTAGAAACGCGTTTTAAAAGCACAAACATAAACAAAGCAAACACGGGGTTTCAGATAGCTTTGTGATCTTTGAGCTAGTAAAAAATAATTGAATGTGCAGTATAAGTTGAAACAGAAGGTATTTAAACACGAAGTTAGCTGTGAATGCATATATATTGCACATTAATTTTATAAATTAAAAAAACATAAGCATTTATTTTTAAATTTAATTTCTTTTTTTTTTCAGAAAGCTTACCGAGTTTTAAAAAAAAGTAACGATTTCATTCGACATTTCCGTTACAAATACTTGTACTTTTTCCCTAAAAAAGTAACGAAAGTACAAGTAAAAGTACTAAATTTAAAAAGTAACGAAGTGCAAGTAAAAGTACGTACTTTTTACTTGTACCGGCGGTACAAGTAACGAGAGTAAAAGTACTGCCATATATGCTCTTAACAATAAATGCTCGTTTTGATGTAAAAAAGAGCCCCACCCCTGGGCAAACATATACTTGTTTGTTTTTTTTTAAATATTTGCTAGTTTAAAATCTATTTGGCACCTCGGCAACAGTAGTTGGCACGACAGATCACGATACGGAAATATCCCCAATTTGAACTATATTTATTTCTTAATATTTGGAAGAGAGCATTATTTGTAATTCTATACCTCCTTCCACACACTCTCAGTCTGTGTTACACATTTTTTTTCCAGATGCGCTACAAAACCGTGCTGATACAGAAGCATTATTTTAATGCTACTCCGAAACAAATATAGATAGAAATACAAAACCTTTTCAACTGATATATTAAATAGAAAAATTGCAACTGAAATTATAAATTTTTCCTGATAGCCAGATCGGGTGGAAAAGTTAGTAGTAGAAGAAATGCCCATCAGAAGATACAGTAATACATTAATATCAACTTGGACGAAATTTTTCACACTAGCAAAGGAAGGTATGCGAAGGATACATGCAGGTTCGTCAATGGACGAAGCAAAAGAGATCTTAGCAAACTATGTATTTGATCATCTGCCTCAAAAGCAAGTGAGTGATTTTTTTTAAAATTTAGTAAAAGTGATTCTAAGGTATACAGTTTAGCCAAAGTGATTCGTTCAGTTTCCAAAACTGTTTATTTACGAAAAAGTCTGCGTATTGTGTATACGAAGCACAAAGATGATAAATACATGGAAAGATACAGAAGCGTATCAAGTTTCTGCTACGCCACGTAGTACAAATGTCCAATTTGTGCACCCAGGAAATATCACAGGGATATACCAGTTCCATTCGGAAATTCAATATGTAACTTATTTCAATGTCCGTTACAACAGCTTCTAGATATTGATTATTTTATTTTTTAAAGCCGCCCCATTTTTTGAGTTAACGACTACCAATGTTCAATTCCGTAACCATGTAATTCTGAACTCAATTTAGAAGACAAGAGAGCTCTTGAATCAAGTATTAGGAGAAATTTGCCTCAGTGGAGGACTTTTTGATGGAACTAACTCGCATTTGCCTAACATGGAGAGGAAAACCAGGAAAACCTCCCATGGTTAGCTTGACGGCAAGGGAACTCTCGCCCAGGTTTCGTCTACCACTAAGAATATTTTACGTCAGCATTGTGGTCGATGCAGTCCTGGTGCGGAATTCATATTGACCCGTCATCGCTGGGATTTGAACCCGGTTATCATCATTGAGAGGCGAGAGTTCCATCCTCAGAGCCACCACGACTCTCTAGCTGATGTTGTAGGGATTTGTGTTACATAAACCTTTTCTATCACAAGTTGATGTTTGGATTGTTTTAGCTTGTATCTGTTGCAAGTTAAGAGATGCTTAATATCAACAATATTAGGGGAAAATGCTATTGATCGCTTTGATGTAAATAATTTAACCCACGGGATGCGTGCTGAGTCAGCCAAGAAGCACTCATAGAAAAATTGTAATAAGTACCAGAAGTTTCAAATTCGTATGAATTTATCCTGTACAAGCGAACACCTCCTAGAAGAGAGAAGGCCTCATCACGGATCAATTTAGTAGTCCGACGTAACGAATATAAACTGTGCAGTAGAGGGAATGAGAAAAATGAGAAAGATGTCACTATGTTTGGGCTACTAAACAGAGCAGTGCGGGAAATACCAATGATATCATTATGTTTGGACTACTAAAGGATCGAATTTCTTTTTATGGTAAACCGTGATGAGGCCTTCTCTTTTCTATGGAATTATTGATCAGACACACCTTTGTCTGACATGTACTTATAAGTTAAGAGTATCCTTTGAAACTGTTTGAAACGTTTAGACTGGCAATGTATTGTGAAATTCCAGAAAAGCACAAAGTTGTACAACTATTTTGTTGAATGCGTGGTTACGTTTTAAAACAAGACCGTGGAAGAGTTTTAAGTGCCATAAAAATGTAATATTTTGAAATTTATTTATTTGATAGCTTCTAGTGATCAAAACATGAAGACTACCAACAACATAACTGTCAACAAAAGTGATGCGTGTACTATTCAAATATCACGAAGCTGTCTTTTCTTTTAACGGTACTGTTTCCTGGTATATGCTCTGAGTAANAGAAAAATTGTAATAAGTACCAGAAGTTTCAAATTCGTATGAATTTATCCTGTACAAGCGAACACCTCCTAGAAGAGAGAAGGCCTCATCACGGATCAATTTAGTAGTCCGACGTAACGAATATAAACTGTGCAGTAGAGGGAATGAGAAAAATGAGAAAGATGTCACTATGTTTGGGCTACTAAACAGAGCAGTGCGGGAAATACCAATGATATCATTATGTTTGGACTACTAAAGGATCGAATTTCTTTTTATGGTAAACCGTGATGAGGCCTTCTCTTTCCTACGGAATTATTGATCAGACACACCTTTGTCTGACATGTACTTATAAGTTAAGAGTATCCTTTGAAACTGTTTGAAACGTTTAGACTAGCAATGTATTGTGAAATTCCAGAAAAGCACAAAGTTGTATAACTATTTTGTTGAATGCGTGTTGCGTTTTAAAACAATACCGTGGAAGAGTTTTAAGAGCCATAAAAAGTGTAATATTTTAAAATTTATTTATTTGATAGCTTCGAGTGACAAAAGCATGAAGACTACCAACAACATAACTGTCAACGAAAGTGATGCGTGCACTATTCAAATAACACGAAACCGTCTTTTCTTTTAACGGTACTGTTTCCTGGTATATGCTCTGAGTAAATTTTAGGACTAAGTTACAAAACAACTGTCATCACTTTATCGAGGAAACAAATTTCGTCAAAATGTAAGAAATATTTCGTCATTCTATTTTTTTTTCAAAAAAAAAAAAAAACTTGTAGTATCAAAAGTACTTAACTTTTCTAATTATCATTTTATAGTCAGCACTATGCAGGGGTTCACATCACAAGAAAGACAGATAGAACAGAGAGATAAAGTACGCCCATGCCCGAAGTGGATTTCGATACCAGGATCTTCCCGGTACGCGGTCAACTCTTTGGCCATTGTAAAGACCACTCGGCTTTCTGCGTTACTTCATTTTCATTCATCTAGTCTTCATTTGAGTTTCTTCATTCTAGTTTACAATCTTTCGCAATGCACTACGATGAGGTTTTGAGATGAGGAAACATTTTCGTCATATATTTGAGAGTTCTCCCTTCGTCACAAATCAGTGACGATATCATTCTCAAAATTAAGGAAATATAGCTTAAAAATTGCTGAATCATCAAAAGTGAGAGTTTTAGTTCTGAGAGTGCAAGCAGAAAAAAATTCATTTCGAAAATGTTTTCTTCAGGTTTCTGATTGCACTATGCATGGACACATTTTTTTACCCATCATAGTGCAGAATATTAAGAATGATATCTTTTTAATCGTACGAATCCAATTCTTTATTGGCATCCATCTAATTTTTTTTTAAATAATCAAAGCGTTTGTTATAACCCTTATTTCATAAATGATTTTAAGTTCATGTGTTACACAGTTCATTATATTTTAACTACTTTAGAAATTTGAGAATGAATGTGATCTTAGTGATGGACGTCTCGCGCTGAAACAGAAGGATGACGGAAGCTTCGAATTCAAATGCAACCTAGACATCGTTCTGCCGAATTTCCAGGACATCAACAACGATCTCCAGTTACTTGACAGAACCTATAGGGGACCTACGTGTTTCATTTATGGACAGAATTCACCTAATCTGATGTAAGTTAGCTAAAACGAAGAATTTGTTTTAAAAAAAAGGGTCGATCTTTAATTTCCTTCGTCAATTATTTCAAATTCTGTTATCTAGGATTATTGATTTATAAAAAATTAAAAAGTGTTTATTTGTTAATTTAAAAAAAATCTTAGATGTTCAACAATGAAATATTCTATTCAAAGATTTGAAATTTAATTAGATTTTAAAAATTTATCATTTTGGTCTCAAGCGTTAATTAACACCCAATAAGCAGGAACATTAATAAACCGTATGTTTGAACTATGATAATATAATGCTATACGATCTATGGTACTTTTTGAAAGCTATGAAACATGATCTAAAGTGGACACTGCATGGTTAAATTCTCGTATATATAAATGTAAAAGTGTGTACATAATGCAATATAAGCTAAAGTAAGTAATAAATAAACCAACAGTAAGGGTTCTTTATTTATAAATATTATTCGGGCTCCGAGTAATAATCTTTACATACAAGTAATTGCTCGTAAAGATTCTTTATCAAATACATGTTAATGAAGCAAAGATTCTTTATCAGCAACATGTTGTGAAACTAAATATTCTTCATCAACAGCACTTTAATAAAGTAGATATTCTTCATCAACAGCACTTTAATAAAGTAAAGATTCTTCAACAACTACATGTTAGTTTACAAAGATAGTTCACAACGCGTATGAGAAATAATTTAAACACTACTTATTTTTCAGTTATACTCGATAATTCACACAAGTTATACAAAATCAAACATTCCAGATAAACAAAATGAGGTCTTGAAAATAGAAAATGGTATCCAATGGTGTTATTTAATATTGGCAGTACAATGACTTAATATTAACAATAACCATGGCAACTGTTTTGCTTGGTGATGCATCAGAGTATTATCTCATCTAAGAGGTACTAACTGAATCGGACGTTTCACCTGCCTCACTGTCTGTTACATTTTATTAATTTTCTACAATTTTTCTTAAAACTAAGTTACCCCATTAGAACTTAATTAAACTAATTGTTGTCAAAATCTCTAGTTTTATTTCAATTTTGATAATTTTTACATTGCATTATTTTCACTATTTATGTTAACTCAACTCCAACAATACTTTAGCTTTGTTGAAGTCCTCTATTCTAAAAGAGTAAACTTTTTCCAACAAAGCACGCCAGGAAATTATCCATATTGAAAAGTATTTTTTTTACCTTTATCTTTCACACTTTTTTTTATAAATCTTATAAGAATATAAAATACAATGCAATACAATAAAATACAATACAATATGTAAGAATTACAATATAATTCTAGGAATCTTGCATTTACTTTTTGTTATGCATAAATTTACACGTTTTTAAAGATCAAAATGATTTTATGATTTATTTATTCTAATTAAAGATAGTTGAAGATTTAAAACCTTTTCAGTTGTTATGTGCAGTGAAATATATGTTTATTGTTTACTGAAAAACTCATTTACCAGTCAGGATTCGTTAAAAAAAAGTCTCTCAAAAACCAATATAATGTGATCTGAATCCTTTGTAAAATAAAGTATTATTATAAAATCATTAAACTTTTAGAAACTTTCTGTGTAACTCTTTATAAAAAACTAGACAAAAATTCCTATTTGAAGAGCAGTGAGTGATACTGTTTTTATTTCTTCTCATTTTTTAATTACTCACTGACACATCCATGTGTACTTTTAAACTGACAAAAAGTGAAACTTAATCAAAGTTTAAAATATTAAGATCATTTTCTTCCAAATGCAAATTCGACACTACCGACACTACTGTTCATATAAACGTTATTCTAAAAATTTAAAATATTTTATTTTTCAGAGGTCAAGACGAATATGAGATCAAGAAATTTTTTCCAAGTGCCAAACTTTTCGGTATAAGCGACGCAAGCCACGAAGTGCACAAAAAATATCCTTTGCCATTCACAGAAGCTTTACTTGTATTTATTCAAGGAGGATGGAATAAAAAGATGCATACCAGACCATAATTTTAGTCTGTACATCTTAAAATGTTTTTTTTCCTTTGTAAATAACCTCTCAATACTCCTCATGACCTGAGTAACTAAAGAAACTTTGTGAAATAAATTTTTTTATTAAAACATGAAAATAATTTATTACTTAAATCCCAGACAAACAAAGAAAGTAGCCGATAAAGCAATAAAATAAATATACTTCCTCTCTCTATAATGGGAGAAAGGTCAATAATTTAATTGCGTGGTAAAGTTTTCTGTTACCTATTATATATTTAGGTAACAGGAATCCTTAACGAAGAACTTAGTGAAAAAAAAGGTGCTTAGTGACGTTTATGTGAATTCAGAACAATTAGCTACCAAAATTGAAAAATGATTACTGAATCATTTTTCAATTCTTAATCATTTACTGAATTTATTTCCTTATTTAAATCCCGAAAATTCAAAGACACAGAGGAAAAAGATAATATTTCAAGCTTAAAAAATATTCAATCAGAAAACTAACATTGTGTTCCTTCTTTACTAACTCTTTAACAGATTTTAGTACTTCACAACAATAACATAAATGTTGTCCAAAAATCCATAATGTATGGAAAAGTTCAAATATCTCGAAAAGTGTGGGAAATGTGAATAAAATGAGTTACTTCTCTTATATGCAACGCTACTAGCACTCTAAAAATGATATACTGAAAGCGTAATTTTAAATCAAATAAACTCGTGGTNTGGGAACATGAAAATGACTGTTTTTGTGAGAATGACCCTATATATATATATATATATATATATATATAACTTCTATGGGTCGCCAAATTATTTCCCAAAAGAAATCATTATTTCTAGGAAGGTTTTTTATTTTAATACAATATTTCATTGACCCTTTTAGGACTCATATTATTATTACTTATGCAAATCAATTTAATGAATGGGACTTCTAAATACATCATTCATTTCAGTGTTTCTTATAATAAAGGAAAATAAATAAACAGCTAATACTTATCACCATTATATAAATGGTATTAACATATTCATTAATCGCACAGCTTCGAACATGAAATTTTTACACCAAACTGTTAAATAGTACTGTTTCCAGAGGTGTTCTTTACAAATGTACTTCATTTTTATGAAAAAATTTTCTATTCATACACAATGGCAATAAAAAAAATCGTGTTTTTCCCAACAAAAAAACTCTCTCCTGAAAATTTTTTAATGCACTAAAGTTTGTACGAGGCTTGTTTGAAAGGCAAAGATGATTGGATTTAGATAGAAAGAGCATATTTTGGCAAACTGTTGCTTTTCCTTGAAAATGGGCTTTCCCTTGCTGCTAATCTAGCAAGTTTAATCTAGTCATTATTTAGTTTAGTTCATTCTTTATTTAGTCTAGTAAGAGTAGGTCATTTTTTAATAAGTAAATCGATTCTGTATTCTGATAAATGGGCCTAACAAACTGGCGCTCGAAAATGTTCCCTCACAAATGACTGATCCAAGCAGTTTCCTATATTAGTAAATGTTTTTCATTACTTTTACAATAATTTAGAACTAGAGTCGTAGTGACTCAGGGGATAGAGCGCTAGCCTACCAATGAGGTCAATTGTTTTGGAATCCCAGCGATGGCTGGTCGATACGAATTCCGCACCCGTCTTGCACCGACCTGTGTGAGTGCTGACGTAAAATATCGGCAGTGGTAGACTGATCATGGGTTAGAGTCCCTTTGCCGAGGAAGGTTTTCGTGTTTTCCTTCTCTATGTAACGCAAATGCGGTCTAGTTTCATCTAAATGTCCTCCACGAAGGCAAATTTCTCCCTATACTTAATCCCGGAGTTCCCTTGTCTTCTGTATTAGGTTCAAAATTACAGGACTACGATGTTTATCATAGGTAGCCGTGTGTTCAAAATTTGGTTGTTCAATGACGGTTATAAAATAAAGTAAAACACTTTAGAACTGCATTGAATGATATAATTGCCAGGCATTTTATGAGAAAACTTTAGTTCATAAACATCCGGATACCTCACTTAACAATTTCCATGAAATAATCACTGTTTATCTTTCCTCCTTTCGTACTCTTTTACATTTATTACTTCGTCATAATAAGAACCACATACACACCGGTATTAAACTATTTCGAAGATATATAGTGATTTCATTCTGGCTATGAAAATCAAGTAATAAATGACAGGTCAAAGTTTCTGATTAAATATTTATTTTATAAATGAGATATTACATTAATCATATACCCACTTCTACACAAATCTTTTGCGAATCATCTATGTATATATTCCGCTTGCGTTTCAACATATAATTAAATGCAAATATGTGCTCCAAATATAATTCACTTAGTTGCGCTAATTTAATGTCAGCATTAAATGTACTCGAGCCATGTCAACAGAGATAAATAGATTTTCCTACTGTTTAAGCCTATTATAAAGATTCTTTTCAAGCCATAGGGCTTTCTGTCAAATTAACCATTCGTCTCTGGTGTTAATTGCAACTAATGAAGCGCATAATTAATTTACCCTGCTTGGCATCAATTCAATTACTCCTAGGTATCATCAATTTCATTTTGGTAAGAAGAGACTGATAAAAATTCGACGAGCTTTTGACGCTTCTACCCATACTTTATTATCGTCTGCAGCTCACAAACCCCGGTTGCAGGGAAAAATAAATAGAAGAGCGATACTTCCTAAATTAAATTTTTGTTTTCGCTGTTGCTCTACAAGGCGTTTTATTTGTTTTTCTCCTGTCACGCGTTTTTCTTTTTTTCCGTTCGCGAAATGCGAGAAAACTTGTAGCGAAGATTGCCATTAAATGTCGCACTGGCGTGAAAATCTGTTCGAAGCAAATTTGTTAGATTGTCGCGGATGGGTAAAAGAAAAAAGAGTTGCGGGGAATGCATGCAAATTGAGAAGGCGTTTCTTTTCAAAGAGAATGAATGATAAATAGTTCAATAATGAAGGAAAATTTTAAATGGCTTCAGTAAATCAATTGAAAGCTAAAAAATTTCTTTTTGAAAGCTTTTTATTGGTTCCTACGAATTTATCTATTTTATTATCATTTATTAAATTTAAACAAGTTATAGAATCATTCATGTTTAGTTTCACTTACTAAATTTTATTTATTTATTTATTTTTGTAGACTAATTTAATACTTATTGAGGACTAAAATTTTAATTGCATAAATTTGTTCTTTAAATATTTTATTTTGCTTAAAAAACAAATAAAGAAGTTTTTATAGTTCTGGGAAAACACAACCTCAAAAGAATATATTTTCTAAATTTTAATGTGGAATTCTCATTTTTAATACATTTAAAATTAGCTAAGAATTTAATACTGCTGTGCGGAATTGCTGTTTATTAGCATAATGCTTCAGTTCTCATTTTTATTGAAACAAATTTGGTAAAATTTTGGTTGTACGCCGGTACGATTGATTTGATTTATATTCAGTGAAATAATTTTTCTTCAAATTTATACGAACAATATTTAAGACTTTTCAGAAATAGTTAAAACGAGCCAACTGTTATTTAAATGCTCTAACAGCCGCAGTTTTGTCAAATAGTAACATTTTATGTCATATCTTGTATTAGCTCCTTATTGATTAACCAATATCTCTGAAAGCATATTTAATTCTAGAATGAAAAAAACAACATGTGTCGATTTTACTTGTCTTTTTTATTACCAGACTAACCAAAATATGAACACGTTAGCTAAAAAAGAAATCTAATTTGCTTTTGGAAAAACTTTTCACGATATCGATTACAACATATTAGAAAACTGGCTATTGGTAAAATACACAAAATAAAACAATGAATTAAGGTACCCGAATAAAATCTATTTTAAGCCATTTATGACCAAATTGGCACATTTTTTTCAAAAAATAAAAGATATTATTGCTATGTCACTCAAAGCATTTGAATCATTATTCTTTTTTAACTAGAACAGATGTTATGATAATTTAAAAAAAAAAAACATTTACTCTTTTAGTGTAGTACCATGGCCCTTCTATTTAGCCATATACCTCAAACCGTTACCCATATATATCTAAATCTTATATGTATATCTTTCACCTATATATATCTAAAAATCTGATCAATTAGATCAAAAGTTATTCAAGGTGGCAGCTGTTTTTTAACGCTTTAGTGTACATTATTAAATGTAACTTATAAAGCATATTATGGAGAACATTATGTTTCCCGCTTACAAACACATACATATTCCTCTTCACTCCAAATTGAAGCATTGGGTGTCGATCATAGTTTACCATTTCACTCTATTTATGACTAGATATTTCACTTTATTTATGACTAGATTCACTCTATTTATGACTAGATTATTCTCCATGTCTTTTCTATTGTTTTTAATTCGTTTACAATCGTCCTGCCCCAAATATTTTTAGGTCTTCCGGTTTTTCTATTTCCATGATGGTTTCACTCAAAAACTTGTTTTACATTAAATGTTTCTGGTTTACGTAGAACATGCCCAATCTATTTCAATTTAGGTTTTTTTTTAAATTTCCCGATCAATCGGTTTCTGTTTTGCTTTTCTAAGTATTTCTGCATAACACATTTTATGGAACCACTTTGATACGCAAGATTCTTCTTAAACAGTTGTTAATGAATCCTTGCAGTTTTTTCATGTTATTTTTATCGCAATTTCTCAGATCCATAGAAAAGGGCAGATTTAACATGAATGTTGGAAATTCTAATTTTTGTTGAACTAGTTGTCAACAAAAATTCGCTTATAATATCGAGATTCGCTCTAGACGATCCGAAAATCACTCTTTGTTTCTCTCTTCTAAAATTAAAACATAATGTTTACGTCCATCAACAACCGAGCGAGAAACTTGGCAAGTGGCATCAAGGAAAAAAGTAAAACTGACACTTCATTTTCAAATAGACACATTGACAAAATTCAGTTAAAAGAACCTTCTTTTCTTCCTCGGTTAACTTTTACATCATCAGTAACTCCAGAATTTATGCTTTACGGAAAGAATAATTCGTCTTTTTTTAACCAATAATCGTTATCAGCAACTCATTTGGAGTGGTACTTAAGTTGAGTTCAAGAAACCA